TTGCCGGTTCCAAGTCTCAAGACCTCCGGTCCTACCCCTTTTTTTTTTCTTCTCTTCTCTTCTCTTCTCTTCCCTCCCCTGCTGGGCACCATTATGTGTGATAAGTTGGCTGACCGTTTACCCTCTCTTCTTTCCTCTTCCGCCACGCAACAGTGCATGTCCAACGGACTCAAGAACCTGCAGAGCGCAGCGCGTGCCTACTCGAGACGGGAACGACTGGAGACCGGCCAGGCATTACCACCAGGGTATGACGATGACAGCGGAATCAGCGGCATCGGGTTAACCCCTGTTGACGACCTAGACCCGTCCTACAGTAGCCCCGAAACGGCGTCCTCGGGCGGCCACTCGGTCAGCGGCGGCAGCGCGGCCTCGGTTGCGGGATTCGCCCCGGCCTCCCACCACCACCACCACCACCATCAGCAGCAGCAGCAGCAGCATTTCAGCATGCACCCTATGCACTCGGCCGACTACTACGCCTCGGCGGCTACCCATCACGGCTACACGAGCTCCGTCTCCTCCACGGCCTCCGGCCCCGCAGGGTACGCGACGTCCGGTCATCACCATCATCAGCATCAGCACTCGCAGTCGCCTAGCCCGTACTTGCACCCCCACGCGCAGAGGCTCCCGAGCGTCGACATGGGCATTGATGCCATCATCAACCGACCTAGGGGAGGAAGGGGAGGGGGTGCACCACCGCCTATGTAGGCGTTTGGGAAACACTTTTTCCTCTCGTTTTCTTGTTTTTTTTTTTCTTCCATCTTCTCTCTCTTTCTCACTGTATTTCTCTCCATGACGGTGTTTACAACAGAGGGATCTCTTTTTCTTCTTTTTTTTTCGTTCTTTTCCTTTGTCCTTTAATGTCTGATGGCATTGCTATGACTGCATCGGCAGGTTGGAGTTTAGGAGTCAAGGGCGTTTGCGTTCCAACCCAAACGGTGGCAGGGAACTTGGGGGCTGGAGAGGAAGAGGTCGACCAAGGGGAACAGGACTCCAGCACACACATCTTCATTCCTTTGTTCTGTTTTCGTTTGCAAGGGAGAGGGCTCACTGGCCTATGACAACGTTTTGTGCTCCGATATATCCATGTGTAATGATAGTTGCTGAGGCCAGCGAAGCGAAAGAGACAAAAAAGAAAACTGGCCATGGCTAGGAGGCCTACGACTTGATCTCATGTATCACTATTAATTTGCATTTTAGATACCATGAGCCCGGGTTAGGGAGTAGACCGAGACTCGGAAGGGGCAATTTGATGATCTTTTATTTCTTTGTTCCCGTGTTGTTTTGTTCTCGAGTAATACAGAGAAGGCAGAGGGATGGATTGTGGACTCCAGACCGGAATGGGCGTGAAAAAAAATCACCAAACAAAGAAAAGCCCCCCCGAGAGGGCAACATATGGAGTTACAGATAGTAGATCTACAATACATTTTTTTTGCAACCGTTTCCATTATCCTGGTTCGCCTTTATGTCTGTTTGTGTCTTTGTTTGTATCCCTCCCCCCGCCCCCCTTTCTATGTCTTGGGCGATGATGGTGATACAACAGGCATCTCGTCCAGCTCGTCTTCCACCCACTCGTCCTCGTCATCGCCATAGCCCACGATGCTCCTCCACACGCGGCTCCACATGCCCTTCTTCTGCACGAGGGCCAGCACCATGACGACGGGGAGGTGCCAGACGCTGGCCCAGAACAGACCGCGCGCGGAGCCCTTGTGGCCGTCATAGCGCCAGAACCGCACGGCCTGCCAAATCAACCAGCCGTTGACGGGGGAGCTGGTGAGGGCGAAGGACCACTCGGTGACGCCGGCGGCGCAGAGGCCGAGGCAGAGCGGCACGAAGGCGACGCTGTAGCGGACGGCGACGCGGGCGTTGCGGGCCGGGTTGGTCCAGGCGAGCATGCGGAGGCCGGCGGCGCGGTACTCGTCGCGGATGGACCAGGAGAGGGCCATGAAGTGGGGGAACTGCCAGGCGAAGAGGAAGGCGGCGAGGACCCAGCCGCCGAGGGAGCCGCCGTCGCGGGCGAGGAGGAGCTCGCGCCAGGTGCCGTCGCCGGTGGCGGACTCGCCGGCGGCGGCGGCCCAGCCCATGAGCGGGGGGATACCGCCGACGAGGGCGCCGACCCAGGTGTTGGCGACGGTGACGGCCTTGAGCGGGGTGTAGACGCCGGCGTAGAGGGCGATGTTGGCGGCGCCGAGGAAGGCCACGGTGGGGTTAACGCCGTAGTAGAGGGCGGCGGTGCCCGCGGCGGCGGTGGCGAGGGCGAAGAGGACGGCGCCCCGGCGGGAGACGAGGTTGCGGACCAGCGGGCGGTTGCGGGTGCGGGACATGCGGGCGTCGGTGGCCGGCTCGTAGAGCATGTTGAGGGAGTTGGCGGCGGCCGAGCACAGGGCGGTGCCGGTGGTGAGGAAGAGGAGGGTCAGGGGCGAGAGGGACGGCGACTCGGTCACGGCGGGGGTGAGGAAAGAAGGGACCGGGTAGAGGGCGTACGAGGCCATGGAGGTGAGGACGACGAGGACGGTCAGGCGGGGTTTGGCGAGGGAGAGGAAGGCGGAGAAGGAGCGGCGGAGGGACCGGGAAGGGAGGCTGGCGGCCATGGTGGTGAGGGCGGAGGAGGCGTCCTGGGACGGGAGCACGTCGGAATCCGACGGCCGGGGTGTTGGGGGGGTGGAAGCAGCATCGCTGCTACCGTCGGCGACAGGAGCAGAAGAACCGGAAGCAGCGGAAGCAGCAGCAGTAGCAGCAGCATCGGAGGCCGCTTTACGACGAGCTTCTTGACGTCGACGGTGCGGGAGGTCGGCGTTCACCCGAGATGTTGTTGTTGTTGTTGTCTCCTGGGCGTTTGTTGAAGAGGCAGAGTCTTCCAGACTCGTGGCAGCCACAGCTGCGTCTGCCAAGCTCTTGCTCTTGCTCTTGCTCTTGTTTTTGCTGTTGCTATTATGTATTGTGGCATGACGCTGTGTCGCGGCGGCTCCGGGAACGCGGTCTAGGAGGTTGTTGGGCAGGAAGTAGTTGGCGCTCAGTCGAGGCAAAGTGACGGACGTGGCGGTTCGACGAGGAACCAGGCGCGACAGAGACAGGGCCTGTATCCTAGGCTGACGAGCGGTGCATTGTCTGCAGAGACTGAGCCCGGCGGACGGATCGAGGATGTGGACGCGGAGGAGGGATCGAGCCGGTGGCCGCATTGTCGGTCGAGGGAATTCGAGAATTTGGCGGCCGAGAGGTCAGGTCGGCATGGTACTTGGGAAGGGTCTGAATGACTCAATTCGCCATTCGAGAGTCGTTGCGACCAACCCTTAGCAAGTGCGATGCAGCTCAATCCGGGCTGATGGATAGGTGGGTGATTATTCGTGCTTTGAAGGGGTGGTAGTTGGTGGAAGTTGATAGTGAAGGTGATGAATTGAAAAGTGCCCGGGTCAAACTTGAGCCGACGGATTTCAATTGGCTTCAGCTGCCAGCTCCCAGCTGCCACCAACTGTGACTGTAGAATTAGGATGGCGCCTTGATGACATAATCAAATGGCTCTCCCTTTACTCATCACAGCTCTTCCTTCCTCCCTCCCTCCTCCTCCCTCCTTCCCTTCCTCACTCCCTTTATTCTTCATTCTTCTCATACCACATCGCCAAATCGTCAAATTGTCTGCTAACCACCACTAAACCAAATTTCACAGTAATCACTCAATGGATTCGAGATTCTCCAGAGAAATCCATGGAAAGACCGATCCAATTCTCATCTGTTCTGTCGCATTGAGAGCGAGCCGTCGCTCGTCACCGTCGTATCCAGACACTCTCTCCCTTTGTTCTCTGACCTCGACACCTCGAGTCTTGGCCATTCAAGTTCTTTGTTCGGGATCATGTGGAGTGGCCGACATCCGTTCCGTCAATAGTAACGACTCTGGACGTTTCCGTCACTGGACAGGGCGATGATCTCTTTGTTCTCGAGCTCGAGGGAAACGCAGCTTTCGGCAGACCAACCGCCGCCAGCATCTCCAGTAATCATTGTGTCTTCGCCGTATCCCTTTACTTGCCAAAAATGGCCCATTGAACACAAAGATACTCACATCTTATTGTCTCTCTTATTGGACTCGGCTGTTCTACAATTTTAGCCATACCTCCTGTTCCGAGTCATCTTTCTGGCTTGCAGTATGAGCTTTGGGAGCCGTTCACACTGATCCCAAACGTGGTATCAAGGACTGAGGGGACGATAACTGGCTGGCTTTCGCATAGCACTCCGCTGCCCATCTTGGCTCGAGTGAGTCCGGTCTTGGGAAGCTGTCAAGACGCGAAGCGAACATCTCTTGGGGACTGGTCCAGTGGCCTCGTCTCTTTGTTCCCAGCTCACGGCGAGCCGAATCGACAAGCATAGTACGGGCATTGCTAAGCCCCGCGTCTCTTGAGTATACTCACATATGCAGGGCCTCTGCAAGGGGCTTATCATCCTTGTCAAACATGATCTGCTCTTCTGACTGTCTAGGTACTTCATCTGCATTTGGAATGCAAAGACCGAGTTCCTTTCTTTCGAGAACAATGAATGCTTAGCATCAATGAGCCAGCACTGCCTGGCCTGGGAATACCTGGACCTAAAGATGCTTGCACCCAGATTTAGGTCCCTTGGGACAACAGGAACACCCGACGTTCTCTTTGTCTGCCCCTTCTCTCATATGGGCGTCCTGCGTCCTCCAAGCCCATTATCTTCTTCCGAGTCACAACTTCATGTTGCATCTTCTTTTCCTTTCGTCTCTTTTCCCTTTCTCGTCTCAGTCATTCATTCGAATATTCTGTGCTGTGCTGCCGTCTCCCCCTTTCCTATCACTGATCCTCCTCATTTCTATTGTCCGAACAAAGCCAATGAAGCGTTATGTCTTTTAGCAATATGAATCAGACCAGCAGCGCATACTCGGGACCTCTGCCTCGAGGCCCCAAACTTCCTCGCCTGCCGATGGACAAGAGACACCGGCCTCTCATCACACCCTCCGACCCCGAATGGCTGCCGGTGGAACAGGAATTCAGGGAACTACTAAATTATCCCTCCGTCACCATCGGCCAAGTCCTGGACGAGTACTTCACGCCGCACGAGAAGAAGCTCATGCTCCCCGCCGTCGTGCCTGCGAGCCTAGCCAAGGTCCAGGCCGAGAACACGGAAAGGTTCAAGAGGCTGCTTGCCGTCAGGTTCCGTGGCCATACCATCACCCTCGCCACCAAATTCGCAATGCTCTGGTTCGGACTCCCCGTGGAGCCGGTCCTGCCGCAGCTCTTCGACCATGCCAGGTATCAGGTCGACGTCAACGACGACCTGGGCCTCCAGGAGATCGAAGTCCGCCCGCCCCTGCATTTCCTCACCGCCCATGACCAGCGCAACTACGGCAAGGACGAACTTAGGGGCAGGGAATCGGGCTTCAGTACAATCCCCGTCCCCGCATCTACCTTGCACGGGTCCAATGAGGTGCCTCGGGGTCTTTCCCTTCGCGGCGGCGGCGGCGATGACGATGGCGACAACGACGACGAGGAGGAGGACGGGGACGGGGACGGGGACGGGGAACCCATTTCTATTTCCAGTGGTGTCGACTCCGAAAATGTGACCATGTCTGACGACGTGGAAGTCGAGGCAGATGCGGATTCGGACGAACACCAGGTAGATCCGGGTTCACAAGATGACGATGAAGACGAAGCTTCGACTGACGAGGACGAGGACGAGGGCCACACTATCACTCTGTATGGTTACCAAGGTCGTATCCAAGTTGACGCGAATCAACGACAATCCGCCCAAGCCGCAATCGCGTCGCTTTTGTGCCTACGTCCCACCGAGAATGCCGAGGTCATCTTGCGCAAATTCGACATGGATACCAACCGAGTCGAAAAGACCCTCGGCTTCTTCGGCTACCAGACAGCCCCTAACGAGGCGATCGACTACATCCTTGAAAACGATCCCTATGAGTACGCGTGGTTCGTCCATCGCGGCGGCGAAAACGCCCCTTCTCATTATCAGCCTCAAGACGCCACGGCCGGCACCGTTATCGAACTCGCCTTGGATTGTAAACATGATCGCGTGGCCTACTGGAGACAGCCTTCTAGCGAAGTCCTCGCCCCCGGCGACATGCAGCGGCATTTCGCCTTCAACCACTTCATGCCGTTCCTCAAGACGGCCCAAGACGTGCTTTTCGGATATCCCGAAAGGGGAGAAGTCAAAATGCACGCCAATGTCAGCTACTATAATCCGGACACGGAGGAAAAGTCGGCTCCCTGGTACAGCGGTCTCTCTATGGGCTCGGATTTTCTCCACTGGGCCATATCTCCCCCACCCGAAGAGACACGCGAGCTGGTCGTGGCATGTGAGGGCTTCGAACAAGGCGAAGTCGTCTTCCATGTGCCTGGACATATCGAGACGCAGGGGCTATACAAGAGTCAGTCGCCGTACCGCGATCGTCTGGTTCGTTTGAGGGAGCTGCGCAACCGTGTCTTCCCCGCCGACAACATCCGCAAGTTCCTGATCTGGCGCGGCGTCGACTACTACTGGACGCCCAATCCCCACGCCGTTGCCCGGCCCCTGACCTGGGATCCCAGGGAGAAGAGTGGGCCGGCAACCATGCAATTTGCGCGGTCGTTACGTGAGTTCGTAAGCGACTACGCCGACCAGTATGGCGATGCCGCCCTTTTCCTCGTCCTCCAGCCCTTGTACGACGAGACGGAAGACGCCCAAGGCGTTGCCCACACGACTTCGATCCTTCGGTGCCTCGGGCCCGAGGGGGGCATAGGTCGTAAGCCACTGCCGGAGGAATTGTCCAGCACGAAGGAGTTCTTGCGCATCTTTCTCGAGGCATACAAGGAGGGCTCCACGAACGGTAGCCCCGAATTGGACTTAAGCCAGACGCAGATCATGTTGTGGCAGGGCCAAGACGAGAATTCTGATACATCGGGAAATGCCTGGGAGTCTCACGTCTTTATTGTCGATCAGAATACGGAGAACTCAGAGATGGCCCTGATTCGACGGCTGCTCGTGGGACGGGTCATCGATTGCGCTATCGTCGGAAACTCTGAAGGATATGTGGACGATTTTAGTAAGTCTTTTGTTCTTCCCCCCCCCCCCACCCCCCTTCTTTCCGTCTCTATACAGACCAGTCGCAGTCGTATGTGTATTCTGTATTCTAACAAAGACGACCCCTGACAGTTCAGCGCCTGAGAGAAGACGGTGACGGGGCACAAACGGTCTGGGGCCCCCGGTATGGTATGATCGACGGGTGGCGGCGTGAAAAGATCGGCCTGAAAGACATCGCCGACGGTAAACATCCCTCGACGAATCGACTGAGACAGGAGTATGAGGAACGCAGGCGGGCAGAGGAGGCCAGACGACAGGCCGAGGCTCAAAAGGCCGCCAACATCGATCCCACGACCTCGAATACCTCGAGTCTCCGGGAAATTTCCTGGGCTAGGCCGCTCAGCATCTACGACTCGGGCACCTATAACCCTTCCATCCCCATCAACGCCCCCCCTGTGGAGCAGATGCTGCGAACGGGAGGCAGCGGAGTCCCCATGGTGTCCAAGGGACTGCTCACCCCGACGGAGCAGCGGCAGCTGCTCAAAGAGTACAATGAAATGCGCAATCTGAACATCCAGCGCATCTACTTCTGTCAGTACCGCCACCAGGGGTGCAAGTTCACCTACCGTGTGGATGATCACGAGGCCATCAAGGAGCACCTGGAGAAGAAGCATATTGCGTTCAGGTGTCCCTGGTGTCCTGATCCCCTGTACGAATACCAAACCCCCGAGCAGAGGCGACGGCATTTCAAAGAGAAACACGGGGATGAGCTGAGAGCCATCATGGACGTACAACAGTCACAGCAGCTGCTGCAAGTCCGGCAGAAACAGCTCCCCTCATCGTCAGCCCTGGGATCGGGTGCTGGCAACCAAGGCCAGCAAGACATCAGAACTCAGTTGAAGGAGATTTTCGCAAAACCGCGATCCATTTTCGAGCAACCAGTCAACCGCCCCAACGGTGTATCCATCGCACCCTCGCCGCCCGCGAGGGCCAACTCCAAGGAGTCGGAGTTCTACTACTGCGACCGTTGCGGCCGGGACCACAGAGAGCTTACGGACGCAGCTGACCGCGCGCATCATGATCGCCGGTGCGTCCCGCAAGCCGAAGGCGCAGGGCACTGCACCTTTTGCGAGGCTTGTGGCGACTACGTCTGGAACACAGAAGAGGACGCCGCCCGGTGGGAGCCGTACGCCCAACACCCGCATGGCTGCAAGGGTATCTCGCACCCGGGGAAGCCGCACTGCACGAAGTGCGGGCTTTCAATGGCCAAGTTCAGCGACGAGTACGTCGAAAAGCACCGGACGCTCTGCCAAGGGTTCGGTGGCGAACTCGGCTGCTTCTGCCCTTACTGCCATGTGCCCCTCGAGAAGGCACCGGCCGCCGACCAGTACGAGCATGACGAAGCCATTACTGAGAAGACTGCACACATCAAGGCCTGCCGCGATACCAACGTGCCCGCGCAGTCCAAGGTTCACGAAGGGTCCATGACGCCGTTCGACCTTTACCCTGCCGAGTATTGGGCGGAGCCGGTCCGGCCGCATGACTCGCTCTACGACGGGCCGGTAGCCGCCAAGAACCGGGTGCGACCCAAGGCCTGGCGTCCGTCGCGACGTCTCCGGTATCCCCTCGCCTGGTACGACAGGCCTGGGCCCAACGCCAAGGCTGACCCGCCCATCGACTGCCCGCAGTGCCGTTACCCGTTGATTGGCCTCCGGCCGTTGGAAATTATCCGCCACTTTGAGGAAGCGCACGGACCGGGACCGCTCCAGGCGTGCCCTTTCTGTGACCTGTCGTTCAGAGAGCGGCAGGGTAACGGGGCGGGCCAGGAAGGGGAAATCACCTCCCGGAGGAACCAGGCGCTGCACATGGAGTGTCACATCTTCGAGCTGTGGTCGCTGCTCGTGGCGCAAAATCCGGGCGCTGCTAACGACGTGCAGGTGCCCCGGCCGCAACCGACCGAGGCGCCTTTTCCCCGGCACCATCCGCTGTATAATCCGGAGGAGGTCGGCTTGGACCGCCGCCATAAGCGCTGCCCTCTGTTCCACATATGCGGCGCCATGGTTGGCTTCATGACGGCCGAGCAATGGGCAACGCACATGAAACAATCGCACGGCAGCGAGGACTTTTCCATTGCCACCGACGCGGAGATTGCAGCGCAGAAGTGGACGATTGAAAGGGCCCTGAGGCTATGGGGTAACCCGGGCGGAATACCAGGGAATCAGTCCGGCAACGCTCCTCAGGGGCCACAGGGTGACCCCCCGCTCAGTACCCCGCCTGTAGTCGCACCGGTGAATGCGCCGGTCACCCCCCAGCCAGCTCCTCCTCCGGTCACACCAGTAATCACTGGTCATGGACATGACGACCATGGTCATATTCTTGTCGACCAGTACGGCAACTTTGTGCCCAGCGAGGACATGTACTGCTCCCGGTGCCTCCGCAAAGTCCCCAAGAAGTCGGGTGTCAAGGCGGGCGAACCGTCGTGGCGAGAGCAAATCGATGTAAGCTCCAAAAACATGTATTTTGAAACTTTGAAGAGCTAGCATGCTAATATGACTCTTGGGAATATAGGCGCACTCGGACGCAGCTCGCAGCTGCCGTGTTCGAAAGCAACTTGGAACGGTAACGATATTCCCCGACGGCACGAACGATCTGCCCAACCGCACAGGATGGATCCACAAACCGGACCTTCCCGGACAGCTGAAACAGCTTCGGCGGGATTGGGTTGCAAAGCATGAGGAGTACAAGGGGACGGTTTACCCCACGGACGGCCACTGGGATCGGACGATGACGGTGTGGAAATATGACCCGAATCACCCCGATAACGAGGCGAACTGGGGCCTTCCGTTCCCGCTGGACGGCGAGACAGAAGACGACGACGACGACGACGGGGCAGAAGATGAACATGGAGGCGAGTCGGGGGATGATCCGAGAGACAAACCGACTGGCAGCGGTGGAGGACCTGGAGGGCCAGCTGGTAAAGGGAATCCCGGGGCGGGCGCTCCGGGGGCAATACCTGGTTCGCACGGGGGTCCCAAAAAGGGGACCAAAGGAGCCGCCACCAAAGGAAAATCTCCCGGGAAACCAAGCCCAGGGACGAAAAAGAAGAATACTCCTACGTTGTCTGGTCCAAAGACAACTTCGCAGGGGGGAAGCGCGTCGAAGAAGGGGAAGAGCGGGGGTACCCCCAAGACGAAGGGACAGCAGAAAAAGAAGAGTGGTGGGCCACACCAGGCAAAGAAATCTGCTGTCCAGGAGGAAGAGGAAGAGGAGGAGCAGCAAGAAGAAGAAGATGACACACCCGAGAAGCCGAGAGGAACCGAGGGGGGTGAGGGAGACGTGAGCGAGGTCGGGAACCTCGACTTGGACCACAACAATACCAAGAACGCTGGCGACGCGGACGAAGAGATGGAGGAAGATGTTATGGGGAGCAGCAGCAGCAACAGCAGCAGAAGCGGGAGCGGGAGCGAGGGCAGCGAGGGCAGCTATGAGAGCTACGACGAGGATGACGAAGGCGGGGACGGTAAGAAGGGCGGCAAGAAACGCAAGCGGCACTCCAAAGACCCGACGTACAAGCCCAACAAGAAGTTGATGGCTAAGGAGGCGCACCAGGAGGTGCTGGACACGGCAGAGATGGTGAGTGAGTTGGTGGAGGAGGCCGCGGAGGTGGAAGGGGGAGGGGAGGGGGAGGCAGGGGAAGAGGAGGGGCACCCCGCGAAAAAGGCGAAGATACAGACGGAGGAGGAGTTTGTTGTTCCGGATGTGCCGGGCCAGGCGGCGGTGACGGTGAAGGGTCCGGCGAAGGGTCCGGCGAAGGGTCCGGCGAAGAGTCCGGCGAAGTAGGGGAAGGGCGGAGCGGGTGGATGGGATCGTGTGATAGATGGTGGCGTTTGATGATAGATCTTGCTTTGGTTGGGTTGTTAAGTTTTGTCTGTCCGTATTTGTCTCTTTCTTTAGTCTCTCTAGAAGTTGAAGTTATATTTCTTTTCCCTATGCCAGTATAGTGGAGTTTGAGCCCATCTAACACATCTCAAGAAAGTCGATTGCCCGGTGGTATTGTATTGTGTTAGTCGAGCTGTACATGTACGGGGTGAATCTCACGAGGCCTCAACTGAACATGATCTCAGCAAGCTCCGTGTGTTTATTGATTACTCATCACTCATCACTTCCCCAATGACGTTGGAGGGCGGTGTGTGGATAAGGTACGGAGTGATTAATAAGGTACGGTAGGTACGGAGAGGTAAAGGTACGCATAAAAGTACAGATACGTACCGCAACCAACCCCTCCCCCCGCAGACTTTCGTGATCCATCAAGGTTGGCATCCCACATCTGAGTCTTCCTCTTCCTCTTCCTGTCCATGACCATTTCTCTCGACGCAGCGTCTCGCATCCCAGGGCTTGACGAGTCTCGTTTCTCTTTCTCTCCCTTTCTCTCACTTCGCCTCCACGTCCTCTTCTTCTTCTTCTTCTCCCCGGGTTTAGCCAAGCGACCTATTATTATGGCGACGACGGCGACGACGACAACCACCCCCTTCGAGTTCCCTTGGGAATATTCCTTCCCCCCATTCTTCACCCGTCAAACGAACCTCACAACGCACCACGCGCAGTTAACCAAGTGGTCCGACCTCATCCTGGCCTACTGCCGCCACTACCGCATCTTCAAGCTCTCCCTCAGCGCCGCCATCCCCTCTTCCACCACCACCACCACCACCACCACCACTACCACCACTGCTGGCGCCACAACATCATCCCCGCCCGGCGGGACAACGGCAACATCGGGCGTCGGCCAGGCGCAAACGGAAGAACTCTTCCACAACCGCCGGCTGAACAGGCGGCTCTCCCTCGCCGACGCGCGCGAGGTCATCGATGCCATGCGCCGCAACGGCCGCGCCGAGTACGTCGGCGGGAAAGACGGCGGCGACCTCGTCTGGGTGTACTGGCGGACTCCCGAGGAGTGGGCTGCCTTGGTGGAGAAGTGGGTGGACGATACCGGGCAGAAGGGCGTCGTCATGACGCTGTATGAACTTACGGAGGGCGATGGGACCAAGGGCACAGGTACGTTGGGTTCTCTCTCTTTTCCCCGAATGTCTCTCGCTCTCTTCTCTCTCTTGTATTCCCCGACTAACTCGGGCCTTTCCTTTCTTCTCTTTTCGACTTTTCGTACAGACTTCCACGGCCTTGATGTCGAGTTGTTGCTCAAGGCCCTTCATGTCCTCGCCAAACGAGGCAAGGCGCAGGTGTTCGGACAAGACGACTCTCAAGGTGTCAAGTTCTTCTGAGTGTCGTCCCGGATAGCGCATGTTACCCACAGCCTTTCCTTTTTTTTTTTTTTTTTTTTTTTTCCCTTTCAAAGAAAGAGCCCGTCATCATTAATTCTGCCCTACTTTCTTACGTACTGCGTCACCCGGGAACATGTTTTCCTGTCCTTCCCGTCCTGAAACCGAAAAACAACACCCATCACCATTAACTCCCAGCCCTCATCAGCTGGTTAGTACAGCAAACCCTCGGGTCGTATCAAATTACACCCCGCTCGAAGCTCCCGACGCCGAGTTCATGCACAAGGGTCATACTTGCGGAAGAAGAAGAGGTAGACAAGGAGAAAAAAGAAGAAAAAAGAACAAGAAAGAAAGAGAGAAAGAAAGAAAGAACAAAAATCTTACGAAATAAAAAAAAAGTCCCGGTAATGACAAAACAAAAGAAAGAAAAGAGACGACCAAAATAATTATAGGGCACTGATTATAATAATAAGGAAAAAGAGCTCGTCATGTCGACTGTTGCTCAAAAAACACGCTCGCGAGGTACTTCTCATCAAACGACACTTGCTGCCTCATGGTCACGTCCAGCAGCCAGTCGGCCGACACGATCCTAGCCTCCATATGACCCCTCTCGGCCATGGCAGTGAACTTGGGCCACAGCTTGCGCTCCTCCTCGCTGTTAGACGTCAGGAGGTAGACCGGGTCCGCCGGCGCGCCCCCGTCCTCCTCCGCCGTCGTCGGCCGGATCGTGACGCCGCTGCGCGCGCTGTACGTCAGGAACTGGGCCCCGTTGGCCTCGGCGATGGGTCGGAAGCTCTCGGGCCCGTTGCGGATGTTGGAGGTGCAGTAGATGGGGATGCCCGCCAGGAGCCGGCCCTTGTTGGCCCGCGCCCTCGAGATGGCCGTCTCCAGCTGGATGCCGAACTTCTTCTCGTTCTCCTTGTCTTTGAGGACGAACCGCTGGGGGTCCGGCATCTCGCCGGTTTCGAGCGCCTCGTCGATGAAATCCGATTTGATGATGGTGACGCCCTTGGCAAGCGTGCGGAGGAACTTGACCGTGCGGACGATGTACGGGGCTGCAAGATAATCGCATGCGTGGTGTTCGCCGACAATGATGATACCCATGGCCCTCAGTTTCCTCTGCACAAGGGGCGTGCGTTTGTTAGCAGACCAAATCGAAAAAAAAAACCCCCCGATAAAAAAAGAACAAATGGAAGGCAATGGGTCCCGCTCAAAAGAGCGCGAAAGACCGACTTACCCGTTCGGAGTCTTCTCGTCGTTTCTGTCCCACCCAGCGGGTAAATCCCGTCAGCATCACCCGGATCGTCTCGCTCGACTTGGACGACTTCCTCTTCTTGCTAGGCCGGGCCTCCTCCTTATCCTGCTCTTCAGCCCCCGGTGTCGGGCTCGACGCCCTCGCACCTCTGGTTCTGGTTCTGTCGAGCATATCAGCAGCACGCTTCCCCCCCCAGGGCCCATCCTTGCTGGTCCGTTTCTTCTCCTTCTCGTAAAGGGCTATATCCGACGCGAGATTCTGGAGATTGGTCATGGCCTTGGTCTTGGCGCTGCGGCCACCCGTAGACATGGACATTTCCGACGGCGTGTCGTTCTCCTTCCCCGCCCGCGCAGGCTGGCGCCGGGCCGGCGTAGCAAAGACGCTGCTGTTGTTGTTCTTCTTGGGCGGCGGCGCCGCGACGCCGAACTTCTTCCTCGTCGCCTCGGCGTGCTCGTGGGCATCGTCCTGCAAAGCGTCAAACTCCTTGTGCTCCTGACAACCGATCACCACGCCGTCGGCGGGACCGCCCTTCTGCGCGTTCTCCTGGGCCGCTTCCAGGATCTGACGCTTCCGCTTCGCCCGCGGAGACTTGTTGGCCTCCTGGTCATCGTCGCCTCCCCCGGGATAGTAGTTCTCCCGAAGCTTGGCTTCGTCGAAGAAGGTCTGGCCGATGATTTCCCCCAGATTGGTCCGAGGAGGGAAGTGCGTGTACTTGGATACCGTAAGGGGCTGCATCTCGCATTTGGCGTAGCTCTCCTCGATCCAGAGGTGATTGGTCGTCTCGACGCCCCAGTCCTTGGCGGCTTCGTATTTCTCGCTGCTGCTGCGCGCGGTGATCAGGTGGGTGTTGTCGGTCTTCATGGTCTTGGTATACGTGGCGCCGGTGGCCTTGATGAGGTTTTCGAGGTAGATGCGCGCGTCGCCTCCGTAGTTGGAAATGCAGATGCGGAGGCCGTCGAAACCGGGGATGCCGTCGCGGGGAACCGGATAGTGCAAAAGGCGTCTCAGCGGCGACGTCCACTCGTTGTGGGAGATGAGATGCAGGAGCCAGGCCAAGTTGCCGACCTCCTTTTCCAGCTGCGCCGCTTTGATGTACTCCGGACCGTCCCGGTACTGGCAGATGAACATGTCGCAGTCCTCCACTTTCTCGACGACGGTTCCGCCGCCGCCGGTGATGCGCATTTTCACGATATTCAGGGACTTGGGCGTGATATTCAGGTCGCGCGATATCATGACGGCCTTGTCGCGGAAGACGGTCGAGGGCTGGACGGAGCCTCGAACGAGAGCGTCGGGATTCGGGCTCGTGGCACCGACAAGCCGGCCCTCCTTGTCCTCCGGTATCTCGACCTCGGCAGCGGGGTCAACTCGGAGAATCTCAGGGTCTGGAAGACAGTACGGAGCCTCGTCAATCCGCTTGCCCAGCTTGAAGCAATCTTCAAACCTACAAAACAAGAAAGAAAGCAGAAAGTCAGTAGCCAGATCGTAGGCATGGTGATTCTGATACAAAAGCTGGCAACGAACCAATGTGGAAGAACAATCTTGACTTTTAGTTTCTTTTCGACGGCTGTCTGGCATTTTGGGTGATCGAGTGACAATGCACAGATGTGGGTAGTCTGCCTAGTGACATCCGCCGACTCCATGCCACCCAGAGCAACGGTGGCCCCTGCAATGGTCTCCTTGTCGATGGTCGGCAAGTCCGCACAAGTAAGGGTGACTGTTGAAAAAATCATCCGCGGATCGGGGGAAAACGGCCGAACTTGAGCCTGTTTACCCCTCTTGATGGAAGAGGCAATCCAGTTGAGAGTCACAACGGGGATCATGTACGCCTGGCTTTCGGTGAACTGTTCAAAGTCGATGCTGTTGGCGACGATATGTGTTACTTGCTCGATGCGGATCGATCCATCGCGCCGGGGCTCGACGACGGTGCCGCCATTGCTCTCGACTATAGTCGTATAGGCGGAGATATCTTTGGGGGCGAGGGAGGAGCTCGGCACGAAGGCGAAGACGCAGTCTGAGAAAAGGCCCTTGGAGTCCGTCATGTTGACCGCGTGGAGTCCGACATCAACAGAACATGGGACAAAAAAAAGGAAAGAAAAATTGGCAGCGTTTGTCGATTGGCGTGGGAGTTGGAGAAAACAAAAGAAGTTTGTATCGAGAACAAACGGGCGATAGACTCTTTCTTCCTTTGGCTTGGGAGGAAGTGAATGGGTCGGTGAGGGAGGCAGCAATTTCGTTGACCCCGGTCTGGTGTAGCGAGAAATTCCGTTTGGACTTATTTTCGTATTTTGGCAGAGACGCGTGAAAGGGGGGATGTAGCGTGACCGTGGGGGGTCAAGACGCGACACGAAGAGCCGGGTGATCACATGACCCGAGCCCGAAAGGCCCCGAACTTGCCTAAGGTAAGGTAACTACCTAAGGTAGTGTAAGGTATAAGGTACGGGGTAGTTAATTACGTAATTAGACAGTCGTCTCTGCAGAGACAGTACAATGTATATATGGAAGTACCCTCACCGCCTCCGACCTTAGCCGTTGAAATATTGGCAAAATAACCGTCTCGTCTCGTGACATCTCGTGACAGAGCGAAAGAAAGCCCCTGTAGAACCTACCATCTGCTGCTTCTTGAACAGCATCAAGCCGACGGGATCGTCAAGATGCCGGCAGCGCCCTGGGATAGGGCTCAGAGCCATGAGCAACTCTTTGTATTAATAACGGGGGCAAACAGGTAGGCATGGCCTCCATTCCATCATCATCCTATCCTCCTTACCCTCCCTTCCCTTCCCCATGGGCTCCATGGGCTCCTTGGGCTCCTTGGGCTCCTTGCTCTCGGTATCTATCCATGTTGCTAACAAACAGACAGCGGCGTCGGCCTCGGCACCGCAGAGCGTCTCATTGATGAATTTCTCGCCTCACGATCTCTCTCTTCTCACCTTATTCTCGTCCCCACCACACGGAGCGTCGCAAAATCACGAGAGACCATCGAGTCTCTCCGAGCATATCTCCGCAACACCGCCGCCCGTTCGCGCACTTTGACGTCTCGTGCTGGTCACTCCTACAGCCCCCAAGACACCATCGATCGCGTGCATCTCCTCAGCGTGCAGCTCGACCTCTGCAATCTGCGGAATGTCCACGAAGTGGCCGCCCAACTCGTCCACGGCACCGTCACCGATCCCACCGACCCCAGTACCCCCCGATACCGGATACCCCGCCTCGACGCCGTCGTTTTGAACGCCGGCATAGGGGGGTGGACAGGTCTCAATTGGGCCGGGTTGACATACTCCTTCTTCGTAAAGGGCCTGATGTACATGGCTACGTACCCCGACTACAAGCTGGCCCGATCAGGAGCCGTTGTGCGCCAAAGCGTCGAAGGTGCCGACGCGTGCCCCCCCGTCCTGGGCGAGATCTTCTGCGCCAACGTCTTCGGCCACTACGTGCTGGCCCACGAGCTGCTCCCTCTGCTGAGCAGGGACTCCGAAAAGGAGCGCCCGGCACGCATCATCTGGACGAGCAGCATAGAGGCCGACGCGATATCTCTCAATCTCGACGATTTCCAGGGCATCGAGAGCAAGGTGCCGTACGAGAACTCGAAGCGCATTACGGACATTCTGGCCTTGACGTCCCATCTCCCGTCCGTCCGGAAATATGTGAATTCCTATTTCCAGGCCGACGACGACGACGACGACGACGACAACAACAACAACAACAACAACAACAGCAGCAGCAGCAGCAGCAGCAGCAATGATGACGCCTCGGAAGCCGAGGTGAAACCCGTACCCCCGGCTATGTACGTAACCCACCCCGGCATCGTGCACAGCACGCTCATGCCGCTCCCCTTCTTTCTCGTCAACCTGTACTGGTTCGCCCTGCTCATGTGCCGCTGGCTGGGCTCCCCTTGGCACGTAGTGGACGGGTACCGCGGCGGCGCGGCTTCGGTCTGGATGGTGCTGGAGGACCAAGAAACGTTGGAGGAGTTGGAGGCGCACAAGGTCAAGTGGGGCTCCTGCTGCAATTTCATGGGCACGACCGGCGTGAAGAAGACCGAAGTCGAAGGGTGGGGCTGGGAAGGGAAAGCCGAGGACCGCGAATCGCTGGCTAAGGACCCGGCGCTTGGCGTGTTGCGCAAGCTGAAGGGACGGAGGCCTGAGGCGCAGGAACCGACGTTGGAAGACCTCGCCGGCTTTGAGGAGCTGGGCATCTCTTGTTGGAAGGAAATGGAACGGTTGAGGCTGGAGTGGCAAGGAATTCTCCGTGCTGGCACAAAGTCGGGCGCCGCTGACGAGAAGATATAAGAAAACGGGGGGTGGGGCGGGGCGTAGGGACCTAAGAAAACGGAGTACACAGGGTCTTTTGACGGCGCATCCTACGGCAAGGAAACTAGGCGATAGGCATATATCTCTACAGGGGTCATAGTCTGTTCGGGAGAGAGAGAAGACATAATATTATATAATACCTAATGAAAGACAATCCCAGGGAACAGTATTTTCCTTCATGCACGACACTATACCTAATCAGTCATGTTTGACGATAGCTGGTGCATCCCGGGTTCATCAGATCGAATCCTCTTCAGGCTCACTTTATGGGAGCGCCCGAACAAGCCAAGACACAAAGGCAACGGCATGACAAGCATGGCCAACACAGCCTGGAAGACCAGAGCATCCCGCATATGGCGCGGCGGGCTCGCGTCGTCGCCGGCGCGCAAGGCATCCGAGATGACAATGAAGCAGCCGCCCAGCAGCTGGCCCGCGGACCAGGCGACGACGCTCGTGACCTCGGGGCCAACCGGGTGGCTCAGCTCGACCAGGAACTCGAGCGCGACGGGGACGAGGCTGAAGCTGGCGGCGCCGAGGAAGGCGAGCACGGCGTAGGGGCCCGGCACGTCGCGGGTCTGGGGCATCCAGAGGAAGACGAGGTAGCAGAGCGCGATGAGGGGCACGGCGGCGCGGATGGCGGCGACGAAGGCCTTGGTGCGGTCCAGGAGCGGGGCGGTCAGGGCGGCGGCGACGAGGCCGGCGAGGATGAGGACGGCGCCGCCTAGGCCGGCTTGCTCATCGTCGAGGCCGTAGGGGGTGAGCATCTGGTTCAGGAGGGAGGAGCACGAGTTGAAGAGGCCTACGTAGACGGCGAAGGGGATGAGGATGAGGTAGACTTCGAGCGAGCGGGAGGCTTGGCGGAGCGAGGGGAGGAGCGGGATCTTGGCTGTCGTCGAGGACGGGGCGACGGGCGTAGGTGGCGCGGCGGGTATGAAAAAGGCGGGAAGGGAGAGGACGGTGGACTATTGTATGTACGGTACGAGGGAGATATCATCCCCCCCTCCCGGCCAGCGGTGTCAGCAACGGGGACAAGCTCGTCGCGCAACAAGAAAACACTGTGGGGACGGAGAGGAAAGAAAAGAAGAAGAAAAAACGCACAATGATGGAGACGTAGAGTACGCCACGAGACATTTGGCTGGGGCGCTCGACCCAGAAAGGCACAATAAGCTGGCCGAGGGCGGCGCCGAACGGATTGGCAAGGCTGGCGAGGGCAGTGGCGGCGACGCGGCCGCGGTCAGTGAACCAGAGGTCGGAGTAACGGGTGGGGGCGGCGAGGACGAAAGGTTGGGCCAGCCCGATGAGGATCTGGCCGACCATGACGGCGGCGAAGTGGCCACCGGAGGGGGAGCTAGAGTAGGACCCGGCGTAGCGGATCCAGTTCCCCACGAGAATGAGGCCGGCGCTGGTGATAATGGCCGGTTTGGGACCGCGGTGGAGGACGTGGAGGACGACAGGCGAGGCGACGACGAACGAGAAGAGGAACGCGGTCGAGAGCCAGTTGATGGAGGTTTCGTGGATGTTATAGAAAGACGCGGCATTGGAGGCGACCGGCGCGAAGGTGAGCCACTAGAAGGGGTGTCAGGGTGTTCAGTTACTTCAGTTACTAGGAAAGAAAATCAGTTCACTTCCACTTACACCCCAGCTGACAATTATATTCAACAGTGTCAGTTGCACAAGGCCAAACCAGCGGCGCCGATATGTTCGATACTGGACTGCCGACGTTTGGTCTTCCGCGACGCCGTTGTCGCGCTGTGCATCGACATCGTCCACCTTCATATTGGCGCCTTGGGACGGCGTTTTCGCCGTGGCTCCAGTTTCGACTTGACCTTCACCTTTGCGCTCGTCCAGGGGAGGCTCTGTGTTTATTGCGCCACCATTGTTGTCGTTGGGAGAGGACATTGCGTGCAGCTGATTTGAAGTCCTGACGTGAATAGGGGACACACCGAGGCTGGCCGAGGTGTACCCGTTTGGGGGGAGTACAAAGTACTCCCGAAGTAGTCCGTACTTTGCAAGGTACCTTACCTAAGGTATCGAAAAATGTCGAGACTTCGAGCGGGCTTTGGTATCCGGGAGATTGACAAGACAACAAGAATACAGAGAACAAGGATGGATCGCCTCGGAGGACTTTTCTTATATGAAGAGAGGGGAATTGGGGGAAATGATACCGGATTTGTTTCTTCATTCGAACAACGGTTAAATGTCCCGGCTCGTCGTTTCAGGCGCTGAATGCAACCCCTCTACTCTGTGCGCCGTACGGAGCACATGTACCAAGTTACTTCGTACATGCTACCATGAATGGACATTCTGTTTCGCTACTAATAATAGATTTGTTACCAACTTCTCATGAGCCGAATTATGTAACACCCACGATACAGCTACGGTAGGGACGCGAACAGAATGAACTAGATGTAAAGCCTCATCCGAAATGATCCAGAATGCCCCCCTGGTATTGAACCAATTGATTGAATGTAACGGTCTAGTATACATGAAGAAGTACAGTTGATAGGGGGGTTATATACAATTCGACTTCCTCCAGCACGATTCCCAGTCAGATGTTGCTACAAATGGTCAACATAAAAACCACCGAGGGGGCACGGCCTATGCTGCTCTTTGCTTGTCAACGCCAGCATTTTCGCGACGAGACCGAGGGACGAGGTTGCGACACAACAGCCTCGGTTATATATTCCCCATCCGGTTTCGAATCCAATCCTAATCCTGCTGCGCGACCACCGAACGCCCAAATAATGTTCCTCTAGTATTTCCCGTTCTGCATCTTCCATGTCTCCAGATACAGCGCAGGGTCCTTGGGGCCTGCCTTGGTCTCGTACCGGCCGCGTTCGGGGTGGATGGTCTTGCCGACGAAGGGGGTAAGCTGTAAGAAAACATGTCCAGTTAGCTTCAGGAAAGGGGTGCCGTTCGCGTTTGTTCCCGCTCGGTGTGTGCTGTTCCTCGAGGGCACTTTCACCTCAAGCAGCTCTTTGTCCGGTCCTAGGGTCCACATGTGACTTCCGCCAGGCGTTGGCCCCATTCGCTCTCTTCAACCTGAGTATGCTATCACCGGGAAGAAAGGCCCAGACAAAAGCCCAACCTGGTATGCCAGAGACCAGAAGCTTGTACCAACATGCAAAACGCACCTTGAATTCGGGATCCCTCAACCTCTCCGGGACCACATAGGTCCGCACTCTATTCCACTCAATCTGGTAGCCACCGAACCGCGTGTGCCTTCCCATGGCACCCGTCCGGTTGCCCTTGTAGAAACCCTTGTTGACATCCTTCGTAGTCAGGCGAAGATGCCTGTAGTTGAGGACGCGAAGAATCGGGGAGGGCTGCATGGTGGTAGCGGCGGGAGCTGTCTCCGCGTGGGTGGGTGGGTGTCTGATCCTGATGCGCAAAGCCCGTCAAAGCCCTTCAAGAATTGGTCGCCGCTATAACTTTCTTCTCTCCCGGTCCTCTCGTCGACGGTGAGGATCGCAATTTTCCCGTATGTCTATCCGTTGTCGCTTCGTCGAGATTGGTTGGGTGATCGTTTTGGACTGCACCTGATGGAAGTTCCGCTGTCAGGGACGCCGTTTTCTGATTCTGCCTTGGGGGCCCCCCACTTCGATTCGGATCACGTGAACACGTGTCTCCTGTGCACGGCCCGCATTGATTTCCATGTGGAGAATCCCTGACGCGTACCGCATCCCGCGGTCCCTCCCAACGTCATCAAGTCGGTATACCTAAGGTAGCTTGCGGTCTTCCCTTCTGCAACTCCAATCCGTCTTACCAATTACGTCGAATTACGTTCTGGATCCCTTCCCTGATTATGATCACTTTGGCTACCATTCAGAAGAAGCTCGTCGTCAAATGTCATCCATGATCGACGGCGAAATACCAACGGTGTCATGTTTGCTTGTGCACGAATATAGAGGGATGAACGGCACATTCACACCAAGTGAAGCTATTGAAATAACAAGCTTTCTGATCGATTCTTATGCTACGCTCATTCGTATTTCTATTCCCGAGACGTCTTAGACAAGCCCTCAAGGGGCAAGGGAGGAATCATACCGCGACGTATCCCCGTTTCCGACTTCAGTCAAACCCTAAACAGAGACTCATTCGAATAGAACCAAATAAACGACGGTTCCGGGCCTTTCCTTCTCGAAGTTTACAGTGCGGAGCAAGAGCCAGTAAGAGCATGCATGCTAAGAAGAAGTCACGGCTATGGTAGATCTGACTCGGAAGTCGGTGGAATTGGTATCCCAACATCACGCAGGTAGGTGCAGCACACCGGACGGGCAAACGACACTGCTTTCAGAAACGTCAATATAACAGCATATAGTTTTGGGGTGGAAGGGAGAGTCAAGAAACCTGGTGTCTACATAGCTCCTGCCGACCACGTAGATCTTGCCACGATGGTTCCTTCACTATAGAAGGTAGGTAGATATCATCCCATTCGCAAATACCCCAAGTACCTAGACATAGACGCAATAGCTACCTATGACAAGGCGGCAAGGCGGCAAGGCGGCAAGGCCAACAAGTGTCTCAAGACATCCTGTCCCTGTCAAGGTCAGATCTTAGCTACCTTGCCGAGTGTTGACCGGTTGAACTGCGATTGCCTAAAAGATTAGTTCCTGGGTACCTAGGGAGGATGGTCTTTCGCCGCGCGAGCCTGCTGGTCAGAAAATATCAAGCTCCAGAGCGTCCTCGGAAAGATTCGTACTGCACCTGGCTTCTGAACGTGAGTATGAGCGTTAGCAGCTTCCCCGTAGCGCGGGCCTTCTGGTCAGAAAACAAGAAACTCCAGAACGCTCTGCAACAGATTCGTAATGTGCCTGGCTTTTGACCTGGCTTTTGACCGTGAGTATAAGCACTGGCAGCTTCCCCAGTGTGCCGGGCAACACAGAGTCCAGACAAGGGAGTCGCTCCTCGCGCATGAAGAGCGAACACTCTTCATTCATCCCATTCCCTATAATAACCCGGATCCCATCTGGTCTTCCATCATCTCCTCAGAACTCCTCTGCCATCGTCCCCTCTACTGTCACTTCGAACACCTGCTCCCAGCGTCCCATTTCTCTGGAGACCCTTTCTCTTCTCTTCTGGACACTCTCTTCTCCGCTCTGCTCATCTGCTCCAACATGTCAACGTCGGGAATCCTCTGCTTCCAGGCATGGCAACTTGGCAAGTCATAGCACACGACGCTTGACGCGGCTTGACTACCTAGGTGAACAACAACAAAAAGAGCAACGAAAGACGCCTCAGAATTGCTTCTTGACCACGTTTTCATCAAGGCCCATCAGGGTTTCGGATGTTTGTGGTTCGCTGCTTCATCATCGACGTCTAAAAAGGTGGGGACCATGATGATGATCCTTCCGGACTCCCAGTGAAGATACTGCTAATCTACAGAGCGACGCTTGTAGCGAGCGTTCGCAGTGCTGAACACAGCCGTGTCATCCTTCTGAGGGAAGATGGTGGTGAAATATGGTCGGGCTGCTTTCCTGCCTTGCAGGTTATCCTTGCCGCAGCTCACTCAGCCGACACGTGACATACACGCGGGCTGACCAAAAGGAACCCCACTTTTAGATACGAACATGCCACCACCACCACCAAAAAGCTCCATCGCAGCAGCGACGACCAATTCCACCTTTTCTCCTGGATATTTTCGTGGGTAATTACTCCGCCTCCATACTCCCCTGCTCGTATAAACATAAAGATAGTCTCTTGACCTGCGCACCCAACTTTTTGCCTGACCATTACGTTCCAGAAATGCGAGCTTCCATCGGATCGTGCGACATAGAGTCTGAACGAGCATTCATCTACCCATGCAACACGAGGAGGCTTGTCTACATACTGACGTAATGGGCTGGATGCTGGAATACGGGAGATGGGATTCTCATACGGATCCATTAGAAGGACATCTGTCATTTTACAAGCCCTGCATGTGACGCCAGGTTTTAGCTGTACTCTGTAGGGAAATCAACGTACTACTCCAGACTCAATCTTGTCGAGCTCCCGTACCTTGGAACCTTGTTTATGTTTGGAGGCGCACACGGCACCTCAGTTTGATGGGTCAAGCCAGAAGAAAGCTTGGTCCCGACCCGCTTGGTGCACGGTCCAATTACCCGTAAGTTGTCCAGACGGGAGGTACACAAACGAAGTACCGCTCCCTAGGGCCATTGTTCGTGTCCGATGACAATTCCACTCCAACTCTTCGCCAAACATATGCTTACGAACAAGCCAAATTCCGTCCCCGTGCTGCACATTTCTAGGATTCGCCATATGTCGGTAGTCGATGTTAGTTCTCTGTCAATATTCGATGTTTAGGGATTACATTGGATCTGGTATAGTCCATACTCACAGCACTTCGAATATCCAAAAAGCGTGAATGGTTTAGTGGTAAAATTCTCCGTTGCCATCGGGGAGCCCTGGGTTCGATTCCCAGTTCACGCAAGGATACTTTGTTAGGCTTGCTGAGTGGTTTAATGAGCACTTGGCAGGTTGGATTTTTGTTTTGTTTTGGTATCCATTGCTTTTCTTTCTTTTTTCTTTCTTTTTTTCCTTTTTTTGTTTTAGATATAAAAAATCAATTTGTTTGTTTGTTTACAATACAATTCTGTTTAATACCCGAGTTCGTGTCTATCTTGCCGCTATTTACTCCATATTTTGAGATCGCATGCGCATAACGGGTAACAAAAGAACGCACCGTCGAAGCACATGTCTTGAAGAGAATGGCCACTAAGAGCTAACCCGAAGCGGTACACAAATTCTCTCTCGCCGATGAGGGTATGTCTATCCAGATATTACACGCTACATTGCGATATACAACCCCCTTCCTTCCCCTCCCCCTTCCCATCGTCGCCGCTCGAAATTGGCACCAATCAAACAACAGTGACGGTGGCGTTGGCACGGATGTCTGCGCTCGAGCTGCCGACCAAAATCTGGAAGTCGCCGGGCTCGACCACGTACTGTATCTTCCTGTCCCAAAGACCCCACTCGGACACGTCAAGCTCGATGTCGACGGTGACGGTCTCGCCGGCGGGGACAAGCACCTTGTTGAAGCCCTTCAGCTTGATGTCGGGGACGTCAACTGACGCAATCACGTCCCTGACGTAAACCTGGACAACCTCCTTGCCGTCGAGATCCGAGGCGTTCTCTATGTCCACCGACACGGTGATGACGTCCGAGGCCGAGGCGGTAGTGGAGGACAGGGTCAGGTCGGAGTATTTGAAGTTGCTGTACGACAAGCCGTAGCCGAACTGCGGGGGAAAAGGAACAAGAAAAAAAATGAATAGTCAGCACAGCACTTATAAATGCCGAGGAGAAAAGGAAGAAAAGGGAGAAAAGGCGGGAAAGAGGGTGCCAGGGTCAGAATGTTTGACATACCTCGTACATCGGCAGGGGGCTGTTGAAGACGTAGTTGTTACCAAACTCGAGGGTGCCGTTCGGGTGGATGCGACCAGGATTGGGCCAGCGGCGAGCCGACTTAAGGTGGTCATAGTAGGCAGGAGCCGTGCCGATATCCCACGGGAAGGCCACGGAAAGCTTACCGGACGGATTCACGTCGCCGAAAAGGATGTTGGCGAGGGCATGACCTCCCTCCTCGCCCTGGTAGAACATCTGCACCAGAGCAGCGGCTTCCTCAGAGATCCAGGGCTCGGTGATGGGCTTTCCAGAGCTGTAAACGACGACGGTCGGTGTTCCGGTCTCGATAATGGCCTTCACCAGGCGGGGCATCATGCCGACGAGCTTGAGATCGTGCCCGTCAATGTGCTCACCAGTCGTGGCGTTGAGGCCCATCCATAGTTCGTTCTGATCGCGGGACCATGTGCCGACGACCACAACTGCAACGTCAGCAGCCTCGGCAGCGGCGATGGCCTCGGGGAAGCCGTCTTCGTCGTTGGACCAGCGCTCGCCTCCCTGGGCAAAAGTAACGGTGCCCTCGCTGGCATCCCGGATGCCCTCATAAGGGGTAACGCCTCGCGTCATTGAGGTGTGGATGACATAATCGCCATACTATTCAAATCAAGTTAGAAGATGAAGAAAGAAAAAAAAAAGGAGAGAAAGGGAGAGAGGAACAAAAAAAGACAAAAGGAGCATACGTTGACATAGCCGTGGGCCATGGGTCCAATGACGGCGACGTGAGCATTCTTAGAGATGGGCAAGGCATTCTCATGGTTCTCGAGCAGGACGATGCTTTCCTCGTCAATCTCCTGCGCCAGGGCCTTGTGCTCGTCCGTGTTGATGTAGTCCCAGAACTCGTCATCCGGCACGGCGGTGTAGGGGTTCTCGAAGAGGCCAGCGGCGAACTTGGCGCGGAGGACACGGGCGACGGCCGTGTCAACGACCTCGGGGTCAATCTTGCCCGCCTCAATCAGCTCGGGGATCTTCTCGAAGCTGTACCGGCCGCCACCCATTTCGACGTCGTTTCCGGCCGGGAGGGTCTACGCATGAACCCATGTTAGCTTAGCCACGACTCGAGACGGGAGGTGCGAGTCTTCTCAGCCTACCATAGTAGTGACACACTCGTGATCGAACGGCTCCACAGAGCAGACGCCAAAGTCGGTGGCAAGACGGGCGGTGCCGCCAGCATCGGACTAGAGTGGCTACGATTAGCTAGGAAACGAAATGATATGGAGACGAGCAGCGCATACGATGATGTAGTACTGCGAGAAAACGGGAGAGTTAGCCATCAATCATGGTTTTCGTTTCGTTTTCTCGGGACTGGGGGGTCCTCACCTCATAGCCCCATTCGCCGCGCAGGATTTCCTCCTGGATATGGTGGTCGGAGACAACAGGAATGCCATCATAAGAGTTATAAGAACCCATGACGCTCCACGCATCAGCATCCAGGATGGCGCGCTTAAAGGCTGGCAGGTAGGTGGTACGAAGCATTCGCTCGCCGCCATGGACGGGGGCGGTGTTGACGCCCTGTTCAGGGGTAGCGAAGGCGGCCTGTGAGGCTGGTTAGTCGCTTATTATTATCATCGCCTTACCCAAGCTGTGGGGTTGACAAGAGCGGGAGGCACTCACAAAGTGCTTGACCATGGCGCACACTTTCTCGCTCTGCAGGCCCTTGACGTATGCGTGGCCCATTTCTCCAGCCCTGCCAAATTATCCTGTTAGCCGGTCCCAAACCAAACCACCACAACCCCTAGAACCATGTTCCCGATGGCCTCCGATCGCCCGCCGACGTACAGATAAGGGTCCTCGGTGTAGCACTCTTCGACTCGTCCGAAGCGCAACTCGCGAGCTAGATCCACGACGGGGGCAAAGATCTGGTTGACGCCCAAAGCACGGGACTCGATGCCGATGACCTGGGCCATCTTCTCGACCAGCTCGGGGTTGAAGGAGCAGCCATGGGCAATGGGCGAGTTGAAGATGGTGGCATTGAGGGCGAGAAAGCCATGAATACCCTCACTCTGGATGAAGGCGGGAATACCTATAGGGAAACGTTTTAGCTCCATCGCCTCGCCTCGCCTCTTCTCCTTCTTGCCCAGACATCGTTCTCGAAGAATCACTCCTTACCAAGACGGGTCTTGTTGACGAGATAGTCCTGGGCAAGCCTGGCGCCGCGGCTGACCATGGCTTTGGTCATGTAGAGGCCAGTCCAGACGGAATTGGCGCGGTTCTCGGCGAGCCAAGCCATGGCGGTCTCGTTGTAGGTGCCATCGTCGATGTCCAGGAAGTCGCGAATGTCGCCCTGCAGCAATTGGGCCGTCTTTTCCTCGATGGTCATGCGCTTGAGCAAGTCGGCCACACGGTCATCAATCGCAGCATCGGGATTCTTGTAGACCGGGACACAGCTCGCGTTGTCGGCAGCAGCCTTGGCAGTGGCCGCGAGGAGCGAGGCACAGACAGCGAAGGAGAACTTCATGGTGTCAGAGGTCGCACTGCGGGATCACACTTGCTGGGGACCTCCGTGACGGACACTTAAAGTCGGAGAGCTTTGTTGAAACGCCAATGGGTCTGGGGCAAAAGCCTGGGCTTCCCTTCTATGACCACTGGGACTGGCTGCATACTTATAGCCGACGTGTTCGTCTCCCCGAACCAGGACAAGGGCCTGCGTCTCACTCGGCCCATGCAAGACAAGACGTAGCAATGAGGATGGTTTCGTTACGGTGAGCAACGGCAAGGGGAACGCCACCCGCCCAATGTGAAGCTACGGAGCTTCTCCGCACCGCTCATGGCGAGCTTTGGGGAAAAGGAGACCGAACCTGGGGGTGGTTTCCGCCGGTGTGGTCGCTTGGAGGGGAGAAGGCATACGACGAAAGCGGCGTTGAGAAACTTCCATTGGACATGGAAGTCATAGCCCCTGGATGAACATAATTATAAGGTCAATTGAAAGGAGTAGGTACGCAGTAAGCAGCGCAATTGAACAACGATCCCCCGGATCTAAGCTGAAAGAAGAAATCGGGGTAGAGAGATGAATTTGGCAAACTTGGTTTCGGTGGGAGTCGTCCCGGATGACATGGGTGAGATGTCCACGGTGCTGTGGGTCTTTATTAAGGTACAACGTGCACAGGTGCCGTCATGAAAGCCGGTTGCTCAGGTACGGTACGTACTCTGTACCGGTGGTACCTGAGGGTACGGTACCTTGACTAAAAGGAGACACTAGCTTAGGTAAGAACGGAATGGCTTGAAACACTGGGGAAGGAGAGGCCCACTTACGAATCCAATGAGATGAAAGGCACCCGCCAATCGGATAAAGAGCGGCACATGTTAATCCGAGGCCCCGAGAGTCGATCACCACAATCTCCAAGTCCTCAATCTCCCATCTCCGCGATCGAGTCTCTCCTCTCTCCGCAACTTTCCAGACCCAATCCTATCATATATTTTTTTCTTCCGTCAGTTTTACGGTCGTCTACATATGGCTCTGAAATTGAGAATATGCCAGGATTCGAGCTTCCCTTTTGGCATGAGTAATACCCGGGGCGTCGATAGCAGGACCCTTCGTCTCGCTGACCTGGGCCAATTCTCCAACAGCGTCTGCTCTCCACAACGTTATAGCCTCTCTTACGTTGGCCCTGGCGGGCCGCTAATCGCGGACGATACCAACCGTATGGAGATTCAATTTCCTCACATGATAAGTGCCTCGTAGGTAATCCACGTCCGACTGCGGCTTGCTCATCAACTGAAGCGGGTGACGCGGGCGGAGCGGATACACACCGGCGGGATTAGTCGATCCCCATTCGCCGGCCTTGGAGAGAGGCTTGTTGTGTTGTGGTGGGGGACCGCTCGCAGCCCACGCCGCATGCATCCGCTGGGATTCCCCATCGCCGCCTCCAGGACGGAGTAATCACATCAAAAACATGCTGCTTTGTTCCCTGGGGTCGTCCACTTTATCCGGAGCCCGTCTTGTTTTCTGACTTACAAGACAGCTCGCTCTCGCTCCTTTGAAACGTCTGCCACTTAAGCATCTGTTTCCCCTGATGTTGGGCGTCTTCTCGCAAGTCTTTTGCGCTTTTCCTTCTCCCGTGGGCGGTGTCTGATCATCCAGTTCTCGACAATTGCCCGTCATGGTTCACTTCAGAGATGGAATGTGGCTCCCCGCAAAGGACATGTGGGTTGAGTATGCCGAGGAAGTCTACGAAATAACACCACGGGTGGACGGTAAAGGGCTGAGCCTGCTATGTCCCACGAAGAAGATCCTCAGGCGCGGCGATACTTTAAACAGAAGCACTGTCACCTTGGTGAGTTTTCGTCTTTTGGCTTTGTACGGCCGGGGGGGGAGGGGGGGGGGCTCAGAGCGCAATACTCACGGAAATGATGGTGTGCAGGACATCAACGCCGAGGCGGACGGAATCATCTCTGTCGAGGCCACGCATTGGGCCGGTGCTCTGAACAAGGGCCCTCACTTCGAGCTCTTTCCCCACGGTCGGCCAGATGTCCAGAGCAGCATCTTCGAGTCCGACGAAGGAACCACTCTCACTTCCGGCTCCGTAGCCGCAACCATCGACCCGAATACTTTCGAGATTCGCTTCCACAGCGCAGACGGGGCAAAGCGGCTCACCTCCCTGCAGACCCGAAGCGTCGGCCTGGCCTACAACCCTGCGCCAAGTACGCCGATGCAGACCGCCGATATGCGAAACCTCAAGCACTACATGTTCACCCAGACCACCCTTGCCGTCGGGGAGACTGTCCACGGTCTTGGCGAGAGGTTTGGTGCCTTTAATAAGGTCGGCCAGTCCATCACACTCTGGAATGCCGACGGCGGTACCTCCAGCGACCAGGCCTACAAGAACGTTTCCTTCTGGCTTAGCAGTAAGGGATACGGCATCTTCATCGACACCCCGGCCAAGGTTGAACTGGAAGTCGGCAGCGAGAGGTGCACGCGAGTCCAGACCGCTGTGGAGGGCCAGCGACTCAAGTGGCACATCATCTATGGTCCTTCCCCCAAGGAGGTTCTGCAAAGGTATTCCATCTTGACGGGGAAACCCGGCAAGGTTCCCAGCTGGAGCTTTGGCCTCTGGCTGACCACCAGCTTCACCACCAACTACGACCAGGAAACGGTCCAGTCCTTCCTGGAGGGCATGAAAGCCCGTGGGTCGCCCGTAGAGGTCTTCCACTACGATTGCTTCTGGATGAAGGCGTTCACATGGACCAGCTTCGTCTTCGACGACGACAGGTTCCCGGACCCCAAGGGTCAGATCGCCAAGCTCAAGGAGTCTGGTCTGTGCAAGAAGGTCTGCGTCTGGATCAACCCGTACATTGCACAACAAGGTGCCGCTTTTGCCGAGGCTGCCGAGAAGGGCTACCTCCTCAAGCGAAAGAACGGCGACGTTTGGCAGTGGGACCTGTGGCAGGCCGGCATGGGCCTGGTGGATTTCACCAACCCCGAAGCCGTCACCTGGTACGTCGACAATCTCAACAAGCTCTTCGACCAGGGGGTCGACTCCATCAAGACGGATTTTGGTGAACGGATTCCGACCCTGGACGTCGAGTGGCACGACAAGTCGGTGGATCCCGCCAAAATGCACAACTACTACGCCTTCATCTACAACAAGATCGTCTACGAGGCTCTGCAGGCAAGGTACGGCAAGAACGAGGCCGTCCTCTACGCGAGGACCGCCTGCGCCGGCACTCAGCGCTTCCCTCTCCAGTGGGGCGGAGACTGCGAGTCAACCCCCGAGGCCATGGCCGAGTCGGTCCGCGGCGGTCTGGGCCTGGGCCTGAGCGGCTTCTCCTTCTGGAGCTGCGACATTGGCGGCTTCGAGGGATGCCCGCCGGCTTGGATCTACAAGCGCTGGGTAGCCATGGGTCTCCTCTGCAGTCACAGCCGGCTACACGGAAGCAGCTCCTACCGCGTACCCTGGGTCATGGACGACGACGACCAGACCGAGGAGGGCTGCTCTCGGACGCTTGCCAAGTGGACCGCGCTCAAGTCGCGGCTCATGCCGTACCTGTTCGCCGAGGCGCAGAAGTCGGTGGAACAGGGTCTGCCGTTGTCGCTCAGGGCAGTACTGGTTGAGTTCCCTGAGGATCCAACGTCGTGGTTCCTGGACAGACAGTTCATGGTGGGGCCCAACCTGCTTGCGGCCCCCGTATTCGAGGAGTCGGGCGAGGTCGAGTTCTACCTGCCCCAGGGCAAATGGACTTCTTATTTCACGGGGGAAGTCCGCGACGGGCCCGGCTGGTTCAGGGAGAAACATGGATTCGGTACTCTGCCGCTCTACGTTAGGGAGAATACGGTGCTCGTCCTGGGTAGCGAAAAAGCTGTGGGCGCCGTCTACGATTATACCGAAGATGTCGAGGTCCGGTTATACCAAGTCCGCGAGGGCGCAAAGGCTTCGCTCGTCGACACGGAAGGCAATGAGGTGGGTGTTCTGGAAGTGGGCAGTGACGGGAAGCTCAAGGATGTGTCGGTGCTCAAGGGGAACTTCGCTGTCAAGGAGCTGTAGAGGGCGGGCGGGCGGGCGGGCATTCATGACATTTTACGACATTTAGAGTCATTGCATCATATACCTCGGTAGACGTGGGTTTTCGCTTTTCATTTTCTTTTTCATTTTCTTTTCCTTTTTATTTTATTTTTTTGCCCGTCTTCAATTCATCTCGTACACATTATCCAATTCCACTGCACTCTCGCAGCCACTACCCTTTGAGACCTTAGTGTGAATATCTACCCCTCTTGTGCCCCTCACTTCTCCAATTCGGGGTCAGGGGTCTTCAAGCCACCCCGCACTTAGCAGCATCCATTTACCCGGCTAGAGTCGTCGGGATACAACATTGAAATGTGGGGAATCAACCGAGCCACTCACATCTCTTCAACTCCGACTTGTGGGTACGGCGCTGGGTAGACGTGCATCCTTAGGTAGCCGCCCAAACAACCCCCATCAAGAACAGGCGAAGTAGCCATAGCCCCGAAGCCGGAATGCAAACATCTCTACTCTACCTAGAGAGGTACCATGAAGGTACCTTCAATACCAACCTAGCGACGGGGTCCCTTTTACCAGCCTCTCTCTACTAAGTGCATGCCTGTTTGTAATCCCCGGCAGCCCTGTCTACGGATACCAACGACTAAGCACTAACCGTCGCAACGGGTCAACGTTCCGGGACCTCGGATCGCTGTCGGGCTAACAGATCGAGTCGAGTCGCGTTCTGAATACCTATATCCGCTCGCTTGGAATCCTCGTTGCATTACTCTTACCGGAGACAGGGACGAGATGGCATTGGTCCACATGATGGCCTTCCGATGTTGTGAATATTTATGGATATATCTCACTGAACTAGTACGGAACAACGGCAAGCCCATGTAGTAACGGGCATATGACATTGGGTATTCTCTTGCCCGTCGAATGTAATTGCCCTGAAGCTAGAAGACTTGAAGGTGAGACGAAGGAAAAATAACAAGATAAGCATACCTACTTCCTCAAGTTGAATCAGAGTGGCGCGAAAACAAGAGTTGATCGTTCCCTAAGAGTCTGGGCATCCACCTTTAACAGACACAGACAGAAGACATCAATAGAGTACCAGATGCAGACATCATCCCAAATTAGTGCTGGTACCAAAGTGAAAGAAATAGATTTGGATATATCATGGCTCATATGCGTAGACATGCAAGGCTAAAGTTGATGTAATACCTAGGTGTTCGTCAATGAATTCAGAGATCGGCCCACTGCTCGTGCGTTAGCAAACGAGCTCGAGACTTCCCCACAGCTTATGGTCAACTCACAGCGTCAGGTGTATTGGTGATCTCTTCGAATGATTGCAGAATCTCGAATCCCATCGCAACAATGTGTTCGTACGCACTATCTTGGACCTGAGATTCGTCAGTACCCTATGTCCGAAAATGCCACAGTAGGAGTAGAGAAATACCCAGCTCAACACAGTCTTCGTGGATTTGTACGCCTTGTTCCGTCTCACACCCATCACTACAAGTCCCTGGAGAACAAGGGCCGACTGCTGCGACGGAGGCACGACTGGCGCCAGAACCCCACCAATGTCCTCATGATCGCGGGACATAAGAGGTGGTATGTTAGTCGACAGCAGGTTCCCGGGGCTGCAGATGATCACCGTGCCAAGGAGCGTGTCGTCCGCGCTCTTCGCCCTGACTATGCCACAGGCCTTCACCTCTTGGAGCGCCGTCTTGTACAACTCGGTGACTTCGGGGTTGGTGTGCTTGTCGACAAACGTCAGCACGCGCTCCCCGTCCGTGTTATCAAGACCGTGAATGAGGTCAAAGCTGATGCTCGCGCGCTGTATGCCCTGGAGCAGCCCCTCTGGCACGCTCCAGGTGGAGAGATCGTTGATGACGAGATTCGTCAAGCGCTTGGGAAATTGCGTGTCCCAGCCGTTGTTGGCGAACCAGGACTTGGTATGGCCTTCGTCGATGGGAATGCCGAGGAAGACACCCGGGAAAGCAATACCTAACTGCAGTTTCTTAATGTTTCGCTTCTTCCTCAAGTGGCGAAGAGCTCTCCTATGGAGCGACGTTCCCACGGAATGGTTGCGCTTGGAGGGATCCACGAAGATCGACCCTAGAATTCCGGTCCGGTCAATGGCATATGTAGCAGCGAAGCCATAGAGGGCATTCGTGCTACTGTTCCGAACGACGAAGTGGGCCCCCTCAATGTTGGGGTTGGATAATTCAAACGAGAGCGGCGTCGCCTTGTCCAGGCATCCGAGGTCACTCGTAGATGCGCGTGCTACTGCCGTGACGAGCTCTTGGAGCCCGCAGGCATCGCGATCGCGGTCATAGTCCTCGACAATCCAATTCTTGCGGGATTTCATTCCTCTCCTGCTCTTCCTCAGCGTTCCCGGGAGGCTTCCCTTGGGCACGAAGTCGCCACAGAGAGCTCGTACTAAGGACTGCATCGCCGTTTCCGTGAAGTCGAATGTGCAGATATAGGTCCCAATGGTTTTGTCCATGGCAAAATCATAAGGCGAGCTGACAGCTACGACGATAACCGACTTCTTTTGCCCCCTTGTCCTCAGCATTGAGCACATCATCTCTACATGCTTGGTAAAGCCGCTCTGGTACAAGTTTCTGTTCGCGTCCGCCGTCACGATGATTATGCAGGAGGCTCTGTGGATGAGGTTCTCATGGACTGGCAGCTCCGTTAGCGCTTGAACCAGATATTGTTAGCTTGAGCCAGATATTTTTACCTGGCCGAACACCATTCGCAGTATAGCTTGTGTGAAGCACCTTGCCGTTACGGGCACGTGCAAGACACCTCCCCAGTTCTCTGAAAACACCCTCACCGCTCATAATAGTTCCCCTGTCTCGGTGAACCCAGGTATCGTGGGTGTTCGGTGCAGAAGCTTGGGCGCCTTTGGCTTGTAGCAGACTCTTCATGAGAGAAGACGCCGGGAGGGGCTTGACGAGTGGTGTTAGCAGTAAAAGCTCCTCATCCTGATGCATGCTCCTCGAGAGCGGGAGGAGTTTGTCGTTATCTCTGATAACCGTGATTGAGTCGTCATAGGCCATCTTGGATAGGGCAAGATGAGACGGGCGTAGTTTCGACAATAGTGAGATCCCTGGAGGGTTCAGGGCGGTGACCCAGGAGGTGCACGTCGACTTGAGTCGGATGATGCGATTCAACGACGTTCTTATCCTGTCTTTTGTGATAATGCCGTTCTCAATACCCAGCTTGAGACCTTTGATGGCTTCCTTTTGTACTTCGAAAGCCCTACAGAGCAAAACAAGATCACAGCCGGCCTCGACAGCCATGACGACTCCGTTTTGTACTCCAATGTCATGGCTCAAGGCCTGCATTTCGAGGCATTCCGAAATGGCAACTCCGTCGAACCCCAGGTCGTTTCTCAGGAGATCGTCGACGACCTGATCGGAGAGACACGCATGCGACACGTTCATGGAGGGATTGGAGATGGCACAGCCACCGACAAACATGCCGTCCAGCTTTCCCGTGGCAATGGCATTGCGGAAGGGGACAAGCGCGCTGAGACTCAGCTCCTCCAGGGTCTGGGTGATGATGGGAATGTCCAGGCTGGAGCCCAGGAAGTCCAGGTTGCCGTACGACGGGAAGTGTTTCCCGCAACAGGCAAGTCCGGCGTCGCGAATGCCGTTGATGGCGGCGATGCCATACTGGGAGACTTCCTGGGGGTCGTCCCCCGTGGCGCGTACGCCAAGAGGTTGATACCTGGCATTGGATAGAACGTCCAAGACGGGGCCCAACATCATGTTCACCCCGCACGCGCCGACCGCAGTGGCTGTGGCCTTGTTGACCTCATAAGCCAGGTCCGCGCGGCCAGTAGCGGCAATTCCCATGGCACTTGGGAACTGGCAGACGTACTCGTCGTCGAAAAGACTGTTGACGCCGCCATTCTCCTGGTCGAGGGCGATGAGGAGAGGCTGTGGATGGCCTGCATTGTGAGCTATAGTTTGCAGTTCCCGGACCAAGTTGGCCATTTCCGCGGCAGCTGTCGTAATATTAGAAATGACATCCATAACAGGGTCCCTGTAAGATGAAGTTGACTAACACTTAAGGTTCTTCGCCGTGAGAATGATGGACCCGAGATGATGGTCTTCAATGAGATGGCGGATCTGTGGCGTCACCTCCGTCCCATCCCATCCCATGATGAACATCTGGCCAATTGCCCTGGAAAATGAAAATAGCGCAGTGTCAGTGAGAGAGCCATGACTGACTGATCAATCCCAAAGATGCATCGAGCTTGTCAGCCCCAGTCCTTGCCATCTGCACACCCGAAGATGGGGAGGGGGTACAGCAGCAGCGGCTTTTGCGCGGTGGAGGCCGGAGTCCGGAGGAAAACAACAAGAAGGGATCGATGAGGCTATGAGCTTCTGGATGCATGATGGCATGATGCAGCTTACCAATCGAGGTCCTCCCATCTTGGATCGAAACCAATTTGTTGGGCTTCATTCGACATCGAGGTGGACATGGTTACCGGCCTCTGAGATGACCCGGACCCAGAGGAGCGGGCATAGTACCTATCAAGACGGGAGGTTTCAAGTGACAACGGTGTAGGTCGGCGGCGGGCCTTGTCTCGAGAAAGTTGCTCCGACTCGGCGATAGTTCTGATGATGCTCTGTGTTACCATGTCGCATATGGGGAAGGGGAGCCGAGGCCGGTGAACGGCTGATCCTCGGCTGATACTAGCGTCGGTATTCGGTGCCAACGGGGGGGTTGTGGGTCGTCCAAGTACCGAGATGTTCTCGCACTGTCTCGTCTCCGCTTATTTTAGGGCCGCTTTTACGCGGGATTATCCTCTGGAACCTCTGGAACCTCTGGTTGACCTGTTTGCTTCTTTCTGATTGCGTGTTTGACTTCGTACTTCGTTGTCGCGTCCCAAGGTTTAGGTTTGGCGGTCAACCCAAACTTAACAAGCACGTGAAGTCCCTTACACGTGATGCGTCTTTGGGGGAGTTGACACTCCAACGAGAGTTTTGACGGCAACATTAGCGTCCGCCACTCCTACCATACGACGTTACATGGCCACATAGATGGGCCGACAAAGGGCGGGGCTTCCTCATTCTTCGTCTATCTGTATTTGTTCCATGGAGGTTCCATGGCTGCCACGCATCGAGTAAATAGCCGGATCTAGGTAGGCAGGCGGCATAATCAACGCTACATCGGTATCAAGACGCTTGGAAAGGCTGCGTCGCATTTCCAAATCCTGGAAATCAGACGGCGCACACTAAGATGTAGCTTGTTAGCTAGCATGTGGACTGTTTCGGGCGAAAGATTTGCTCAGTCCTACCGTTCCACCGATTTCATGAGCTACGGATACTACGAGTGTACGCTATTCAGCGCAGGACCCAACAGCCGTTGCCTCTTTTCAGGTAAATGCGACCACGGCAACTACTGTACATGTACCCGGATCGAGTGGTGAAAACCAGTGGGTTCCACATGCTACTTGATACCCAGCCTAGTGGTTCAAACTCGAGGGGTGACAACCCGGTCAGACAGGTAGGCTGTCTCGCCACTCTTACACGGGGAAAGAGGTTCCATTCGTCTCGGGAGTAGATAGAAGCCATGATCTCATCCCACTGTACTGGGCTTGCTTTGTCCGGTTTATGGAGTCTACACGAGATATCAAGCGGGCATTTTGTCCATAATATTATTTCCGACGATCACTGGAGAATCGACCGAGCATAATCCGTACCAGTGCCCAGTCTAAGCTGTGACTGCCATCATAATGCCTGCTGCTGTACCTCCCACGCGGCCTCGGACAGGGATTACTCGATTCACCAACTGTCGTTTGGTGAAAGGCGACTCACTCGTTGAAGAAGACCTGTGGGTAAGCTCCCAGTCGGGGAAAATCGTCTCCAGTCAAGCGGCCTTCTTCGACGATCTTGCACTGCCAGATGAATCAATTGACTTGGGCGGTCGGATCATCTCCCCCGGCTTGATTGATGTCCAGCTTAACGGCGCTTTTGGGTTCAACTTCTCGACGCTTCTCGAGGACACTGCGCAGTATGGGAAGAAATTCCTCGAAGTGAAAAAGGGTCTGGTTGCCACGGGGGTCACGTCTTTTCTCCCAACGTTGACCAGTCAGACATCCGGGCTATATCAAAAGGTACACTATTTCGTTTGAACCATGCATGGGGGTTCATAGAACGCTGAGGGGTCTTAGGTGCTACCATATCTTGGGCCATCTCGTGGCATCCGCCGATTTGAGGATGGCTCAGAGTCCTTGGGTGCCCATGTCGAGGGACCGTTCCTGAATCCCGCGAAAAACGGCATCCACTCAAAGGACGTGCTTCTGGAGGCCCAGACGTTCGAAGACATCGAGGCCTGCTATGGCAAAGCCAATCTTGGCGCCAGAGAAAGCAATAATAGCCCGATGACCATGGTCACTGTAGCCCCTGAGCGAGGCCAGATGTCGAAGCTCATTCCCGAACTTAGGAAACGGGGGATCATCTGCTCCATTGGGCATTCTGCGGCAACATACGAAGAGGCACTGGTCGCGATCGAGGCGGGCGCCACCATGATCACGCACCTTTTCAACGCCATGCGGCCTCTCCACCATCGCAATCCCGGTATTTTTGGCGTCCTCGGTGCGGCCGAGAACTTGCAGAGGCCATATTTCGGCGTCATTGCCGACGGCATCCATCTGCATCCGACGACAGTGAATATCGCATTCAACACATTTCGCGAAGGCTTCATCCTCGTCACCGATGCCATGCACATGATGGGTTTGCCGGATGGTGCATACCAGTGGACCAACGGAGACGCGACAAGCAACATCGTCAAGGTTGGCCCAACCCTTCTTCTCGAGGGAACCGACACCATCGCTGGAAGGTCAGTATTTCTTATTTTTCATCGAGTCGTGGGGCGGCCTATTTTGGTACTTGAAGGCATCAGCTGACACGCAAAATATAGTTCCATTAGTCTTATCGAATGCGTGAACAACTTTTTGAAATGGTCGGGCACCACGATTCCCGCGGCACTGAAGACCGTCACAGCCACCCCGGCAGCCATGCTCGGGTGCCAGGAGACGAAGGGGTCTCTGAATGCCGGGGCGGACGCTGACCTCGTCATCTTTTCGGAACAACTCAAAGGCGGGACTACAGAGTTGGTGATCGACGAGGTCTGGAAGTTTGGCAATCGAGCGTACTGCCGTGGCCCCGTCAAGCCTCCTCATGGAACAAAATAGGGATAGCTGCCTTTAGACATACCCGGGACAATAGGACGTAAGGTAATCAACATGAGAGGGATACCACCGGGGGCAAGAAGGGTTAAATCCATGTTGCTCTAGAAGGTTTAGAATTATCGATATATACCTTTCAACGAGGAAGGTCTGGCGAACTAAAAACGGAGCGGGAGGTTTAGGAGCTGTTCAGGTCACAGTGTGTGGAGATGTACTCTACAGTCACAATTCCTGGAGAAACACTGTGTACTTGAGCTATCTTATCACATGTGTCGGTGACGCGCATCAGACACATGGTCGCCCATGCTTCAGGACTAATTATTCGACTACACGAAGAGTATGCAACTTTATTTTGAAACGGAACTTCTATGAACGGCAAGAGCCGTTCGAGCTGTGATGAACTCATCAGCCGCCTACCTAGGCACACGGAAATTTTTATTAGCTCGTCTGTCGTCATAAGTATCTCCAGAGAAGATGCAGCTACCTACCTAGGTAGGTAGCTAAGGTACATTAGCTAATTACAGGTACGAGTGCCTAACGTGTGAGACAGACACTTCAGGAACAGCCATCAAAGACTCCTCGTCTCTCGTCTCTCAGCTTTCATGATGAATTATCTGATAGCTTTCTAGCTGCTATTATTACTTTTGTTCCAGTTTCGCTTGGGCGCTATATATATCTGCGAGGTATTACGTTGTCCGCTCCCGCTCCTCGATATTTGTTTGCTCCCCCGCAGAATCCGAAGACGACGCCACAGTACTAAGGTAGGATAGACTTGGTACCGAAGTACACGTAGTGCGTTCTGGATGAGATTACGGGGGGGGGGGGCTTGGTATATTCGCGGTGTACAACGTACAGTACATAGAGTGAACACCAATGGGGACTTCCGTTGGCCAATCAGATGCACCGCGCCGCTTCTGATAGGAGCCGTCCACAAAGTCTGGGGAAGGAACAGTGGGCTAATGAGTGACCGGGGAGGGGTCTGTGGGTCTATCTGCCGGTGACGAGGAAGGGCTGGAGGCACTAAAGCGACTGATAGCGCCGACAAGTAACTCCTTACAGGCGGGCAGCCTTTCTTCCCTGTTCTCACACCCGTTCGTTTGTGAGACCTATCTAGGTTTGGTGCTGCCCTACTTCGCAGCGATGGACCAAACATTCGCGACTCTTTCTTGACATTTGGTCCTCGTGGTCTGACAAAAACAGAGAGACCAGGTTGTCAGACGCCTCCACCGCCAACCAACGGCATCGACCTCGCCTCCGCTCGGCTTGACGCGACCGTCTGGCAATTCAAGTACGCGTAGCAATTTCCTTGCTCCCCTCATCCATCGTTTATCGCCTGGTCTTGTCCTTGCCACTCTCCCACCGTGCCCGCGAGCCCGGGTGTCCTTAATTCTACGCGCACGACGAGGACCTGCCATGCCATGGATGCATTCAACTCGATGCCCCAGCCGCCGCTTTCGTCGGCCACTCCCGGCGATACCATGGGCCTGGGATCCGGGGTGGTAGACGAACTCGTCTTTGGCGAATCCCTCATGTAAGCACCCTCTCCTAACGACGTTCCTTCTGTTGCAGGTCAGATGGGACCAATGCGACCATGCAACCATCCTGCCCAACGCGCCCTCTGTTGTTGGACTTACTACCTCGTACCAGGACGGTCGTTAACCACCTCTCCTCATGTCCAGGGATAACACGCACGGCGCATTTCCCACGCTCCCCTTCACACCGACATATGACTTCCAAGATTTCTCTGCCGGGTTCGAAGACCCTTTCTCCTATTCAGCCCAGCCGTACGAAATTCCCGCGCCCGCCGAAGATCCAAACCAGGGATCCCCCTCGCACGAGTTGGACAACAAGTTGCTCGGATTCTCGACCCCTGCGACGAAAGCCGACCTGTTGGATGAGACGGGGCAGCATGTGGATGTCTCCATGACCGCCGAGCTCCGCGGCATGTTCTTCGTTGCCGAGGATGTCTTCGGAGGCGAAAACACCGGACGGCCACTCGAGCTCACATGTTATCGACGAAACCTGTGGCAATGTTTGGGCGAAGTCACGGTGCCGCGACATGTCGCCAGCGTCGTCGACGAGCAAGGGAACCAAGTGCCGGTTGTCGAACTGTCTGCGTCGATCAGCGGGATCGAATCCATCGAAGGGAAGCCGACAGAGATCATCTCTATTCCCTGGAAGAGCGCGAATCCCATACCGGGGGAGGAGTACCGAGCTTCCAACGCCCCGCCTAACTTCTCTCTGGATCTGAGCAGTGGACGGGAGGCGGACGCAAGTCGTATCACGCTAAATATGTCGTGGAAACGGCTCCAATTCAAGCACGCAACGGCCAACAACGGGAGGCGCAAAGGTCTCCAGCAACATTATATTGTACAAATCATCCTTCTCGCAAGACCACAGTCGGGAGATTGGATTCGAGTTGCCGAAATCCAGTCTAGCCCCGTCATTGTGCGGGGGAGAAGCCCGAGGAATTTTGATAGTAAGAAGGATATTCCCCTGACGGGGGATAAGAAGTCGGACCGACGGAGTAACTCGGACGCATCTGCGGCTCCAACTCAGAAGGATAGCAACGGACATGCAACTCCCACGGCAAGGCTCACTTCCATCGGAAGTGTTCAGGTATGTGCAACCGCATCCCATACTGTTCAAATTTGTACGATAGACCTGTGTAGTGCTCATCAGCGTTTGCAGCATGCCGGTGACTGGGCGACGCCCCAGGCCTACCGAGGACCAACCCCGAACGGAGCCCAGCCCGCACCAAAACGGCTGGCCATGTCTCCTACCGTGGCTCGTCCACCTGTTCCTGCCTGGTCCGTCGAACCCACTAGGCCTGCAGTAAAAGCATCGCTTTCTGGCCCGGCCAACTCGGGACCGCATCGTGCGGGCACATCTGGTCCCATCAACCTGTCCCTGTCCGAGGACGAGAGGAGCCCCAATATGTCAAGTACAGACTTGCAGAGCCCCCAACGTTCCAAGGCCGCAGCAGTCGTTGGGCCGGCGTCCAGTCAAAGCCCAAAGGACGATGAAGACATGCTATACGAATACTTCCCTCTCAGCGTCGATGATTGGTAAGTCCCCCACATGGGAATACTCCGAAGACAGTGTCGAGTCCCAGGTGGCCTGACCTCGAGATTACTAGGATGCCTCCTGTCGAAGCAGTATACAGACCACATGTGGTTCACCACACGACCATGCCGGCAGATGTGAAAGCGCAGCAGTTGCAAAGCAAATTAAAGAGATATTTCACTGCCGAAACGTGAATCTGGAATGGGTAAGGGAGGTTGGTCTATCTTTTCGCTGGGATACTGGGAGGAATCGCAGGATTCAGAACTTGTACACTACCTTGTGGAGGACTTCTGGTAAGGTCAGAGGAAATTTGTGCGACGACGCGACGACGCGACAGAGAAATGTTGAGGTGGCCGTCGCTTAGGGAAGTATGGCTGATGATGCAGGGCTATTATACCCAATAAAGAGAGGATCTGCGCTGGTATGGATTGTTTTACTACCCTTTCTCATTCACACGTCGATCAAAGACCGACAATAAGACGCGAGTTGCTTTGGGAAGCATGCTTGGCATTCTGCTTTCTGGCTCTGCCTCCGAGGTAGGATGGTCCGTCTCTTTTACCATTTATCGATAGGGCTCTGTAACTGGGCCTGGGGAGAAGACCGACCTTATACGTCTATTCACGATCTTATCTAAGGTAGGTCTGCGAAATTTGTCACTAGGTAATCTATTTATTTGCCTAGTGATGCTTGAACTCTACCTTTATTGTTCTTTCTAAAATGCCACTCGGTCCTAGGGATTTCCAGTGTCCCTTCCAACTGGTGGTAAATGATGCCTGTAATGATACTTGCTAAACGAATGAAACAGGGGCCATTTACCCAGGTATCAAAAAAGAAAGGAAATAATACGCATCATTTCTCATTCAATCCACCGCCTTTCCGATCGTCAAGAGACGTCCCCAAACTGACCATGCCCTGCCCTCTCGGTCCAATGCAAAAAATCGTTATTTGCCCCTTCAAGCGCCCACGGCATTCGTTCTGATGAACAGCTGCTGTTCTGGATTAGGGGTCAACCGGCGTGCCAGTTCGGGCTCCGGAATACGGGAGGCCATTCTGTCGGGGACAAAGTCGGGGGATACAGAGCGCGCGGACTGGTCATCAGCAGCTGGGCTCGCGGCGCGCAAGAGAGACGCGTTGACGGGCTGCGGGTGGACGAGGGTCGGGGAGGTAGCTGGAGACTGGACCTCGTCCACCACAACGGCTGCTGCTGGCTGGGGATATGTTCTGGCCGGGTTACGGGTGACATCGGAGACCGTGCGGAGCCGTGTGGACAGGAGCTGCTCGAAGCCTTGCGCCCGAGCTACCTTTTCAATGTCCCTGAAGTACTATACATCACAACGTCGACGGTTATTTTCTCTTTCGGCTTGACCCATCAACAACCCCAGAGTCGAGTCAATGGGGGCATTAGGAGGCGATAATGACTACGTACCTTGACGGTCCTGACCCGCAGCTCAAGCGTAGCGTCCTCGTCCGCCACGATCGTGGCGTGCCGGTGCAGCTGCAGGGCGGACAGAGTCCACATGTGGTTGACGCTGGACTCGAGACACTCGCGGAGGGCGACGGCCTTGCGGGCGCCGACGACGATGGCGACGACCTCGCGGGCGTCGAGGATGGTCTGGACGCCGACGGTGAGGGCGAGGCGGGGCACCTGGGCGATGTCGTCGTCGAAGAAGCGGGCGTTGTCGAGGACGGTGTCGTAGGCGAGGGTCTTGACGCGGGTGCGCGAGGCGAGCGAGGAGCCGGGCTCGTTGAAGGCGATGTGGCCGTCGCTGCCGATGCCGGCGAGGAACAGGTCGATGCCGCCCGCGGCGACGATGGCGGCCTCGTAGGCGTCGCACTCGGCGGCGAGGTCCGGGGCGTTGCCGTTGAGGATGTGGACGTTGGTCGGGGGGATGTTGACGTGGGAGAAGAAGTGGCGCCACATGAAGGTGTGGTAGCTCTGCGGGTGGTCGCGGGGAATGCCCACGTATTCGTCCTGCGCGGGTTATGGTTTAGAAACCACCAGGCCAGACACGCGGTTGTGGAACCACCTACCATGTTGAAGGTGACGACATTTTCGAAGGATATCTACCCAAAATCATATCGATCTCTCCGTCAGCACCGGTACTGGATGTCAGGGGGCATGAATGACTGCGGCTAGTTGCGAGAAAAGAGAGTAGAGGTCAAAGGCATACTTCGCCAGCCTTATATTTCTCGACGAGAAGCTGATATACGCTGATGGGACTGCCTCCTGTTGGTAGTCCAAGGACAAACGGCCGCTCCCGGGTGGGCTTGAACTCCTTGATCCGGTGGGCGATGTAATCAGCCACATAGCTTGACGCCTCATCAGGCTTCTCACGGATGATGAGCCTCATGATGCCGTGTATACCCAAGAGGACTAGTGTAGTAGATATATGGGGAGAAAAGAGGGAGATGTGAGACGTCTTAGCTACAAAGAAACTGAGATAAGTTACAGGATATAGAGAGGCAATAGTAGGCTTCTGATTAGGGGTTTGCTGGGCAGAAGGGAAGCAGGACTGTGTGGTTTAGCAGATTTCCCAGCCTTGTGAGAGAGTTATCTTATCGGAGGTTATTAAGCGGCGCTGGCGAGAAGGGAGGGACCAAAAGATTCAAAGAGAGCATGATCAATTTGGTCATTCCGATCATTCCGATCCATCGGAGCCCATATGATGGATGATGGGAGTGTGGTAGAGCAGCCAGCTGCCACAAGCCTGAGTCCATGGTACAGTGACTTTCATGATACCGGAGCAAGAAAGGGTGGGATATGGAACGTGACGGCCTCTACAGTAGGTAAGGTAAGATAAAGTAGATCCTTGGAGAGTGTGGCTCGAGATTGGAGCTTCGTCCTCTCGCCTTTCTCGTACCACTACGAGTATGAACGGCCGGCTGGTGTGTCTTTGTGACGAGTAGCCCATCACGCCGTTCATAATGAGACCGGTCACGCCTGCCTTAGGTACCTACCTTAGCCATTCACCTGGTAGCTCAAGTACCAGTACCCGAAAGGTTGGGTTAGAGTGAGTTGGTGACATGACAGTCGCACGTAGTGCTGGGTGAACAACAGCATAGAACCACGGAAATACCTAATCGAGTCAGTAAGGTATAAAGGAAACTCCGACGGAGTTGGGACCAGTGGAAGCTTCACGATCTCCGTGACGTTTGGATGACCGGCCGACAGTCTCTCGGGGGGGGGTTGCAGTGCCTGTGGATAGATAGACTCAATCCCTTCCAAGGGTAAGCCAGGAACTCGGTCAGATTCCCCTTGCGTCCTATTTCTAACTACCCTTTTTCATCTAAACTGAATGAGGGGGATTTTCAGGTGCCATACTTGGAGACAGGCAACTCGGCCGATGGGATGTTGAAGATAGCGAGGACTCTAGGTACGTACCTAAGGTAGCGGTCATGAATAAGGTACCTAATAAGGTAAGGTAAGGTACCTACCTTAGGTAGAGTTCAACGTCACATTGGGGACGGAATTTGAACCGAGCAGTTGGGTGGGGGTGACCTCTAGGTACATTAATTACTAAGGTACCTTTTCTGATGGGGATGGAACGCAACGCCGTATAGCACGCACGTCAAGCTGCGGACTACCTAAGGTAAGGTAGGCTCCTTCGGCTCCGAATGAATTCGCTACATAGGTAAGGTACCTTAGGTAAGGCAATGAATTAAGGTAGGTACATACCTAGACGAAGTACAAACAAACTGGCCCCCATCGGCATGTTTCCGGGGCAAAGCAACGTTACAATAGTGGAGTTCCGTTTTTTCTTTTCTTTCCCCTTCCCCTTTCCACAACCACAATTGTCATCACACCCGCACTCAGGCGCAAGCATAAGCATAAGCACCAGTTTTCAACTTGAGATGACAGCACCGGGAACGACTAAGATGCGGCGCCAGAGAGGCGGCCCGAACGTCAATGGCAGGACCCTCTATGTTACAGCGTACTCCCGCGCCAGCTGTCGGCGTCTTGCCTTGGCACGTTCCTCTCCTGGCAGCTAACTAACCGTCTAGCTCGTAGATGTCAAGTGTCCGACGTCGATAGACAGTACCTGGTGGGGAATCTCGAACCACTGATCGGTGGATCGTCCAATTCCAGATGATAGGGGGGGAGAGAGAGAGAGAGAGGCTGAGAAAGAGAAGGCATCATCGAAGCCAAGTTTGAAGTTCAAAGTTCGAAGTTCGAATAGGCGCACATCCAGCCCCAGTCCCGGCCCTGGATTCCCATCACGTCCCCGACGCGTTCGCTTCGGCTTCCGCCCATCTCCATCCGCCCCAACGTCGCCGAACCAGGGTCGCCGGTTCTCGACTCCGCTGACTCTTGACCCTTCCTTTCTCTGACCATTGCAAAGCGACCCACCGACGTTCATCCTACACTACCTACACTACCTACACTACTTTGTGTCTCCGTATAAATCTGATCAACAACACGCATACTACCACCTCCCACCTCCCACCTCACCTTCCACTCCCAATACCCCCGTCACCTGTGCGACGTTGTCCCTGTGGAGGGACCGTAACGAAACGAAACAAAAACCCGGGTGGGATTTTGTTGCGTCCGTCGGTTCCATCTCGTCCTACTCTATTGCCTGCATTTACGAAGTACTCTTCTCAGGCTCCTTGTTCCATTTCCATTATTGGGGCCGGGCCGGGGGTGTGACTTGACTGTTGCCCAACCCTCAATTCTTCTGTCCCGCCAACCTCGCTCACTCTGAGAACCGTCCCATTGGGCTTACGAAAGTCACGACAACACGTCCCAACCCATCTTGTTTTGTCTTTTTTTATATCCTTCTTTTCTTTCTCTTTCTTTCTTTTGCGTTCGGTACTCGACAACGGGCAGGTTTCATACGGTATACCACTTTCACTCTCCCTCCCTCTACCGCCCCCCCGGCCGTAGGAGAGACCGGCAAACGGAATTGGAACGACACCTGTGCCGGTTGCTGAGTCGTATCAAATCGACACTGACACTCTCGTCGGTCCCCACCCCCCAGCTCGCAAATCGTCCTTGGTCACTGGCGCGGTGTAGACGTTTCGTTCCCGATCCCCTGGTTCCTACGCAAACCCCCCCCCCCCGGTCTTTCGCCTTGCGCCTGCAATTGTATCCGCGTCCGCAGGGACATGGTCCGGGTCGTTCTCAGCCTATTTACACTCACTGGTCATCTTCGCATCATCTACATGTCCCGACGGCCTTCTCCCCCCCTTTCCATCTCACCATCATAGCATCTATCACTCACTTCCCTCAATGCTATGCTGCCGCTCGTTACTGCCATGTCATCCTTCAGAAAGTCGCTCTTGGCTGCCATTCTCAAACATCTCTTGCGTGGCAAGTCGTTAATACAGTCCGTCTTCGCCTTCTGGATCTCGCCCTTGTCGTCACCACAAAAGGCCCCATCATCGACACAGTCATCGACACAGTCATCGACAGCAACACCAGGGGCGGTGGATGGAACCGGTCAAACGACAACAATACCTCCCGCTGTTCGTTCGTCGAGGACTGCTCGTGGTGATTTTCTCCGCGAGGCAGAAGCCCTTCTTCTGGGTCCCCTGGCCGGCGATGGCCTCTTGCGTCTTTCTCGCGCCCTAAAGGCCCAGTTCAGAGAACGTCTGCAGTCTGATCCCGCCTGCATGCTGCCGTCCTATAACCACAGGCTGCCCCGTGGCCACGAAACCGGGCGCTACCTAGCCGTCGACGTCGGCGGATCGACCCTTAGAGTGGCTTTGGTGGAGCTACGGGGCCAAGGGGAGGATGTGAGGGGCCGGGAAAGCGAGATCGTCAGCATGAAGTCGTATCCCATCGGCATGGATGTCAAGAGCCTCCGAGGCGTCGCTTTCTTTGACTGGATGGCTGCCAGAATCGTCGAGACGCTCGAAAAAGAGAGCCGTCCGAACGGAAGCGTGGCGTCTGTCTTACCAATGGCCCTGGCCTGGAGTTTTCCCATCGAGTAAGCACCCCTCTTCCTTCTTTTTTTCTTCTTTTTTTCTTCTCTCTCTTTCGTTTCCCCTGTCTGGCGTGAACAAGCAACAATCAGCTGACTACCATATAGACAAACCTCGCTGCGCGGTGGCCTTATTCACGACATGGGCAAAGGCTTTCGAGCAGCAGATGGCCTCGTTGGGGAGGATCTCGGCGCCGTCATCGAAGCTGCCTGTCGGCGGTCCGCCCTCCCCGCTGAGCTCTGCGTCATCCTCAACGACGGCAATGCCACTCTTCTTTCTTGCGCCTACTTGCACAACTCTACCCGCTTCGGCCTCATTCTCGGCACCGGCGTGAATATCGCTGCCTACCTCCCGGTCCCGCTCATCGGCTCTACAAAGTTCGGTGACCGACCCAAAGAATGGTTCGATGAGGCACGAAGCGTCATCGTGAACACCGAACTCGGCATGTTTGGCAAGGATATCCTGCCCGTTACGCGGTGGGATGCCTTGTTGAAAAAGGGGCATTCGAGGCCAGATTTCCAGCCACTGGAACAGATGGTTGGTGGCATGTATTTGGGCGAAATCGCAAGGTTCGCTCTTCTAGAAGCTATCAGGACGACGGGGGTATTTGGTGGTATCGTCCCTGAGAGCCTGAATTCCCCCTATTCTTTCGGGACTGAAACGATGTCCCTTATTGAAGGGTACGTCATGCTTTCTCTGCTTCTTGTTCTCCCTTCTTTTTTTTTCCTCCCCCTTCGCACCTCTTTTTCAAAATCCGAAAGTGTTCTCTAACAAGATTGGCAGGGATGTATCGTTAACCATGGAGAAATCCATCTCCCTCTTCTCCAAACTCCATCCTTCTCCCCATATCCCTACCGCCCTCGACATGGCCTTCCTGCGGGACATCTGCGCCCTCATCTCTCGCCGCTCAGCTGCCATCGTCGCCGCCTCCCTGCACGCCGTCTGGGAACTCCGCCTCGAGGGCATTCGGGAATCCATGGCGTCCTCCGAAAGCTCCGCCATCTCTACGGCCGAGGCTGAGAAGGAGGTGGCGCTTGAACGTACCATGGTCTCGTTCAACGGCAGCGTGATTGAGAGTTACCCGGGGTACCGAGCCATGTGCCAACAGTTCGTAGACGAGCTCGTGGCGGCCGGGGGCGACGGTAAGCCGGGCGCCCGCATAGACCTCGTCCCTGCCAAGGAGAGCTCTCTCCTAGGGGCGGGGGTTGCGTTAGCCGCGGCTGTCTCAGAAGCGGCATGATATACGAGGAGTATTGTAAGCAAAACCGGTTGTCCTGGAAAAGGTTCGAATTGGGGATTTATGCACATAGAACCACAATAAAATTACTTTTCTTGCTTTGACTGGCTAGAAGGCGATACCATATGGATCAGGTTCCCTTCATATCATGCATGACTTGGGTATCTCCCCTATATGCCCCCTCCCAACCCCTTGATCCCCAATAACCGAAATACCGACCTGCAAGTTCCCGGTGCGTCTCAACCTCGTATAGTCCATAACATGAAAGCGGCTTTTTAAGAGCCTCTGGAACTCTTATTATAAGTTCCGCTTTAGATATCGTCCTCAATGACCAGTTGACGGCCGTTCTCGTTTGACACGTGGAGCAGCCGACCGAGGCTCTTCGTTCTCATCCTCATCCTCGTCCTCGTCCTGACTTTCAACCTCTTCACCTTCGGCAGTCTCCTCCTGTTCCCGTCGTTTCCTGGCGCGCTGAATCTTGCGCAATATGATCTCATCTTCATACAAATCTTTGAGCGAGATGGACTGTAGAGCAACATTATCCCGTTAGATAATGTCTCTCACTCCAAGTCGAGGGAAAGGGGTCTTGGAATTGGGTGGGGAAAAAAAAGGCAAGGGGAACAGAATAAAAACATACCTGACTGCAGCCCGTCTGAGGACAAGTCTTCGGCATGTTTCTACTCGTGCCGAACCATTCAACAATGGCAGCTTTCTGGAAAGTGTGGTTGCATTTGCTGCTGGTAAACGGCTCAGAGAGCGGCTCCAGAGATAGCGGACAGGTGAAGCTCTGCACCTCGCCCTCGATGACCAGATCCTCATCCGAGTCGTCCTCTTGCTGGTTGGCTCCTCCCCCTCCTCCTCCTCCTGCTCCCCGACCCGGGCCTACCACGGGGTTCCCGTCGCCGTCGAACCAGCGGCTGGGGTCAGGCAGGGGCACGCCCTGGTCGCCGAAAGTCGAGTCATGCCAGAGCTTCTTGAAGGCGGCGTAGTCGTTGTTGAGAGCATAGCGCTGGTGGGCGGTCATGGACGCGTACTCGGCGGCCTTGGCGCGGCGCTTCGCCTCCAGGACATCAAAGACGGGGCGATCGGGTGGTGGGAGCTCCTCTCTCTCGTCTTCTGCTGCTGCTGCTGCTGCTGCTTGTTCTTCTTCTTCTTCTCCGTCTCGACGGTCCGCGGCGTGGTGGCCGGATCGACGGGCTCGGCGCACGGGACGCGAGGGTAGGCCGTCAAAGTGGCGCACCATGTCCGCAGCGGCGGCCTTGTCGTCCTGCAAAGCGGCCTGGCGGTCGATGAGGTCCCGCACAGCCTGCTCGGATTGGGTGGTCAGGTCGGCGACCTTGCGGGAGAGGGTGGAGAGGGAATGCTCCATCTTCTTCTCCCGGTCGGACTTGTTGCCGCCGCGCTCGGCGCGCTTTTGGGAGAGGGCGCGCAGCTCGGCCTGACGGTCGCCGAGGCGGTCGTTGAGGGCCGCGACGTTTTTCCCCAGCAGGCCGATGGATTTCTTGATGTGTTCCTCGTAGCGGCGGGTGTCGCGGCTGTTGGCGAGGGAATGGAGCGCACGTTTGGCATCGTCGGAGAGAGCGCAGGAGAGGGGCTCGTAAGGCGGGAGGTCGGTGGCTGCGCCAGCAGGCCCGGGGCGGGTAGATCTGCCGGCTTCGGTGCGGCGATTCGATCTTCCTTGGATAAGAGGCATGTTTGGAGAGGCGGGGAAGCTTCTGTCCGGGCGGCAAGAGATGGGTGGTGGAAAGACTATCGAGGGGCAGGATGGACCCCGTAGCCCCGGAGCGGATGGCCCTACTTAAGCGGAAGGGAGAATCGAACGCTGAGGATCGAAACCCAGTCAGGACTACCTTAGCTAATCAGATAGCCTTTGTGTAACTGTAGTGTAGTTTCTTTTCAAGGTCGCAAAACGCGAAGTGGCTCTGAACGCGTTACAGTGGAGGTACCTACCTACCTAGAGACCGGTGGGGACAGCGAAACTGGTACACTGTAAGCGCACTATGTACGGCACAGTACGAAGGAGGCTCCACAGTAAACTCGTCTAACCGGTTTTGATTGGCTCCATGCTGTGAGGTGAGATGCCCTCGGTCAACTCGCCGAACATGGTATCGTACTCGGTGAGGGAAAGCCATGTACGAAGAGACAGAAGAAAAAAGCCTTGGCTGCGGGAACCATCGTTGGAAGTTGGTGATGAAGCACCATCGCTCGGCTTGGAGAAGTTACGAGACTTATTTTCTGAGACGACTTGACCTCCGTCTGCCAGAATCCAGGCCACCAGAGCTTGATTCTGGCACCACATCCAACTCGGTCTTCACCTTGGACTTCTCCTTTGACGCAGCCGCTGAATCAGCCCGCTTCGCCCCCCCACGTCGCTTCTTTGCCGGAGGTGGTTCGTCGGCGTCACTTTCCTCCTTCTCCACTGCCTTCTTCCGAGCCTTACCCTTAGTCTTAGGTGGAGCAGCAGCCGAGGCCTCCTCGAGCGGTTCCTCCTTCACAGACGCCACCACACGACCCGTCTTCTTCTGCCGCGACGGCGCATAGCAGCTCGTGCGGCCACCGACCGTCAAGAAGGCCAGCTTCTCCCCGTTCGGGTGCACGCTCGAGCCGCCGTTCTTGCCACCCTTGCCCCAGCGATGGTTGAACAGCCAATGGTCCGGGAACTCGTCCGAGTCGCCCAGTTTATCGACGGCCGTCTGACAGACATCCCTGATGGAGTCGTATATCCTGCCAATCTCATCGTCGCCGAAGTCGTCGCAGTACTGCTCCGGGTGGACACGGGCCTGGTACAGCACCTCGTCGGCGACCCAGTTGCCGATGCCGCTGATGTGGCTCTGGTCCAGGAGGAGAGCCTTGATGGGCACGTGGCGCGACTTCATCCTCTTTTCGAGGTACCCCTGGGTGAAGACGTCGAGATCGGCAACGGGGTCCGGTCCGTTTTCTTTTAGAGGTGAGTGTCTGCGAATGTCCTGGCCGGGGCAGTCGACGAGGCGGACACGGCCGAAACGTCGGGGATCCGTATAGGCGACTTCTACCTTGGGGTTGCCCTCCGTTTCGAGTTGAAACTTCCAGTACTTTGGCGGCCACATGTCGGCTTCCCCTTCTTTCATCTTCTTGTAGTAGTTCGTGTAGGCCGTCCTATCGCCCTTGATGTGGACCCATCCTGAACAGGCATACTGTGAGTGGGGTCTCAAGAGAAAAGGGGGGGGGAGGGCTGAAGCTTCTTCGACGGAGACTTACCAGTCATTCCCAGATGCATCACGGCATGAGGTGGCCGATCAAAAGTGATCCTAGTGCATGAGATAAGCGCGCGGCAAGCGTAGATTATCCTCTCTAGCATCGTACCAAAAATATTTGCCCTGACGACCCGCTGACACTACTCTTTTGCCCCGTATGGCTTTCTCGAATTCCGACGCACTGGTGCCGGCCTTCCCAAATACATTGGCATCATCGATGGCGGTGACTCTGGCAATCGTCTTCCCCACGAGATGAAGTTGAAGAAAGTGGACACATCTCGCCACTGATATGTATGGGAAACGCTGGTCAGTCAAGGACGGTGGGAAAGAAAGTGGCCCTCGGGAGCAGACATTTTCACCTTCTGCAATTTCAGGCATTTTAACACAGTAGTAAAGCTTGTCCAAGACGTCGGCAGTGCTAGTTCAAATGCGTAATGGAGGGTTGTAGCGGAGGAATAAACGGAGCAGATGGCAATTCACAATCACGCGCCCTTTGTCGCCATGGATCTCAGCTTACCTTAGTTAGGTACGAGACCTGACCAAGTACCCGCTCGGTCACGGATGATAAACACGAAGTCACGGGACTCGGTAGGTTGTGGAGACCAGAGTGGCTCGTGCACAGGTCCCACCAGCTCCTCTAAAAAGACCGAGATTTTTGGTCGCAACTTTTTTCTCCAACCTCCATTCCCTCACCACCACACTTTCCTTTTGGGAGCTCCAAAGCTTCAATGCTTTATGCCTCCCACTACTGTCGAACACCATTTGGTAAGTCGAAACTTTGCGCCTTTTTTATGTTTTCTTCGCTGCTTCCTGATGATTATCCAAACCGCAATCAAACTAGAGTCTTTGACCTTTCGGAATGAAACCTCAGTTTTCACGTCAGTCTGACAGAGCAGCTACTTTCTATTGTTTCAGTACTTCAAGTGCTACGTGGCTTCATTGTATATGACGAAGTATGCTAACCATCATACTGCAGATTTCGCAATGTCTTTGCTAAATCAGTTGACACCATGCCTGCGCAGGCTGTCGCCAGGGCATACTATTTGCGAGCCTAGCAAGTGCAGGCTCGCTTTCTAGCACAATGTAAGCTACACCTCTATTGCTTTCAGCTTTCCCCCCGCCCTAACATGATGAACAATTTATCATACTCTGTATGTTGGAATTACCGACCGAGTTTTTCATTGACGATAACAATGGCTGTTTCTGACTATGCCTGTTTCAATTTGAGCTGTCACATTTATCAGGGTCGTGCCAAAGTGCTAACGCTTCTAAAGTTCGTGCAGACTCCAGACAAGGTACTTCACCCTTCGATCTCATATTCCCTGACATCCTGTATGATGAAGCGGCACTGGGCTCCGAGAGTACAATGTGCTCCACCATGAGCGAGAAGCCACTTTGCGGCAGGCCTAGAAAACCTCGCCCACTGAACACATGGACTCACGTCACGAATCCACGCGCATACTCTCTCAGCATGGATTGCTGACCGAATGCAGTGTCAGGTGTTTGTCGGACTGATAACATTCGGTTGGCTGTCAACCGCAACATGACCCTGGCCTCCATGCTGGGTCGGAATCTGTGTCTCAACAGCTGGCCCTTGCTGCACAAGCTTTTCGGTCTGGGAGTTTGTTCACCCACCCCACAGCAACCAACTCGACTGAGTGAGTCGCCATCTTTTTTCTTCTTTGCCTTGGCTTGCCAGCTACCCATCGCTTCTATGATGATTCAGATGACGAGTCAGATTGTGATTTTTTCCATGTTGACACAATTCTTTCTACCATTCATGCCTATAACTGATGTTGCGTTATCTCAACCTTGTCATTGTTTCGACCAAGGGTCTCGGGACAGGTTCGCTAACTTGCAATAGTCCATGCTCATACTCGACCAATTTCTTTTGGTACGTTGTCACTGCACATCCCTCGGGATGTCAAGGGTCTCCCAATATGATGAACGTAAAAACAATAAGACAAGCATATGTCAGAGCCTACCGGCGAAGCTGATAACGTTTTACGACTGATTCGACAATCTACCGTGTTCACAAAACAATGCTCTCGGTCTGACCTTGAGGCTAACATGTCGCAAAGATGTCTCGATGAAACTTATGACTACAAGTTCCTAGCCGAGATGGAATCTTTTCGCCCAAAGGTTGGTTACTTTCAATTTCTGTTCTCTTCAGGCAATCTGTCTGGTGGTTTCTTTACATGATGACTCTTAATTTTTCACGACGGTCTCCATAGCTATATGCTTTGATGACAACGCCTTTGACAAGGCACCCATACTGATATTCCCCTTTCGCTTTACAACTATTGTTCCCTGCCATCTGGTTTTGGTACAAATGGCTAACAATATGTATAAGACTAGGGCTGAAGCACTCTCGTGAAATCGAGTCCCACATCATGACCCGACGCTGGTAAACTGTAAGTGGTTCCCGTAGGCACTTGTAGAACCCTTTCGTAGTCACAAGTTTATGTAGACGGTCGACAATTATAGTCAATATTTCTGAACATATACATTTGTCTCTATCTTTTCATCGCTCGTCTTGCGTATGTCTGACCATGATGTCCACCATGTCTGGCGTAGACAAGTCTCTGCTCTTCAAAAGTCTCCATTATTCAGCGGTGTCAGATAGCTTGTATCATGTCTCTCTCCCAGCTTGCATGTCCAAGCGCCTATTGCGCATTACATTACATAACGTCAAACACGAAGGCAAGGCTTGTTATATACATGTACATATATATACATCTATCACACCATCCCCAGAGCCGCACAACAAAGTGCCAGGCCCAGGAGAAGCACACTGTCTCTGGCATTACGGGAGCGAACTTGACCACTGTCAGGCGTGGCCGTAGCGGTAAATATCCCCGTCAGCGCCCGTGAAGGGGTCGATGTCGTGGTCCTCTCCGCGCCGGCACCAACCGACGTCGACGGCGAAGACGCCAGTTTACCGGCGAGAGGCCAGTCGCTCGAATGCTCATACAACACGCCGTTAAGGACGACCCCGTCCCCGCGCTCGAGCATATCGATCTGGTCTCGGCTGCACGACCCCTGGACGTTCCGCAGCCAGCACGTCGGGCCAGGCGAGTCGGGGAGGTCGTCCCTGTGCCGATCGGCGCGGTCGTCCCCCTCGGTGGCGTAGTCGAGCGGGTCGATGGCGTCGCCGGTGGAGACGGACGTGCCGAGGGCGACGCGGGCGAAGAGCTGAAACGCCGTCTCGGGCTGGTAGGACGGCACGGAGTGGCCGGCCTGGTAGATGCGGCTGAAGGAGAGGTTGCCGAACTGCCGGACCACGCCGCCGATGTACGAGTCGTTGACGATGAGCGGGGCGTAGCCGGCGGCGGCGAACCGGGGGCCGTACGCGTCGCGGGCGTTCCAGGCCACGGCGTCGGCGACGGCCTCGCCGCCCGGCCAGTTGCAGACGTAGTCGCGGTCGCCGTAGATGAAGGCTACGCGGATGCCGGCGTCGAGGAGGGAGGCCAGCCGCGGCACGTGGGAGCCGCGGACGTAGTCGCCGGTGGCCTGGAAGGCGGCGGCCACTTCCCTGCTCGCGAAAGTAAAGTTGGTGACGGCGCCGATGGCCTCCTGGACGGCGCGGGTGTTGAGGTACTCGAGGTACGTGGCGGGCGGGAAGGAGTCGGGCAGGACGTGGGCCATGTCGTACCAGCTGCGGCCCGCGTCGGCGTACGGGGCGACGACGGAATCGTAGCACGTCCTGTAGGCGCGGGAACAGTGCTCGTTGACCAGGTCGACGGTGCCGGTGCCGTCCGGGTCGTGCACTTCTTCGGCGGTGCGGCATTGGCGGATCAAGTCGAGGCAGCCGCCGTCGGCGTAGAAGGAGTTGTTGGCGAGGTTGGCGCGGACGGAACTGATGGCCCGGAAGTCGTAGGTGTTGGAGAGGGCAAAGGCGGGATAGTAAGGGGCCTGGATGGCGTCGTCTATGCAGCCATTGACGATGCCGAGGGAGGCGAGGCGGATCTCGAGGGTCGAGTTGCGAGGGATGGAGCCATTGCGGCGCTTGGCGTTCTGCTGTTCCCAGACATGTGAGAAGACGGGGCCGAACTTGCCGCCGTAGCTCTCGGCGAAGAGATTGATTCCGATACTATTGCGACCGGACGGGTTGAAGGAAGGGAAGGTGGCCAGGAATCCCTGGAGCATGTGCCAGACCGCCATGGCCGCCTGTTCCGTGGTATTGGCCGTGGCATTGTAATCCAGCGAGCCGAAGGTACCATTGATGAACGTGGCATGTGAGAGTCCGTCATCGGGAGCCGGAACGGGCGGGACAATACGCGTGCCGTTGAGGAGATGGACGGAGCCGTTCGTCGGGGTGTCGAAGGAGAAACCGACCTGGTTGGGCTATGAAGAAACACACGTCTTGTGTCAGCTGGCGTTTCCAACCCAGTAGTAGTAGTAGCAGTAGTAGTAGGTACTCGGGGGGAGGACATGCCGATAGCTTACCTGGTCGATGAAGAGCATGTTGGAGGCGCGATCCCAGCCCCATTCCCTCGTCAGGGTATCATACTGGTCCAGGCCCGCCTCCACGACCTCACAGGGACCAACACCATTGAACATGCCGAAGAGGGAGCTGGCGCCCGGCCCGCCGTTCAGCCAGATGGTGAGCATGTCGGTGGGCTGGCGAGCCTCGACAAGCCAGAAGAAGAGGTTGGTGGGGTATTCGCCGGGAACATTGACCCAGCCAGTATACTGGCGCTGGTGGTCGAAGGCGGTACGACAGACGGACCCATTGGGCGATTTGTAGCTGATGGAGATGCTTCTGTCGATGGGGGACCGGACGGTGGTCAGGTTGGCGGCGGATGCGGGAAGGGCGAACTGCGCTGACGCCGTTGGAAATAGACCTGGAAATGACGCAAGACTTAGGAACAGCAGGACGAGCAAGTCGGCGCGGCTGCTGGGGACTCTAGAGCGAGCGACATGGTGGCACTGGGGCATTCCGTGATAGGCATTCGTTTCGTGTGCCTGGGTTATGGGGGTGGGCGTAGGTCAAAGTGGAACATGAATAGCAAAGAGAAGAAAGGAAGAAAACAAAGGGGAGGAGAAGAAAAAGAAAGGATGGGAAGAAAGAGGATTATCGTCCAGCGTCGTCACGTTGAAGGGAGAGATGCCAAAAAAAAGAAGAAGAAAAAAAAGAAAAAAGAAAAAGAAAGAGAAAGGCACTGTTATCCAAGCGAATAATAAGAGCTACCTGGTAATATCATCATAGGTACCTACGGTATGTCGTACACACTCGAGTACAAAGTACATAAGACGGCACAGGAACGGTCCGGTCGGCTCCGGGACGATTGTGACACGCATTCGCACCTGTCGGCAGCTGACACGAATTGATCACGTCACAGGGCATATTCACCGTGGTAGAGGGAATGAGGATGAATTCAGAGATCCAGGAGATTTTAGAAGGGGCCGGGCATCTTTGAGAGCTTTCCAAGTGGAAGGTCTAAGATCGAGATGACTACCTGATGCTTGGCTCGGATGAATGGTTGGGAGAAAATGTGTATATATAAAATATAAACATATCGCTGCCATTGAAGTTGCTCAAGATCCACGCTAAACTGGACCAAACTGGACCGAATTATCCTCCTAGCAAATATTAGGTGAGAGATGTGCCGCGTGCGAAAGGAATGAGGGTAAATATGGGAATCACGAAAAGGAAAGGCAAAGAAAGGCCGAGTGCCATCACAAACCATCTCCTTCCTTCGCACCTCCAACCGCGTTTCAGTGCCGAAGGAGGAAGAAGCGAGAATGTCATAAAAAGAAATGAAGGCCCTAGAATCATTGCTTGGACTCGGCCGGCGGGATAGTCTGGGTGGTCTTTACCGGTTCAGTACCGGTGATGCCGGTTTCTTGGGCCTTTTCGCTTCCCGGTGAAGCTGCAGTAGCCGCGGGAGCTGCAGGAGCCTCCGAAGAAGCAGGAGCCTCCGAAGCAGCAGGAGCCGCGGAAGCCGCGGGAGCTGCGGGAGGGCTCTCGGTGGCAGGTGTCGTCGGATTCGAGGAGACAAACTTGCTCTCTCCCTGCAGGACGGGCGACGTGGGAGACTGCGGCTCCTGCGGCCCGGTGGCACCGGCCACGTTGCGGATGATATCAAACCACTTTTGCGCGTCGGCGGGCGTATGGGCCTTGAAGGCAAGCTCGGACGTGCCGCTGAGCTTGGCGCTCATGCCCTTGCTGCGGTCCTTGCCCTTGACGCTGAACTTGTCCCCGCTCGGGGTGCCGATGACGGCCTCGGGCAGGTAGATGGAGAGCTCGGGGTGCGGGTCGTGGCGGGCGTTGTCCGAGTCCTTGAACTCGTGGAGGAACTTGGCCGGCGTGACGACGTAGTAGCCCGTGGAGTAGCCCCAGGAGAGCTTGTTGCGCGACTTGCGCTCGAGGGAGCCCTCGATGAGGGCCTTGGTCGACGGGTGGTCCATGTTGGGGAAGGCGACGGTGTCGACCGACTTGGGCGGGCCGTCGGGGTTGACGAGGCGGTCGGCGCAGCGGGCGAGGAAGCCCTTCCACTCGAACTCGTGCGGCACGCGCTGGACGGCCTGCAGCATGTCGTAGTGGAGGGCGCGGGTCTTCTCGCCCTGGCCGCCGGCGAGCAGGGTGAACGACTCCATGGCCTGCTGGATGACCTCGACGACGTGGGCCTCGAAGGACTCGAAGTTGTTCTGCACGGCGATGAGGTCGTTCCGGTTGTTGTTCTCCTCGAGGACCTGCTTGTGGAGACGATGGAGGACGCCGCGGTTGACGACGTACGGGTCATCGACGCCCTGGATGCGGCCGCCGACGGAATCGAAAGTGGCGGTCTGCTGCCCGAGGAGCTCGATGTGCTTCTGGGTGTGGCTGCGGGCCTTTTCCACTTCCTTCGCGGTCTTGTTCACTCCGCTGGTGAGCTCCTTGGACTTGGCTTTGATCTCTTTGTGGAGGCGTTCGAGGACGGGGAGGACGGAGCCATTGATGCTCTTCTCGGTCTCGAGGTTGGTGTTGATGAGGGACTGGGTGTTGGCGCGCAGGTTCTCGAAGAAGCCGGCGATACCGCCGAGGCTCTGGTCAAAGTGATGGCCTTCCCTGAGGGGACTCGAGATGGATTTCAGCGCCCGCTCATATTCCTTAGCTTGAGCGCGGTGGATCTTCTCAATGGCACCCATGTAGTCCTCGAGGTAGACGACGGCATGCTTCCACGCCTGAAGCCGCTCGGCAAGGAGTCCGGCTGTCTGCGACACAGGCGGCGACAGAAGTCGTCGATGTTAGTACGAGAAAAAAAAAAAAAAAAAAAGGCCTGGCGTGGGCAGGAACTTGTGGCAGGACCTAGATCTAGATCTCTTGGAAGGGACGAGGAGGGAGGGGAATGGGAATGGGGGGCGGTCAGGACTCAGGAACGCACCGTGGTGAGGTCAATGTCGGTGACTCCACCCTCGTTGGTGAGGGTGGAACTGGTCGTCGCCGTTGTTGCTGCCCTCGAAGGCAGTTGGGTCTGGGGAGCGCTCATCGTTACGATTCTCTAGGCTGGTGGTAAGGGAGGCAGAGATGAAAAGACACGGGGACAATGAGGGGCAAACTTGATCATCCCCATCCGTTTTGAGGGAAGAGGGGTGGGGGAGGGTTCCAGGTTTGGAGGGGTGGAGGGGTTAAGTGAGCCAAAAGTGAAGAACCCAATTTCGAGTGAGACCAAAGACGCACGTGTTGGTGTTGAGCTACGGTGCCGAGACTAAAGTAGGGAGAGAGAAAAAGGGTTGACATCAGGTTGAGAAATGGGACGAGTGAGGGTGTACGGAGGGAGTATAGAATACGGAGTACACGTGTAATTACGGCATACCGATAGCCGACCGCCAGAACAGAACGCCAGCAGAGAACTTTGATTTCAGCTCTTCGGGCACCATGATCCTGATCCATGATCGCCTTATCCCTGCGGATTTTATTCCGGTAGCTCCACCTCACCGCAAAGCTACCTTAGCAGTAGCTGCCCCCAGCTACCGCTCTCTGCAACTACTGCTGGGCACTTTTCAGCAGTACGGAGCACGCTCATAAAGTAGCACTGTGCTCGTTGTGCTTCAAATTGTGGCTCAGGTTCAGCTTCACAAGCTTCACGGGTTGACAAGTTGGTCGCTGCCTAAATGGCCGAATGGAACGGGGTCCCAATCTATCAATATACGGAGTACGAAGTACGAGTACAAGTACGAGTACAAAGTACATAATTAATTACACTTACACAATAGCGCCGCGCAGAAAGAACCCCTTTGGCCCGTGCGCCCCCCGAGCTCCCTCATCTCACACCTCACATCTCACAACGTCACCAGTTGCTTACAACGTAACACTTCAGCTTGGTCATCCGACCGTTGCGAAGGAGTTGAGCCGACCGTCAAACCCCTATTCATGACGTCATGAGGCTGTGCTGTTCGTTGTCGATCCCCGAGATGGCCCTCGAGTCGTCAACTGCAAGACTTCGTATTTTCGCACCCTCAAGACGGTTCGAGGTCTCGTACTCGCGTATCATTGTAGGCACATTGCCTTTTACTCGGTACTCCGTACATAATAATAGCACGGGATTTCCCAAAACAACGCTTCCGTGATGAAAAGCCACTATTCTCTGGGACCGTATTTGCCGTTTTTAGAGTTGTATTCCTGAAGAATTCTATGGACTGGCCACCGATATCATGAGAGAGATGAAGAAGAAAAAGATAAAAAAAAAAAAGATCGCCTTACGGCCAAGTCTACGTCTACATGCATCCCAAGATTTACCCCCGCCCCCAAAAACAGATCCCCCACCAAATTTCACGAGTGCCCGAGGAAAAAAGATCAATAGCCCACCTCCGTGTATCCCATAGCTTGCCCAGTAAAAACCCACAAGCGCCCAAACGCCGAAGCCATGCTATACCCATATCATTCAACGTCCATGGTGTCGATGAAAGAGAAAAGAGGAGAGGTGTCCCTGGTGTCCTGGGGACGTCTTCGGTTCCGAGGGTCCATGGGGTATAGATCGCGGTATCTGTCAATAAACCCTGTCGCGCGCCCGCATGAGATGCAGCCTCCGTTCTTCCGGACCCTGCGCTTGCTGCAAAACGTCGTGGATACCGGTCGACCCGGGCCTCGGGCGTCGCGGCGGCGTCATGGACCCCGATCGTGGCACCGTGGCATCGTCGCGAGACGAAGATTCCGCAGGGACGCCAACCATATTCGGCCCCGCCCCCGCCCCCGCCCCTTGGAGCATCGGCGTCGAAGGCCCGCTCGACGCCGCGCTCATGGCGGCAGAATAGTCGGGAAGCGCCTCGCCCACGCTGGCCGCCTGCGACCGTGCGGGAGTCCGCAAAGCCGTCGAGTAGCTGGGCACCTTGCTCAACATGGCGACGTCCAGAAACTCGACGTGCTCGGGGGACGCGCGGCCGGAACGAGGGTTGAGATGTCCGTGGCCGATGTTGTTGGTGCCGCCATTGTCTTCCGCGCTGTTTTGGCGGGTGAGCGCGGCCGACGCCGACTGCGAAGGGTGGCTCGTGTTCGTGGCAGGATTCGATCCTGACGTCGCGAGATCGGCGAGCGACGTGGCCGACGTGTTGCGGTTGGTGGAGTTGAGCGAAACGTTTTGGAGTCGGGAAGTAAGCGCAGCCGGGGGAACGCCGTTGAGAGTCGTCATGCCACTCAGCGCGGCCAGGTTTTCGCTGGACCCGGCGCGGGACTGCGACTGCGAGTAGAACGGACTGCTGACGCCCGAATGGATGGCAGGGGTATGGAAGCCGCTTTGGTCGACATCTTCGAATAGCTGATCGAGTACGTGTTCGCCGTAGCCCGGAGGCGCGATGGTGCTTGCGTCGGCCTCTGGTGGAGCTAGAGCTGATGTGCCGGGTTGGTCTACGAGGACACCGTGCTCGTCTGGCGGCATGTTCGGGGAGATGAAGATGGAGACCGGTAGGGTTGCCCGCAACTATATTCAAGGCAAGTGGTTAGCACAGTATCAACATGAACAAGTCGATGTTGATGTTGATGTAGTAGGTTGTTTGCCCGGGCAAAGTAGACGGAAACTTCATGCACGAGACACAGCCCTCGTATGGAAATAGTTTCCTCTTGCGACTCACCTCAGATACGTGTCCATCGGGATTGTGAAGTGCCGCAACCAGCTTCAGCTTGTGTCGAATCTTGATGCCGTGGTGGTTGACGTCCTGGACGCATTGGCGGAGCCGTCGCGGCAACTGGAGCTTCCTGGACGCCGTCCAGCCTTCCTGACCAGTGTCGCCGATCATGTCATTCCAATTCTCCTCCCGCGTCAGCGTCAAGGCCCAACTCGAAACCTGCCGCTCCACCTTGTGCTCCCTCGGAGGGATCCCCGGGGCCGTGCAATCGCGGACCTCTATCAGCTTGATGGAGATGTCGCCCAATTCGAGTCCCTTCAACAGCGGCGTGAAGCGCAGCTCCAACGGGATCGAGGCGCCGAAGATGGCCGCCTTTTGAGGAACGATAATGGAGTAGTCGACCTTGTTCGGCCAAATGTTCTCGACGCTCATGGCATGCAGAAACTCGAGGGCCCCGGGCTCGGGCGTTCGTATGATGCGCAATGGTTTATAGGCGTGCATGTCGTGCGAGAGCTTGCCGCGGACGATGGTGGCTTTCAGTCGGTACATGATGCTCGCCTCCGGTATACCTTCGACGCTTTCGGGCATGTCGCCTGGCAAGTCCAGCTTGAAAGGCCATTCGTAGTTACCCGGTTCCAGCACCACCTTCTCGCCGCTGTGGCCCTTGACGAAGGGCTGCCATCTGTGCTTGAGGAGTTCGATATTCCTGTCGACTCTATGGCCGGAGATGCCTGGCGCAACCGGTTTGGACAAGTCCCACCTACGCCCCAACTATTAGCTACAGTCGTAGGCAGGTAACATGAGCATCCGAGTGTCCGTGTCGCCGACGATTGAGGGGCCGCTTAACAACAAGCAGACCGCCGATGGCCAGATGCCAGAGAAACAAATCGTTGAGGTGCGGAAGAAGGGGACCCGGTCTCCAGACTTACGAAAAGCGCAGGTTGCCGGTAAGCCGAAGGTGAACAGCCTCGACTTTGAGGGGGGAAGACAAGCAGAGAACCACAGAGCCCTTGAGAGTCTGACCAGCAGACTCGGCTTCGGAGCCGCGGAAAACTATGAAGTCCTTGTCCAACCTGGCGCCACATTAGCAGGGCGTGCCGAGCGCGGAGAGAGGGGGGACGCCGTCGGTAATGAAGAGTAGCGGCTTCGTAGGACAGTCGAGAAAGGATCGCAACTCACCGGACCTGGAAAAGTGATGCGGAATTCCTACCAGCAACATTGGAAAAGGGCTTGAATGACAGCATGGTCGGCTGTTATTGGCAATATGCTGTTGAGTAACTGGAGGGGAAACCCGTAGTCGAGCGACATGAGGTGGGAAAGGGAAGCCCAAACCCAGAAGACAGGGAGGTGGACTTCTCTGCCTTTTTTGTTTTTAATGGATCCATCCATCCAACTTCGGGTCGTCCACGTAAGAATATCCAAAGATAGGCAAGACCGAGAACAGGGTTAACGACCTTCCTCGGGCGAAAGTGAAAGAGTGGTCCTGGTCCCGAGCCATCGCTGAACATCCGGATACATCGAGCGGGTATGGAATTAGTGTACAGTAGGCAGTGAATTGAAGTCACAGGCGGGTAGGTGGGGCGATGGGCGAGAAGAAAAGGAATGGGAGAGGTGGAAGACGATGTCGGCTAGGTAAGCCTTGGCCAGAGGGTAGGTACCTAGGTGGGTAGGTAAGGTAGGTACCGTACACGTACGTATGTACTCCATGGGTACGCCGCACGCAAGGCAAGGATGTTCGAGATGTCTGGAAGTCCGTTCAGGGTCACCGGCAAGGGTACAACGTACAGGTGCGACCCACGCCATGTTGCGCCGGTGACATGTGGAAAATGGCGACCACAGGCTAAGCCTCTCAAGCGTTGGATTGTGATTTTGTGACGTGAGCGCTGGATAGCGGGGCAGATATGTTTCGTACATGTACACGTACGTTGTAGATCGGGTTGGTGTGGATCCTGAGAACGGGATGGAGGAGGGGTCGTGGTCAGTCACTCACAGGTGGTTGGACATGAATTCGGGAACACCGTGAGGGGCGTGTCTGTACGAAGTATAACTGTACCTTAGTGTACAACGTAGAACTGATAAGAGCTTCCTGCGGATAAAAATTATCGGCAATGAAAAGAAACGATGATACTTCGTAATGAGCTTTGGCCTGGCCTCTCATAGACCGGTTACAGTTCAGAGTATTGTACCTTATTGGTACGGATACTTGGAAAGTAACGCGGGGTTTAGGCACGGAGTTAGGCATGCGCCTGTGACTAAATTCCTTATATATTTTTTGAGGTATTTGCGTGCTATGAGACGTGAACGCTAATTCGAGTAATAAGGTAATTATGGTAAGGTAGGTAATAGAAACGCCTACCTTATTACTTCTTTCTGTGCGAATGATGATATGACCTGGGATATTCTTTTGCGGTCCGCTATTAGCATCCAGACAGCCTTGGCCTTGTACAACGTTATGTAAAACTCTACGGGGTATGTATAGATCCGTAACTACCTTACCTTACGGTCCAGCCGTTATAGTGCAGGTGGCTGATGTTTGCTTTTCTGCCTTATTCTATCGACACCTGCGCGTCCAGACATACCTATACATATGGTTCGTGTTTGCAGGGTCCACTGCTCGACTGTCGACTGGGAAGGATGATCGAATTCAGGATATAACCCCCACGCCATCTTTTGTCTCAACTCATCAATTTTCATGTTAACCCCCACGCGCCCTCTTAACCGGTGACACAATATTCGTAGATAGGTACGTATCTGACGAAGGCAAGAGGATTGTGGGATGGGAGGCAGTGCTCCTCAAAATTTTGCTTCCCTTCTTTTAACGGAGCCGGCTATATGTAACAGCCCAAGTGCAAAACAATTCGAGATCTAAGTTATGTAACATCACGCAAGTATACCTCTGGCGACACAAGAAGACGACATCTACGGGTTCTGGGAGATTGGAAGCCCTCGACGGCTTGGGCCCATTTAAATATATGGAGTACGTAAAACCAACGTCCCCAGCGAGGATGCGTGCTGTGACCCAGGTTGTGAATGTGAAGTCGGCTGTGGTCAGACTCGAGAGAAGTGAACTGATCTTCGATCAGATAATGGCGCTCAAGGGTATTCGTCATCCATGCCCGGTACCGTTACAGACTATTGTCCCTCGGCTAAATTCCACGTACCGTTAACTAAGTACAGTGGCCTAGCAAAAGGAGCCAAAAAGCACTTTATATGATTATATTGTGCAGACCGCTTCGATCTTTTTGACACCGGGCTGTGCCTTAGGTACCTTACATTATGTACTGGTGCTCTGTACGTCAGTACGTACCGAAGACGTTACAGACTTGCCATCCCTCCCCCCCTTCACGTTATCAAAGCCATGCCAAGATGCCCCTGAATGCCGGCGATTGTCCAATCATGACCCCCAAGTGGCAATAACCCGGACTCGTTTAGGTACGAGCTTGTCTTCCAGTTTGTCAGCAAGCCACAGCCAACCATCAGAATACGATACCGACATCTGGAAGGTTATCAGATTACCTACCTATGTACCCGCCCCCGTCGCTCGTTTGTTTTCTCTTGTCACATTCGCAAGAAATGCTCGCTATTCGAAGCCTCACATATTACCAGCCCATCTTGAACCCAGGCCCAGGATACGGACGTCAAGTCTGGACTGAGCAGAAGTTATCCCAGCTCCAGCCGTAAGCGGGCACCCACCCATGGAATGAGGTTATCGCCGTGTTCCTCCTACCTTACCTTATCTAAGAGGGGGTCCTCTCCCGCCATCTCCCGAGTCTTAGCCAACTTAACCAAACCGGTGATGGATCCTAACGAGAACGGATATGGCAATTCATTACTTAGACCCAACTTTTATCACCCTACGGGTGGATTTTGATCTTCTTTTTCCTTGTTTCCATGTCCAATGGCGTGCTTGACTCATAGACCACGCCTCTTCTCGGTCTTGAGACCCGACCGACCCTTAGCTGACCCGTCACATTACTACCCAACTGACTCGTTCGCAGCCATAACTAAAAAAAAAAAAAAAATGCATGTAACACGGCAGTTTGGTACGGGTTGGTTCCGAGGAACAAAGGCAAAAGCTCGAGCTAAGAACCGGAAACTCAAGCTTCACCGAGGTGCTGAATGTGGAATGTTTGTTTGGAGACCCTTCCTTGTCCACGCCTACGAATGATCATCAAAGAGTCATACAACTGCATTTACCGCCTGTCTGGGCTGGATTGCTGTCTATCTATCTACCTACCCACATCGTCGCTAAGGAATAGATACTTCTCGAGGGGAGCCGATGGAAAGAACACTCCGATGTGACCCACGATATAGATAGGCATACGTAGAAAACACCCGGTGTACGCCTAGTAAGTGTTCGAAGAACCCATGTTACCCGCTAGCCGGCCTATCCCTCGAGCCCGCTACTAGGAAAACGGGAATCCAATCTGATAATACAAGCTTACCTATCGAATTCGGGACCATGTTGAGCGACGCCAGACCTTCCCGAGGTAAGAATAACACTAACACCCGAACAGAGAGAAGATCAATCCCTTTGTTTGGATTCTCTGTCTCATTGCCGCTGATGGGGACCTCCCTCCCTGATGCTACTGATCGTCCATCGGATCATCCCTGGATGGCACTATGCCTCGAGCCATGCCATGCCTGGACCTGGCCCTGGGCCTGCTCCTTGCATGCCCATGCAATGTAACGGCGAACCTGCAGATTCGTCCGCGGCTGCAAAGGGCCGAGCCAATAGCCGAACCTCCTCCAGACCATGATGCCGTATAAAAGTCCGACGTTTCATTCAGATCACAACACGGCCAGGGTAACAACAGAACGGCGGACCAACGTCGACAAAAGGCGGTGATAAAGAAACCATGTTAATTATACTTGAGGCCCCGAGGGGACCTCTTATCTTAAAGTATACAAACACACACCCACACACCCACAGGCTTGCCTTGCCTCCAGCTGAAAGAGACCCCGAAAACACCATAAGACTAGAATAGACTGCGGAGCCCGGTACGTATGGGCCGGCCTATGTCGCCGTCTGGCCCGTGGGTACTGCGGGTTCGGTTGGCCTGCTCCACGTGCGAATATGCCCTAAGCCTGAAGCGTCAGCTAATTTGTCATCTGGGTGGAAACCAGCCTTTGACGAATTGATACGCGGCTTGGTCTCGCCCGAGAATGCACCAAAACGTACCTGATTTACAACTTGTCATGATAGAGTCCTCCGTAAACTCGAGCCAACAAGCAGGACTGGGATGGATAGACTTGGACTGCGTGCAGGATAACAAATCAGTACATAGCATGACTAGAAACAGAACATAGAAACACACCATCACAGGGGGGAGCATGGCGATGCGGGACCGCGGCTCCACCGGATGCTCGATGCCTTCGTCCACATCCATTTCGGCCGTCGACAGCGCCGAGTTGGACCTCAGACGACCGCTGGCTGACGTGTTGGCGGTCTCCAGACGCTGAAGAGCCTGAGACCCGGGAAAGCGGGAGGACACAGAACCCCTCTGCCTGACAGAGGCCTGTGAGGAATGTGGGAATAAGGTCAGCAACATGCCCCTACAACATGTCCTCGAAGTGGCAGGGGATAGGGGGAAAGACATACCGCCTTCGGGCGATGAAGCATGCCCACACTGAAATCCCACAGACACAAGCGACAGTCTTCTCCCACGCTCCCGAAACGGTAGTTCCTGTCGTCGCATCGCCAAGGGTCGAATGCGACGGACGTCACCCAAGACTGGTGCCCCTGGCACCTTGCCACGATGGTGGAGTCCACGACAGACCATATGGAGATGAGATCGTCTTGGCCTCCTGTTAGCACGTACTTCCCGTCGGGAGACCAGCAGACGCAGGTGAGACCGCCGTAGTAGGAATGGTAGAGGTCAAGCAGCCTGTCGACCGAGTTAATAAGAGGCAGAGGGTATTATGACTACGCTAGCCTAAGGGGGGTTTGAATATACTCTTCCTTGAGGTAGTCGATGATGCGTAGAGTCCCATCCTCCGAAACCACGGCCAGGTGGCGACTGTCGTGGCTGAAAGCGAATGCGTTGATGCGCTGGTTCGAGAGCTTCCAGCACGCAACGGGGTTCACCTTCTGATTTTTGGAGTGAACAGACTTTTGGATCTGGAACCGTGATCGGCGGGTGGCTTTCTCGGTGCCGCTGGTTTCGGTCTCTCCGCTGGGTCCTCCGGTAGCAGTTCCTTCTGGTGTAAACGGAGCGTCTTCTTTCTCCTTGTCGTACACCACCAGGGAGCCGTCCATATGGGCTGCAAGAAATAGGTTCTCGGAACCAGGAATCCACCTGATCTCAGAAACAGGGGTGCCGTTGATGACGCCCTGCGGATGATTGTTCAGTTTAGTTTCATGCTTTTGGGGTCCACTAAGTGCGTTCTGGCCAACTGCAACCTACGTTCTTATTCAAGCGCGTGTATCTTTGGGAGACGGGTTCCCACCAGATGATCTCTCCTGTAGAGAAACCCATAATCACGTCAATGTGTGTCGTGCTCTTCGTCACGGGGTTGACATCGTGGCAAAGGCAGTGGGCTCTTGTGAAAAGAATCTTCGTCAAGTAGTCGGCCTGCATTTCGTCAGCGAACCCATCCTTCAGGGTGAACCCGGGGGTGGGGGGTAGTGTAGGTTCTCGACCTTGGACGGTGACAACAGATCCAGCCACTGGAAAGCACGGTTAATGTTTGCGAAGCAATAAAGTCCGTCCGCCGGCCGATCCTGTAGCTTCTTTGCAAAGCCCTCGTTGACAATGACTCTAGAAATGAACGAGGAATTGCTCTTAGTCATGTTATTCTTGGGTTTCTTTTTCTTTCCCGCATCCTTTGGGTTGACAGGTGCTAGCGCGGCATTGCCGTCACCGAAGGCCGGGGCCGGGGGTACGAGAGTCGTTGTTGTGGGAGGCGCATCGCTGAGAGAACCGTGACCACCATCACTGCTCAGCCCCGCCTCGGTAGAATACCGCTCGCTCGGATGTTCTTGGATACTCGAGGGCGCGCCGGCTACGGACAACGTAACGGAGGAGGTACCTCGGTAGAAGAAGGGCGGGGAGGGTCGCGGCTCAAGACTGACGAGAGAGAGTTTCGTCCCCGCGGTCGCCGGGGCGGGATTCGTCGCGAGCGGGTTCGGGTTTAGGATTGGGGGTTCGGAGGGGTGCGGCGGTGGAGTCGCGAGGTGCAGGTCTTCTTTCAGGACGTAGGTGCCTAGTGAAAGGGGCCGCATGAGAGGGTTAGCTTCCGTCTCGCCGCCAGGGGGGAAGATTCCGCACGACAAACTCACCCTCGCCGACCAGAAACCGATACTCATGGCCCTTAGGTGTCGTAAGAGTGTTGTTGGTCTCGATCGTGGGGATAGCACCCGGGCCACCAACACCGACATATTGCCCGGTTGTAGGGTACCTCGGCGGAGGGGGGAGAACACTGCACATGAGGTTGCGATTAGTCTCGGTTCACTCACTCGTCATGCCAATCCCCATTGACCGGCCAGGGAAGGAACCGGGGACGTTGACGTTCGGGCTAGGCGGTGATGTGACAGGATCGCAGTACGACGGCAACGCAGCGCGCACAGAAAGTAGAGACATGAATCCATGGTCTCTGGCATTTCAACACAAACGTACAACATGGTGGGTAATGCAGGCCACCCGGGCTGAGGAGGCTAGATCCGGGATTCTCCAATCGAAGCTGCCCGGGAAACGAGTCGCTTTGCAAGGGTTCTGCTAAGTCACACAACTAGGCAGACTGTCGAACGGCGATACTTGGACGACACGTAAAGTGCGGCAGGTCGCAGCTATCAGCTATTACCAGGTGTCGACTCTGTAGATCACCCGAGTGATGGTATACGATGGGTGATGCGGAGCACCAAACTGGGAAATGCGAAAAGGCGGATTGAAGAAGAATTCTCTTTGGTTCGATACAATTAAAGTATGCAAGCAGCAGTAAAGCAGTTGGGCGGGAGGCCAGCCTTCGTATGGGTTGCTGCGATCGGCTCCGGGTTCCTGCGGCTCAGAATAATACTCGGAGGGGCAGTCGTATACGAGAGACAGGTTATCAGTAATAGTCGAGCAAACGTATGCTCGTATGTCGGGAGAACGCGTAGATGAAAAGCGGAATAGAGATGAGGAGTTCCAAGTTTCGCGAGGAGGCCGTGGTTTGGTGTTGAGGAGCTGGAAAGAAAAAAGGAAAGTCGTAGGTGTCCCCCCGCCTTCTCAATCAGCTTCCCGACCTTCAGATCCTGGGGTTTGGAGTAATTAGGTACCTTACTTTAACAGTGGGTACCTGCCTTCCCAAGGTATTGTACCTAGGTACCCTCCTTACCCCGGAGAACTCTTGGGCTGTACACGATGTACAGGTTAGGTACCTGAGTTTGTCTTGATTTGTACCCTGTAGGAAGACATTCATATTCAGGGCCGATGGCCTTGACATAACGAGCGAGACTTTTCATTGTCAAACTTAATATATATATACCAAATCTAGCTATGCACCTAGGAAGGTAGCCGAAGTCAGATATGGCCAGGCACAATCAGTTTACTGTTATCCATAGATCAACCAAACAGCCCAGGTGTCTACCTGAGGCAAGGACGTACCTTAGGTACGGAGTAGGACATACCTTATACTTCGCACCTCCTCCGGATAACCCCCACAGCCCCACGTGCCAGCTCAGATGACTTCATACTGTGCAAAGTGCGCGCTGTAATTTACTTCTTACCGTGCCAGTGTCAGTGGACACTGACACTGGAGGTCCCTATAGTCCCCATCGAAAGAAGCTTGGGGCAATAACCGCCCAACAGCTGCGGTCTTGGTGGTGCCATCCCAATCGTCTTCTCTCAACTCCGTGACAAATTGGACGCTGCGATAATTATCCTACTCCCTTACCTAGAGATCTCCTTCCCAACCTTGACTTTGCTTGAGCTCATCGCTCTGCTTTCCGTTGCCTTGCTTCTTGTATCAAGACATTGTCACACTGGAAGTACCAAACGAACCAACGGTCGACACTGCCGGCGGTCCCCTCCCACCTCTCGATTTGAATTAAATCGCTCGATGTCATGATATGTAGATAACAGCTTCCTCGAGCTCGTTCTTCACGTCTTCATTGTCCATAATGGCCTCAGGTACGTGACACTGGTTTGCGTTGTACTTCGAGCTCTCCGCTATTTGCAGCCACCCCCACAATCGAAAGAGTTCGGGCTCGGACGTCCTAACCTCCAACAAATTATTAGTGCGCATCTGTGTCTGCGGCGATGAAGGCACCGGCAAGTCAAGCCTGATTGCCTCTCTCGTCAAGGATGTCTTCATCCAGAACAAAATCCAACCCGTTCTGCCCCCTATCACCATACCCCCTCAACTAGGAACCCCCGACAACGTTACAACCTCCATCGTCGATACGTCCGCGCGTCCTCAAGATCGTACCACGCTACGCAAGGAAATTCGAAAGAGCAATGTCATCCTCTTGGTCTACTCCGATCACTACAGCTACGAGCGCGTCGCCTTGTTCTGGATGCCTTACTTCCGATCCCTGGGAGTCAACGTCCCCGTCGTTCTTTGTGCGAACAAGTCAGACCTGACTGGCAACGACAATACCCCGCAGGTCGTCGAGGGAGAGATGCTGCCCGTCATGGCCGAGTTCCGCGAGATTGACTCGTGCATCCGGGCTAGTGCGAGAGAGCACCGCAACGTCAACGAGGTCTTCTTCCTCTGTCAAAAGGCCGTAACTCATCCTATCGCTCCACTCTTCGACTACAAGGAAGGGAATCTTAAGCCCGCCTGCGTCAAGGCCCTGAAGCGGGTCTTCTACCTGTGTGATAAGGATCAGGACGGGTACCTGGACGACCAGGAGATGCATGACTTCCAAGCCAAGTGTTTCGACAAGCCTCTGACCCCGGAAGACCTGGACAACATCAAGCAAACCGTAGGGAAGAGTGCTCCCAAAACCACGGCCGAGAAGGGCGTCGATCAAGCCGGCTTTCTCCAACTCAATAAAATATACGCCGAGAAAGGCCGTCATGAGACTATCTGGATCATCTTGCGCAAGTTTCGTTATACCGACAGCCTCAGCCTGGAGGATGGTTTCCTGCACCCCAAGTTCGAAGTCCCCGAATATTCCTCGGCCGAGCTGAGCCCAGCAGGCTATCGTTTCTTCGTCGATCTCTTCTTGCTCTTTGACAAAGACAACGACGGCGGACTGAGCGATGAGGAGCTGGAGGCCTTATTCGCTCCGACTCCCGGGCTTCCGCAGTCTTGGGAGGACAGTTCGTTCCCTTTGTCGACCGTCCGCAACGAGGCCGGCTACGTGACCCTTCAGGGCTGGTTGGCTCAATGGAGCATGACCACCTTCATGGAACCTAAAACGACACTGGAATACCTAGCCTACCTGGGCTTCGAACCCCCCACTCCCCGGGAATCTACTACGGCGGCCCTTAAAGTTACCAAATCCCGCAAGAGGAGGAAGCGACCCGGCCGTGTGGAGCGTAACGTGGTTCTTTGCTACGTTGTCGGTGCCCCTAGCGCTGGGAAATCCGCTCTTCTGGACGCCTTTCTCAATCGTCCTTTCGACCCCTTGTACCGCCCTTCCATCAAGCCCCGTCGCGCCGTCAACAGCGTCGAATTGCATGGCGGCAAGCAGTGTTACCTGATCCTGGAGGAACTCGGGGAGCTGGAGCCCGCCATCCTCGAGAACCAGGCCAAGCTCGACGCCTGCGACCTCATCTGCTACACCTACGACTCCTCCGACCCAGACTCGTTCAGTCACATCGTCGACCTGCGACGCCGGTACCCGCAGCTCGACAACCTCCCCGCCGTCTACACCGCCCTCAAGGCGGACCGCGACAAGGCCACCCAGCGATGCGAGCAGCAGCCGGACGAGTACACCACAGCCCTCATGATGAGCGCGCCGCTCCACGTCTCTGTGACTTGGAACTCCATATCCGAGCTCTTCATCGCTTTGGCCGAGGCCGCCACCCACCCCAGCACCGCCTTCCCGCGCAGCGAGGAGCCGCCTCCTGACCGGACGTCCCTGTACCTCGCTCTCGGAGCGACGGCCTGCGCGGGCCTTGCTGCCTTTATGATTTGGCGACGCTCCACAAATGCCCCCTGAGCGCAATCAAATGCCATGGTCCCAACTCCCTCTTATTTATTTAACTATATTTATTTATTTTTATTCTTCTTGGCGAGACATTTTTATAATGTCATTCACGAACTGGACTGCATCTGCCGAAAGCGACGGGAAAACACAGGAGTTGGCGGAGGGATGGATGAGATGGTTGATTTGGACTCGGAATGTTCTTTCTTTCTTGCTTTTTCTCTTCTTCCCATCGTTTTGATGACTTGTGATACCCTAGCTCCATACTCCATATTGCGCTCAATAAGCCAACTCTACAGAAACTATTTACGAACGCCGCGGCGATGCAATTAGGCTTTTAATACAAACCATATAATCATTTCTCTCATTCCTCTTCGCTCTTCTTTCTTCAAGTCTCTTTGTTCTCTGCTTCTTGCATCCTTCTCGATCTCTGCGCTAACCATTTTCGGCCGGGAACAGCTATCCTTCTGTCCTACATGAAGTCGTCTACGCTGAACGCCGGGGGCCCTCCCTGGCCCATCTGGAGCCGGCGCATCTCCTCCACCAACCCGTACGGATCATCCGGAATCAGGCTTGGATTGGACTGTTCCGCCTGGCTTTGCCCGCTCGCGGATCCCTTGGGCTGCGTCTGTGCTTTCGCCTGCGGTCTGTTTTCCGGGGCCGCGCCGTTTTTGTCTCCCGATGCCGCTTCCTGGGCGTGCGACGCCGGGCCGGCCGTGTTCGACCTCACCTGCACCTTGACCTCGCCCTGGATACCGTCGACGCGGATGGTGCTCGTCGCGGTGCCGCCGGGCGGGGGGCGTAGGTTAGGCGGGGGCGCCATGGATACGAGCTCGCGGAAAAAGGCGTTGGCGGCGTCGCACCCGTCCAGGAGCCACTTGAGGCAGAGGGTGACGCGCTCTTTGGCGAACGGGTTGTGGTCGTCGTACGAGCAGCTGTTGAGGAGGGGGACGATGCCGTTGTGGCGGACCATCTGGAGCTGGACGTCTGGGTGTCCGGGCGATTTGCCCGCCCGGGGCTGGAGCAGGGTGGCGAGGATAGTGAAGATCTGTGACTTGATACCGGACCAGGGGTACTTGTAGGCAGCTTCCGCGTGGGGAGGGGGGGGCGGGGGCGGCGAGGGTGACTCTGGCGGGTTGTAGGCTGAGTACGGATGTTCGACCAAGGGGTCCGACGTAGACCGCGATGAAGTCGCTGTGGAAGCCGCGGCTGCCTCAGCCCGGGTTGGGATACTGTCGACAAGGGCTTTCTTCGGGACACCGGCCTCGAGGCCGTTGAGTAGGGTGATGAGATCGTAGACAGCCTCCCACTCGATGAGCTTGGGGCGGGTATAGGGGATCTCGGAGACGGTGGTGAGGAGATCGAGGTACTGGGCGAGCCCGTCCTTGGCACGCTCCATGTCCCACGTGTCCATGGGGAAATCGGCCGGGTCCGCGTTATCCTCGCGGATCTGCGCCTGTAGGTGCATCAAGGCGACGCACTCGGGAACGATGCGGGAGCGGAAGTAGCCGAAGAAGAACATAACGAGCTTGAGGTCGCGGGTGCGATCCTTCGCATCTTGGGGCAAGGAGGCGATGCGGCTGCGGAACATGTAATTAACGAGCCTCAAAAGCACCGTCTGGGCGGGCGAGATGATATCCTTGGGGATGCGGAGAGAGTTCCAGGCGTAGGAGACGAGTGACGAGTGGTGCATGGCTTCGACGAGTTGCGAGGTGAGCTGGAAAATAAGCGACTGCTCGTCTTTTTCCCAGACGGCGATGAACACGAGCATCTCGCGGAAGAGCGCCTTGCCGCAGTCGAGCGCCAGGAACATGCGGCAACGCGTCTTTTGCAGGTTCTCGCCAGCGCGTGTGAGGCCCGTGCCAGCCGAGTCGAGGATGCAGGACTTGACGATCATGTGAAGGGCTTCTATCTGTTTCGGATCAAGGATATTGGGGATCTCAGTCAAAAGTCCGGTGAGGGGCCCCTCGCTGTACGATTCGTCGTCATCAATATCCTCATCCTCGTCGATCATATCGTCGTACCCATCGTCCGCATAGTCATCATCGACCGAGTCATCGGCCGTTTGGTCATCATGCGGGTCTCGGTCAGATTCCTCATCGACAACATCGATGTCCTCCTCTTCATCGTGTTCTTCGTGCTCTTCCTCGTCTTCTTCTTCGTCGTCGGGATCGAGGGCGTGGTGGGCGTAACGGTTGAGCATGCTGTTCTTGCACTGTTCAGTTCGAGATGCAGCAAACTCAACCGAGGGCATCGGTACGACCCAGTCATCGTAGTTGGCATCTCGAGCGCGCATCCACCACGTGTCGATCTCACGCGATACACGGCCGTACACCCTGTCCTGTTCAAACTTGTCTTTGATGTCGGGGTCCCACCTGGGCGTAAACTTCTCCCCCTCCTTAAAGTTGTCGACCCTGACCTTGACCTCGCCCTCGGGATACCAATTCCAGGCCAGGGGCGCAATGGGAGCAAGTACGCCTGGAGGCCTGTCGGACTGCTTCCGAGAGTAGTCGGTCAGGAGCTTCCGTGCGGTGTCGCACATGCGCGAATTACGCTCCAGCCAGTTCTGGATCTCCACCTTGGCCACGTCGACACGGAACCCGGAGCCATCACCCATATCGTCCTGGGGGCCATCAACTTGTGCGTCTTCGTCGAAAAGCACGTCGTACCAAAAGGACATCTTGTTGCGGTCATGCTTAGCTGTCCAGTTGTGCGCTTGCTGAAGTGAAGTAACAAGAAGCTTCTTGTCTACAAACGTGTGTCGTTGTGTTAGAGAGGTGCTCAGTCAGATAGAAACGGTCAGGGACGGGCATAAATACTAACATAGATCCGTAATCTCGTTCAGCTTGGACCTGGATGCTTCGTCCAGAATCTCACCATCGTATCCCTTGCTGGTGACATTCACACAGAGAATGATGGTTTGATAGACCATCTGATCAAAGTGAACTGCGGCGCAGATATCCTGGGGGACCTCGGGTTCCGATGTCACGAGGAGGTTTCGGGCAATGTGCATGAGCTTGTTGAGAATCTGGAGGTCGTCCTTGAGGTTCCCATAGTTCTTAGCTATGAGAGCTGTGCTCTCCTGCGGACTGACCCCCTTCTCTGGGTCGTTGAGGCTCGACAACGGCCCAACGGAGCGAGTGGTCAGGTTCGGGATGGCAGCCCCGAATATCCTAGTAAGCCATATCCAAATGGCGACGTTCCGGGAAAGGACCTCCCTAGGATGGAGTCAGCACCGAAGTAAATGATCAAAGTAAAAAGAGAAGCCCCGAATCCAGCGAGAGACCAACCTGACATGCTTAAAGGTATGTGTCTTCTCTAGTGTCTTGGCAACCATTGACGATACGCGGGCCGCGGTCAGGGGTCCCATGGGAGGTGAGTTGGTATAGTGACCTTCGAGGCAGATGAGAGCGGCCGAGAAGCAGCGCTCTTCTATTGTTTCGGGGGGACGGGATGCATCAGCAGGGCCGGGATCCGGTAGAGACGGGATCTCTATGGTCGTCATGGTGTTTCCTTTAAGGTTGTGTTTCACAAATTGTTGGTAATGTGCCTCGAAAAATGGCTGCAAACAAGCCAAGGACGATGAACTCGGGAAACTCAGGATGAGGGAGGGATGAGAAGTGAGAGCGGCGTGGAGGTTGCAGGGGTGAATCTAAATGTAGATGCTGAGCGATAGTTGAAGATAAGCTAAAATCCCTCCTCAAGCGGTAAGGGAAGCGGCCCGAGACTTGTTAGGTGGGTGAATAGAGACGCTCGGCGATGTCGTGGTTGGGTTTATACTGGGAAGCAATTGTAGCCTGCAGGTAAAAGTGGTGGGCGAGTTTGAAATGTAGTACTAAAATTTTCGCGCCACTGTGGCGTCGGTGTCTCATCGGTGTACCGGTGTACGGGACTACTTACTGAAGGGGGGGGGGGGGTATTGGTAAGCAACATGTTCTTCCACCATCGACTATCGGGAATTACCTCACTTAGACCTTTTCGCTAAACCGGAAGGACATTGATTATTTGCCTCAACTCTTTCCCTTATAGGTCCTACTCTCAATCTCATGAGAATCACGTCGTCTGTATCAAGAGCCGTCTAAAGAACCCACCTGACCTTATGTAAGATCCGACTCAGGTCGTTTCGGTGACTAGCCAATAATATCAGTGCGATAAAGACCCCTGTCCTGGAGTGCCCCGCCCCGTTGCTATCGCGCCCTACCGTCCGCAACGTCTCGTCTTTGGCGGGGTAATTTATTTCAACGAAGAAAGAAAGAAAGAAAAAAAAAATATCACGAGTCGGACAACGGGGCAATAACAAAATAGAATATCTTATCTTGCACCTTAGCAACTGGTGAATTTCTTTACAGCAAGTCCGTTTCAGGTCTTATTTAAAACAGGAAAAAAGAAAAAAAATTCCCACCCCTCCCCGCCCCCAGCAACAATGGCCGATCTCCCGGGCCACTTCGACCGTAAGCCTCATTCTTGATGTGAACTTCTCGACTTAGCAGACTCTATATCGAGCTTTATTCTAACTCTACCAAGGCCCCGTTCATATTGCCGTCATTGGTGGCACTGGACTCGGCAAGATCGACGGTTATACTCCCGTGGCGGCCATCAACCCGGAAACACCCTGGGGTCTCCCGTCTTCGCCGATCCAGATCCTCGAGCACAACGGGGTCCCCATCGCATTCCTCGCGCGCCATGGTCTGCACCACCAGTTCGCCCCGCACGAGGTCCCCGCGCGCGCCAACATCGCCGCGCTAAGGCACATCGGCGTGCGCACCATCATCGCCTTCTCGGCCGTCGGCTCTCTCCAGGAGGAGATCAAGCCGCAGGACTTCGTCGTGCCGGACCAGGTCATCGACCGAACCAAGGGCGTCCGCCCTTTTACCTTCTTCGAGGGCGGCGTCGTCGGCCACGTCGGCTTCGCGGACCCGTTCGACGGCGGCCTGGCCGACATTGTCCGCTCGTGCGCCTCCCACATGGACGGCGAGGGCGTGGTCCTCCACCCCAAGGGCACCATCATCTGCATGGAAGGGCCGCAGTTCTCCACCCGCGCCGAGTCCAACATGTACCGCAGCTGGGGCGGCTCCGTCATCAACATGTCCGTCCTTCCCGAGGCCAAGCTCGCCCGCGAGGCGGAGATCGCCTACCAGATGATCTGCATGTCTACCGACTACGACTGCTGGCATAGCTCCGAGGATGTCGATGTCGCCATGGTCATCCGCAACATGGAGGCGAATGGTCGCAACGCGAAGCGCCTTGTTGGTGCTGTCCTTGATCAACTGTCCAAACAGGAACATAGCAACCTCGTCCTCGCCAAGCATTGGGAGGGCGCTTCCTCCGGCGCTGTCAAGTTCATGACCAAGCCTGCTGGACGGAACCCTGAGGCTATGCAGAAGGTCGAGTATTTGTTCCCGGGCTTCTGGAAGGACTAGATAGACGCATTGTATTATTTTGTCAGAGCGGGGATAATGTTCAAAAAGCATGGCGATGAAAAGGGGGAAGATCTCAGAGTTGAGCATGGCGGAGCGCTGGACCTTTCCTTGGGGCGACATATCGTTTTTCCAGTTTACACACCTAGACATAAGGCTTATATATACATCACCTGTTCAGGTGTGCCGTGCAAAGTATATAGAAGAGGCTTAGCTTAGAGCGGACTTGAAAAAGAATATATGAATACTTGACGATATGGCAACTGCATTGCCGTGGCTGGGCAATATTCATGTAAATAAATGGCCATTGATACGTTACTGTGCATGTCTGTGAGCAACGATTGGGTGGGCCATACTGCTTTTGGCCGGTGTTCTTGGGTGGTAGCCTGTTGTCCTGGTGCCGGTGATGGCTTCACAGCTCCGGGTTTCCAAACCCAGCATAATCCCTCCCACTGGGTTTCTCCCGAGCTTAGGCAACCACAAAACACGTCAATTGACCAACTCTGCGTGGAAACCAAGACAACCTCATCTCGCGCATCTAGTAGGCATAACTATTATACCACAGCACTTCTCTGCCATGAGTGAAAAATACCAAAGTGGACCAAGGCACATGGGATCACCTCTCGACTGCCATTATCTCATGGCAGTATCGCCGTAGGTCACAAAATAGTAAATTGCCACATGGGAGAAAGAAGGAAAAAAAAGTTCACTCCAACCATAGGCGTCTCCGGAGAGAAAGCTGGTGGAACTCTGAATCAAGTTGAGGGGCTATGGGCTGCAGACATCGTGATATCTGTGCTAGCATCGAACTCGAATTCATGAGATTCCGTTGAGGAGCTGGGATTATACCCACTGGGCCACTAGGGCTGTTGGGAAAGGATGAAGCAATGGATTATACAGGATACACCGGAGGGCTGCCCGGTGTGATTCGGTGTAGAGTGATGATATTCAGTGGGCTTACCGGGATTATAGGGGTTCCCATAGGGCATGCGCCAAGCGGGGGTTGGCGTATCAGGCAGCTACACTGTGTGTGCCTGCAGGATGGCCTGTAGGTATCTTCAAGGAAGGAACGAGAAATATGCCACTGCGGTGCCGCGAGGCTCCTTCCCCTTAGGTCTGAGGTAGACCCCGGGGATGGTAGGTGGCCGGTGTCGACATTTTGCGTGTATCCCATCTTCTTCTCTGACGTGGAGGTAATTAATAAGGCAGCTGGTAGGTTGGCCTGCCCTTGAAACTACGCCACCAGAGACATCATTCTCCTTCGCACGAGCCTTCTAGCATTCGTATACCGTTATGTATTGTGTCTCGCTTCCCCTCATTGACCAAGTGATAAAAGTAAGTTGTTTGTCGTTAAAAGGGGTCCTTCGAGGGTAATGTTGACAGATGATGGTTGAAGAGACAGAGTAGAACAATGGAATAAAACTCCAACTCGAAGCCAGGAATAGCCTGCTATAGGAGCCTACTTGGATACCGTCACTCGTGATATCAGAGCCTCGAGGCTCAAGGAGGAGGACAGCAAAGAAAGAATCCCGGGCGATATTCCGGCCCTTCCACGCATCGTGACACAATAACACAAGACCTTGAATCAGCTAATGGGGATATATAGGAGCCGTTTGAATGGGTCTAAGGTGGGACAGAGTTGAAAGATTTTGCTTACTGGCGACAGAGACCGTAGTTGAAGCCATCATGCCTGTGCCTGGCTAAGTGCTATTCCCAACAAAATAGGTCACGGCCCGTGGGGTATCAAGACATGTTGTTATTAACCATATAATCAACGCAGACTATGATCTAATGCTGTTTGGGGGCGCATAACGTTACAAAAAAAGAGTCGCCTAGAAACCTACTCAGAACCATGCAGAACCCTGCATCTTCGAGTGCCAAACCAACCAACCGCCACACCAGCCCAAACGCTTTCGCAGTGAAAATCCAACCTACATCAAGAGATATAAAGCCCGAACGCCTTTCTCCGCCGCCGCAATATGCCACGGCCTCACATCCGTCTCCCGGTCCACCATGCCCCTCGCCCGCGCCAACGTCCCCAGCCCCCTGAACTTGTGCAGCATCTCCCGTAAAAGCGCCTCGTGCGCCCTCGGGTGGCCGTCGCTGTGGACGATGTTGACTTCCATGGCCACAGGCGGGTCTTCCGCGTTGGGGCCGCCGCGTTTGATCAGGTACCCGCTGACGAGCGCCGAGTCCAAGCATCCCGCAACGTTGGAGTTGCCAAGACGGTGAGATAGGATCGCGCCCCAGGCCTGGTCGGTCAGGTCGATCAGAATGGCGTCGCCTTCGGCTGGCTCGCTGCTCGTGCCACCATCCACGTTCCCTCCCGAGTTTCCGCCCGGTGTGGCTGCACCTTGACCGGGGTCCTTAACCGGTGTCGCCGGTGCTCCGCTCTGCTCGGGGGAGAGGGTGGTGGTTGGCTGGGGAGTCGAAACGGGTGTCGAGTAAAACGACGTCGCGGCCGTAACGGGCGCTTTGATAGCCGGGGGTATCAGCTGCAACGACGGATCCGTATCTACGGTGATGAGCGTAAGGCTGATGGAAGCCTGCGACTCGGTCTGTGCTAGAGCCACCCAAAAGTCCATCTCGCTCTGTTCCATGTGTCCGCATTTGGCGATGATGACACGCCAGTGGACCTTCCACCTTGATATGAGGTCGTGAGTCGTCTCCCAGATCTCGTTGGCGACGTCGGTAAATTGCCCCGAAAGCGGTTTCCCCTTTCTCCCGAGGCTGTAAGAAGCCGTCATCTGCTGGCTCCCCCTGTTGTCGGTCCATGCCGCCGTTATCCAACGTTCGTCGATGCTCTGAGCATAGGCGATGTGCATGCATGCGTTCTCGTTCATAAGAGACGAAGAGCTTGTCTGGCTCAATCTGAAGTCGATGGTCCTCGGTATGCTTTGTTCCAGGACAACGGCAGGCGCAGGCATCGGGCCACCAAAGACCGTACATCGATCGTATACCTCCATTGCCAATCCGGTGAGATCGTTGGGTACAGAGGTCGGCATGCCGGAGACGGACGTGAGGAAATCGACGGGTATCAGCTGCAGAACCAGCTCGTTTGACGGCGTTTGCCTCTTCTCGAAAAGCGACTTCTTATACATCTCGAACAATTGCTGAAAAGCCGTACAAACTTCCATGATGGATTCGGGACGACTCGGGATGTACGGAAGAAATACCACAAAGTTCTTCTCGGCCACGTCGGTCGTCAATAGGCGCTGATTCAGAGCAGCCATGCTCTCAGTCAAAGTGGAGCCGTCCACCGTCGTCGGCATAGTTGGAGAGACGAGGGCAGGGAGGATGTCCCAGGGCACAATTCCGTCTGTCGCCGTCTCGGCATGGCCGGGGAGAGCGTCGAAAGTACCCAGCTTTAGAAACTCATAGGTATGCCGTATTCGCTCCAGGTACATGGCGGCATTAGCGGACATGCCTTCAGCATTCGGAAAGATACAGGCGCCTAAAATGTCCTTAGGGCCCTGAGAAGGAGAAAGGCCCATAGTGTCCCAAAAAGTCACCGCTGACGGAAGAATCGACAGTTTCGTGTCTAGACGCTTCACTTCTATGTGCGGCGGCGGTATTTGGTAAAAGTTGTTGGGCTTGGGGGGCTCAGCATTCGGATCCCGCGACGGGACAGGCCGGGGTTGAAATCTGCTCGGTGGACCAAGCAACGGGACGTCAGCCACTTCGATCATGCTTCGTAGTCGGCATCTCGAAGCGTTTCCCATTGTCATAGAAATGATATCCCGTAGAGCCTGGGATGACGACCTCCCAAGGGAGGCTAGCTGTCGACGCGCTCCGAGGGAGTGTGCCCGGTTGAATGTTATGGGCTGGGGGCCTCGAAGGTGAAGAGTCCCCGAGATCACTTGTTCCGTTAGTATTTGTGCAACGAAGATGATGTTCTCGTCAGATAAAGATAACGATGTTGATAATGGCTCTGGGTCTTCGAAGTATTTGGTCACTGCAATCTCAGGAGCTTCGGATTTCGCTATCCTCGGTAAGTCCAGCGCCAGGGATGGATCGGATTCATCGACCACGGATTCAACGTCCCTCACAGAAGTTGCATAGGATGCGATATCATCATCTAGATTCAAACGTCTCGTGGTTGATTTGAATGGAGAGGCCGGCTCGTCGCTCGACTCTGGCGAATCCATCCGCCCCGACTCCACACTCGCATCGTCAGCATCAGATGTGATCTCCTCCATCTCATCCGGGTTCGCATGTAGAGTGCTATTTTCTAGATGTCCAGTGATGGCCTGGAGCAAAGCATTGGTACGATCTGACTTGGGGCGTCTGAGTTGGAGGTTTCCGTGGCGTCGCAGGTAGTCCGTGGTTGGGGGCTCGTTCGAAGGCCGGAGGGACTCTTGCTGCGAAGGTGTCCAACGACAGTCGAAGCGACCTCCAGCCTCGTACTTCTTGTTGGTCAGGGGGAGTTCTGGATTAAATGTAACCCCGTCAAAAACACTGCCCTTGCGGGGTGGGATGTCGTTGGAATTGGGAGAAGAACTTGGTCGAATAAGAGAGGCTCGGACTTTCTTGAACACGGTATCAGGGTCGAAAGGACTGAGTTCTCGCTTTCTAGCGCCGAGGATGATGCTGTTGTGATCATCGCCATCCTTGGTCCGCGGTTTTGGATCGTCATTGTTGAGAATGCTCCGAGCATGCCTCAATTCTGGCTTGGTGAACGTTGGGGAGCTTTGTCCGGAATCCTTGCTCTCTTTGGGGGCGTCTATTCTGGCAATAGATGCGGCCAGAGACGACCTATCTCGACTTGGTACCGAATGAAGTATCGTCGGGCCCTCTGGAATCGCAGCTTCAGGCATCCTCGAATGACCAAGAGATCCGTCTCCAGGTTGATCGTCGAAGAAGCTGAAATCAGCATCTGTCACGTCGGCATCGCCAAACATATCCCCGCCCATGTCATCGAATACCGGATCACCCTCGAGGAATGAGTCTCCCCGTTCTCGCCGAGCTTCTTGTTCATCCCATGAATCTTGACCACTGTTAGGAGCAGCATGCGCGCTCGTGTTGCCCACGTTCATGTCGGCGTCCACCGGAGCAACGGTGAATGATGGAGCTCCGGGACTGGATATGTTGCCTTCTACGGCAGCCACGGGAGTAATACCCAGGGGATGCTGCACCCCGTCTGGGGGCGTCGGATACATGGCAGTTGCCGCTGCGCCATTGGCAGCTCGTCTTGTATCTATCGGAGAATGATCATGAGGTGGTTGTAATGGTAAGTGTGTAGACTGAAGTTCCCGAGAAGCTGCCATTTCTCTTGCTTTCCGGCGATGGGCGAGGGCTTCCTCCCTCCCTTGGTCCGAATCGAACCATGTCTTCGCCTCAAGAAGCGAATCTGTTAGCTCCCCGATGGAATGGGGTCCCAATCCGCTGTCGTTGGTACTCATGGCTGAGGAGATGGACTTCTTCCGGAAACAAAGCATGGAAGGCCAAGAGATGAGTGGTGCATTGGGAAGCGGGGTCGCCTTGCCATCGGCCTTCTGTTCACCGTGTCTTCGGCGGAAGAGCTGGAGCGCGATCCATGTACAGCTCTGGAGAGCCTCGCGAGGTAGCCCTCGACCGCGAAGAATCCGAGTGCATGCTTCTCTCCACTGCGAGGGCGTCGACTCTTGGTCAGGCCGCACGCGCCATAGCCGAGGATCTGGCGTTTGGCCAGCTGCATCAGGATACGGCAGCGCACTGGCGAGACCCTGGTAATTTCCCAAGACCCCGAATGGCGCCACAAGCACCTGTGAAGCCAGAGGCGTCTGGCCCGTACTGGGGATTTCATTCATGGACATGAGACCCTCACTCAAAGACAGAGAGAGACCGGCAAGCAAGGAACCTGTGGTCGTAAGATAGACTCTAAAGGTTCCGATGACGGCCATTTCCTGCTTAAAAATACCGTCCTCTCGGTCATCAGGCCCGGTTACTTTGGAACCCAGCAAGACACTTCGGTCATTCAAAGGGATCGCGCCAGTACGGCGGCAGAAGGAGGCTGAAGTGGTCGCGAGCGTTGCCGTGATGAAATGTTCGTAGGCATCTTTGACCGTAACGGAAGTTGTCTTGCCGTCAGCGGCTGAGGTTGTCATGGTCATGGGTGCCTTCTTCGTGTCTTGGTCGCCGGAGCTGGGACCTGCCGAGGTCGCCGGGCCGGAAGAGGTGGCCAGCCGCAGGCTAGCATCCAGCACAGAGGCACCCGGGGAAGACGAGCTCGTCGGCGTATTCGCAGAGCGAGGGCCAAAGTGCCTCCCCTTGAAAAGATGTACAGGTTCGAAAGAACCCTCTTCGGCCAAGCCTAGGCGGAGACCACCAAACTCGAGCGTCGCGCCCAGACTGTGACCGCCGTGGCCTCCATCCTGTCCGGATGCCGAAGCAGGAGCCCCTTGGATATAGAAGTGCCACAGAGCGCGCCTGGTCGTGTCATAATGGAGTATGCGGCCTTCATCCTGTAGTGTGGTTTCCAAGTCGGGTGCTATTGAAGCGAACGGTTGCGACTGGTCGGGACTCGGTTCGTAGATCTGAAAGGAGATTGACGAGATACCGGTCTATAAAACAGGACCTCTGATTAGCAAAGGGACGGCTGAAACGCTATTGTGGACGGAGCAATAGAAATCCGTCTGAATGCATGGAGGTGCTTACTATCAGAAAAACATTTGTTTCGTAGTCGCTCGTGTCCATGTCGACGGCCTATATTCGAAAGTTGGACAGCTGGTTCGGCGGCATGAACGCCAACCCCTCCTCGCAAGGCGTCGCCACCAGGCCGCGAGAGCCTGAATCAGCCGGAAGTGCACCGCTCATGCAGAAATCAAGTCGGCTTGGTGGCACGTGGGGAGGCTTTTCGAAAGTAGTGTAATAAAGAGAAGTTCGTCGGGTCGGGCGCGTGAGATAGGTAGCTCCATCTCAGCGAGGAGAGGAGGCCAAGATCTCGACAAGAGATGGATGCTCGAGGGACGCGCAGGAGGAAGTGTCGGTCCGTCGATTGAATGTTTCCGCAACGTCGGAGGGTCGAGGAAGATGAGTCCTTGGTAACGCGATTATGTGATGAGGAGACGGGTGATTTGGACCTGATCCATGAAGCTGTTGGCGGGATATCCGGCTTCAGCTCAGGGTCTGAATCGCCTTGACGCTGGACGAGGTCAGGGTCTAGGCTATAATTATAATTACATAAGAATTGTGGTTGGCGGCCTTGGGTGACACGGACCGTCTTATTAACCCACACGGCACAGACAGAACAGGACTGGGGATAAGGACGGTCCAGGGCCTGCCAAAATGCGTATTAAATCCTCTTCAGAAATGTACAGTCGACAAAAACAAAGCAACAGGGCGAGGACCGAGTATAGGTACCTATCCTCTGGTTCGGAGACCAACCGATGATCCTCCACGAAGGATCAGGACATAGCAGAGCCACTGGTTGGTCCTATTTTAGCCACAGCCTTCAGATGTCAAGCCACAGGGGATAGGTAAGTAGCTTATCGAAGGTGGTCTAAGCTCTGCTAAAACTGAATCCTGCTGTCTTATCTTATCAGTACTGTTCGTACTTTTTTTTTCTTCTTTTCCTCTTCTTTCCCCATCCTCCACTGCGAAGGGCTCTTCAGAGAACTTCGAGACATCGCATCGCCTTTGGTCTGCGCTATATGGCGACTTCCCCCCCAAAGTGACAATGAAGCTCACCAATCCGGGCACAGTCCCGGTCTACACAGTATCTGGTGCATCGACAGCAAGGCCGTTGCCCGACTGGCTCGCGAGACGGAGAAAGCGATCGCTCAAGAATGACCCCGAGTACCAGAACCGCGTCGAACTTCTTCAGGACTTCGAGTTTGAAGAGGCAAGCAACTGCATCGCCGTCAGCGAAGACGGTGACTGGGCCGTGAGCACCGGAACTTACAAGCCCCAATTCCACGTCCACACGCTCTCGCAGCTCTGCCTCTCCTTTGCCCGCCACACAGATTCTCTGACGGAGAAGCTAGCGCTCCTGTCATCCGACTACTCTAAGATCCTCCTCCTCCAGAATGACCGAAGGGTGGAGCTGCATACTCCGATGGGTATGCACTATTCTATCAGGATGCCGAGATACGGTCGAGACCTCGTCTACGATCGCCCGTCCGCCGAAGTTTACGTCCCATCTGTCGGCGTCGATCAGGACGGATTCGGAGAAGTGTTTCGTCTTAACTTGGAGATTGGGAGGTTCATGAAATCTTTCCAAGTCGACGTCGGTGGAGACGACCCCGGTTCTGGCCTGCAGGGCGGCATCGGTGCGGGCAGCATCAACACAGCGGCCATCGCCGAAAACTCCCACGGTCTCGCTGCCTTTGGTACGTCGATCGGCACCGTGGAGTTTTGGGACCCGAGGTCTAAATCCCGAGTGGCTCTTCTCTCCACCCAAGAAGGCGGGATTACAACCCTGGACTTCAATAACTCGGGTCTCTCCTTGGCTACGGGTTCGTCCAACGGCATGGTGCAGCTCTTCGACCTCCGACGACCCGTCCCGCTTCTTTCCAAGGACCAAGGCTACGGGTTCCCTATTAAGAAGTTGATTCACATGACGACAGCGTCTCAGGAAAAGAAAATCATGTCAGCGGACAAAAGGATCATCAAGATCTGGGACGAGCTCGATGGGGAACCCTTCACTTCCGTGGAGCCCATTGTGGACCTCAACGATGTGGCATGGTGTAAGAATACGGGCATGCTGCTCACCGCCAACGAAGGTACATCTGACTCCCACTCTACTCTTATTTTCCACCTTGGTAGTTCTCTGTACCTTTGGATGCTAATGTGGCTCGATGGCTCGATCACAGGGAAACAACAACATTCCTTCTTCATCCCGGGTCTCGGACCCGCTCCCAAGTGGTGCTCGTTCCTCGACAATATGGTGGAAGAGATGGCCGAGGAAGCGAAGACAGAGACCTACGACAACTACAAGTTCCTCACGCTACCCGAGCTGAAGTCACTAAGCCTGACGCACCTGGTTGGAAAATCAAGTTTGCTACGGCCATATATGCACGGCTATTTTGTCGCCTCGAAACTGTACGACCAGGCACGTCTGATCGCGAACCCATACATCTGGGAAGAAGAGAGGACCAAGCGCATCAAAGAAAAGGTGGAGAAGGAGCGCGAGAGCAGGATCCGGGGCAAGAAGAAGGTCAAGGTCAACCAGAAGCTGGCAGACAAACTTCTGCAGCGGCAGCAAAATCGGGAGAAGGTGGATACCGAAGCTGGTATGCTCGGAGACGATCGTTTCGCCAAGATGTTCGAGGACGAAGCCTTCGTCGTGGACGAGACGAGTCACGAGTTCAGGTCTCTCAACCCGAGCACAGTTGTCCCTGGCTCTGCGCCTGCTGGCGGGTTTGGTCAAGTTGGCAATCAGAACGACAAGCGAAACGGCGGCAGTGGTGCTACACGTCAACAGGCAGGTCAGGCGAAGGCGGAGCCGGACGTCACCATGAAGGTCTCGTCATCCAAGGGCCGCAATTCGAAGGACGCCGCATTCGGATCCAGACCACAGAAGGCAGGGCGTGTCACCAAAGCTCGAGGTGACGTGGTGGGCGAGCATCAGATCACCTTCGTCCCGGAGAGAAGGAAAAAGAAGTCTGAATGGTCACAACCGAAGGACGAACAGCCACAGGAGAAGAGATCAGGACCCAGACGGAGCGCGTCCACAAATACATTTAGGAAAATGCGGTAAGATATCAACGGCAGATATCGCAAGGTCTGTTATACAACGAAGCGACGTGATCCGGCTGGCGTCACCGACCACGCCTCTTTTTTGGGCCAACAACCAGGTTGGCCCCACGCTTCGATGGACATGCACCATTTCGCCGCCCTGCGGCCGCTTTCTCACTCTGCTGTCCGCTCGACAAAGGCAATAAAAGCCATCCTTGAACCCTCCCAAAGCATCTCGACTGCACTATCCATTCAGAGCTCGAATCCCCACACAAATTCCCTCTATGTCCTCCCCCATTTCTTCGTCTTCTTGCCCCTTACCTCCGCTGGGATACCCTTCTCGAGATCCTCCGGCCCGAGTCGAGGCGTGGGCGGAACATCATCCGAGAGCTTCCGGTGTCCGCGTTTGCTTTTTGGCATGGAGTCTTTGAGCTCTTTGGGGAACTCGCTCCTGCGCGGGGTCATGGCGATGACGACTTTACGCGCCGATTTCCGGATATTTTCGCGGATCTTCCACTCGCGTTTCTTGGCAACGTAGAACAGCACGGCCATACCGACTTTTGGGCAAATTCTCAGTCAGAACCGTGGAAGGCCTACCCCAAGCGACAGTGAATCAAAGGGGGGGGGCAACATACTTCCTAACACGGCGAAAACGGACACCACGACGATGATGGCAATAATTGCGTCTTCGGACAAGTTCACGGCTCCTGGGCTACTTCCCGAGGCACCAGCTTCGCTGTCGACGCCATGGTTGGCACCGCCCCCGTCTTCGAAGTGGTTCTCTGTCGCAAGAGGGAACTCGTGCTCGGTTGCTGTAGCCATATTTTTCGTCTGTGTGTGGGAAATGCTACACTTCGTCCAGCGAGGTGAGATGCTCAGGAAAGCCGAATGATTCTTTTCTCTCCCTCCCAGTTGTCAGGAGGTTCAGCGCTTCCTAGTTCGAGTTGACGAGGACCGAGATCAGCGAGGAGGATTGTATATAGCACAGAGCACAGAATGTGGTAGGACATTGAAGAAGAAATACAAAAGATACCCCCCGCTTCACTTCGCTACCCGAGATTCAACATGTCAAGGAGTTTTGCATCTCTGGGACACATGGTGTTCCCCGTGTCCCCTGGGACAGAAGACGAGCCATAGCATGGCGCATCGGCACTTGTCGACCCAATCGGGCTCGCCAATCGAGCCTAATGTGACCCATTGAGCCAGGGGTAAAGGCACTGTTGTTGAACCTCTGTGATACGCAGTGAGAGTGATTGCTTGCAGAATGCATCCCATTGGTGTTGATCGTCGCTCGAAGCGCCGGCACCCAAGGATGCGGCTTCTTTGATGCATGCGGTCCCTGGCTTGGGAGAGGTGGTCCAGCCAATCAGAATGGCTAGTTGTACTGGGCGCCTACAAGGGGGTGACTGAAGGCTCCACCAGCCGACTTCTCGTCTCTCATCACACACATCACGGCACAGCAGAGCACGTCACATGCATAGACCAAAGCTCAGAATCTTCGACATCAGGCCATATTTTTTTTTTCCAAGTCTTGATTCAGAATGGCAGTGATTGTGGTGCATGAAGATTGTGACGAACGATAACATCAACTGCTCGAGCTCCTCGCAAGCCAGTCCCATCCAAGTCGCTACCTCTATAGTCAGGGGTTGGCTTTACACAACAAGTTCTTAGGCGTCGTTCGTCTCACTCACAACGCGCACCGCGATACGCTGGGGCCTTATGTACAACGTATGGACCTGAGCTGCGCGATGTCTGGATCATGACAAGAAACCGCAAAGGAGTCTCTTATCAACCCCCGCGATGGACTCTTAGCGCCATATGACTCCTCAATGTCATAACGGGTCTTTATATTGACCGGCATCTTCCCTCGTGGGGTAGAGGAGAAATAATGACAGGTGCCCGTCTTCACGGTCTGTCGGTTTACGATGCCCAATTCTGGTCCTAAGGATTAAACGATACGTCCTGATATGGATACATGACCTGTTCAAAATTAGATATGCTCTGTGTTTTGTTTCGGGCGTTTGTGATCAAACCTTAATGGAGGATTCGAAGATTGGGATTGTCTGTATCGTGTTCCCCTCACTGCTGACTTCCAGGTTATGAACCCATGCCCTTCTTCCAGCTATCTACACAATCTTAACGAGAGAATATGACTTGCTGCTGACAGGGAAAGCAGGACAGCCCAACCCATGAGACAGAACATAAGACTAATCTCACTCGTCGTTCTGTTATTGCGGTAGAGAATCCTAAAAACAGTACAGGTTGAAGTTATCTCGGAGGAGCATTTCCTCTTACTCCCACCCGGCATATCGCATTGCGATCTCGAACTCGTTGCCTTTCCAGCTTCCGCCAGCCTACGAGTTGGTCCTCGGCGACGGATATGTACCTAAGGTACCTATACGTCCGTCTTTTATTGGGACCTCTAGCTCAGTTGGAACACCTCTTACAAAGGTACGTTAGTCATGTCACGGAGATACTTTGAGCGGTGCATTTTCTCCCATCGTCTAGGAGCCACAGACGTGGAGATCCAGGGACAGGGCCTTGCCGGTTACAGGTAATTAGGTACAGAGAACCACGCAAAGGGGCACCACGGTGATGACTCCAAACTTCCATTGCAAGTATCAGATTATCCGTGGCGACTTCCATCTCTAATGGCTCTAATAATGAAGCACCCGGGGTAGCTGCTCCCATTCCTGCATAGTTCTCCACGACTGCCTTGGGTATGTGGTGAGGGGTTGCACCTCCCCTTCATTCGTCTTGTCTGAGGTGGTTGACGAACAAAACTCCGTCAGTCTCTGGACTTCGGAACTCAACCCGGAAGCAGTTTTGTTTCCCAAACACTCTCCCCACCTCAATACTTGCTTGTTGTGATTGTCAACAGATCATAAATCCGTTCACTTACACCTCCGTAGGCACGTTTAGACAACGGCACTACTCTTGCGTCACTTCTGGCTTGTCGGGGATAGCTCGTCACGACTCACGACTCTCTCGATGCTTCTTTGATATAGGCCCTTCGATCGGCTCCGACTGAGGAGATCACTGCCTTGGCCGACGTAGCAAAAGCGTAGCGAGCTCCCAGCCGTGTTCGATGTCTTCACCCAATTTTCCAATGATGATGCGCTCCGAGTACTTTGTCCAGAATGGCGAACACCGCCGAGATGCTTCGCCTGAGACTGCTCCCCAAGATGCCACACTACGAGAGGATGTCATCCGTGATGGTACGGATATATCTGTAGGACTCTCTTGTTCTCGTTCCCAAGGTACATACCAAGAACCTGCTCACCATGTCTCGAAGGATTCGCAAACCATAGAGAAATGCCAGCCTAGCCTCCAGCAGGATGCCAAAGAAGCCCTTGTCGTTGGCATGAAGGCGGGACAGACGAAAGATGGTAAAGACAGCCCACCGCATCCTACGACAGTAGAATTCACCGGGAACTTTCTTCCAAGGCCGACAGAAGCCAGTCACCTTGGTGCACTTGACCCCAGCAAAATCTTTCGAGCGCCGCCGCCTACTTTCACTCCCAACCAGTTCTCGGGGCCGCAGGCCAAACCGTTCGTCCCCACCGATGGTCAACTCGAAGCAATGATCTGTCCCTCATCCTATCGACCGGCCCTGCGTTTGTCTACAAGCAGCACACAGTCCAATGCCTCGAACGCTGCCGTGGCCTGTCCAAGCAGATCGACTACTGATGACCAGGGACAACCTGTTCCTTCACCCATCCGGAACACAAATGCTGGATCAGATCCTGCCCCCTTAACCCTGGTAGTTGCCCGCTCGTCCATGTCTCCAGATGCAACTGCTAGGAGCGTCACCCAGCTTGAGACAATATCAGGGGCCAGGGTGGAAGAACCTCCATTTCCAAGAACAGAAGCAACATCCACCCGCCTAGAGTCGCCGACGAGAACTCACAATCCAAACGCAGTCGTAGAGCATAAAAGCCCAGCGACAAAAAGTCATGCGATGGCCCCGGCTCCACAGGGAAGTGTATTGATTGATCATCGCGCAAGAACAAACCCCCACAGTGGCTTGCAAGAACATACAGACGGTCCTCGCCATCGGAACCAACGGCCCTTGAGTCCTGTCCGCAAGTCTAATGAGAAAGACCGCGAGCCGAAGCGTCATCTTCCAGTTCGAGACCTAGAGGTACCGACCCAGCACCGCTCTCGTGGTATTGGAGGTTCAAGATTCTCGGCCACACTCGATCACAGCAATGAGCCCGTATTGAGTTCTCATGTTGTCCCGACCGGAAATGCGTTCCGTCAGCACCATGAGCTCGGCTCATATACAGAGCAGAGACATGGGGCAGAACAGCACCCCCCCTTCCTGGACCTGTTGACCATGCCAACTCCTCCCGCCCCGTATGATGGGGAAGAAACAGCTCATGCGTCGGTGCAAGCGCGGCATTCGAGTCGTTTCGCAAGAGAGAGGCAATCATCCAGCCCCGTCACGCGGCCAGGCTCGCAGGTCTCCAACACATCCCGACGTCGGGGACCGTTAGTTAAGCATGCAAACTCACGGAGGTCCAACCGAGGCCAACTACAGAAGACGTTAGAATCTTGGCAAGCGATGGTGAATGATTACGAAAAAGAGCGGACCGAGTTACTTCAGGCCATTGATCAGAGAGACGACGAGCTGACGAAGCAGGGCGATCGCATCGCTCGGGGAAAGCATCAGCTGAAGGAGTGCTCGAACCAGCTCGAGTCACTGAGACGGGAAAACGGGGACCTCGTCCAACAGAACCATGCATTGCGTGATCAAGCCAAAGAAGCCGTCAACGATACGAACAAAGTCAAGCTTGAACTCGAGAGTGTGCACTCCCAGCTCGAGAAGCTTCGGGGAAGATACAATAGTCTCAAGGAGCACCTTAACAAAGCTATTGCTGAGCAGCAACGGCTTTACCAAGATCTACAAGCAAGCTATACTAAGACAAAAGAGGAGATGAGACTCTCACACCAAGAGTGCGAATCCGAACAGTCTCGTACTCTCGCCAAGATGGAGGCACTTCGAAAGGCGGTCCAGGAGGCAGCAGCCGCAAAACGTGCAGCAGCAGAGCAACAGAGAGAAGAGTGTGAGTTCATGCCCATCGATTGATTACACGGGCTAGCTTGCTGACTGTGACCAGCCAATGCCATCATCGCCAACCTTCAGCAGAGACTCGCGGAAACCGAGAAGCAACTCGCGGCGGCCGTCGAGAAGACAGTAGAACTTGTCCAGGCACTCGAGGATCGGGCGACGCAAGACGATCAGTTACAAAAGCTCGAAAGTCAGTCAGAGCGGATCTTAGCCAAGCTGACCTGCGAGTCCGAGAAGGCGGCCTCGCTCGACCTCCAGAACGTCTTGGCCCAAAAGTAAGCTCAGTGACCCGTGGTCGAAGAATATGGACTGATTATGTTAGGTTGGACGAAGTGCGGAGCTCTCTGAAATCGTTTGATCAACTAAAACAGCTGAAGCCGGAACTGTATGATTCCATGGAAGCGGCCATCGTCAAGGCAATAGAGCCACTCGCGAGCTCTGTCCACGAAGCGCTTTCTGGACAGAATGCCCTACACGACCTGCTAAACGGTACCGACAAGAATTTTCAGAGGGAGCTGAAAGCGCTACACGCCAAACAAAGTTCCTGGGAGGCAGATAAGTGCCAAGAGATGATACGGCTGGCCCAGGAGAAGACCAGGTATGCCACGCTGCTAGAAGCAAACAATAAGCAACTGGAAGAGCTCGAGCTCGTTCGATCCGGGCAATCCGAAGAGATCCAGGAGCTCAAGGTAAAGGTTGTCTCCCTAGAGGCTATACCGCGGGAAGATCCAAGCTCGGCAGCTGAGATCGCACAACTTCGGGCCGCTTGCACGAAGAAGGACCAGAATTTGGCGGAGTTGCGGGAACAGTTGAAAGCTGCGGAGAATTCACATCACAGCACACTTGAGCAACTCAGGAACCAGATACTGAAAGTCGAGGAGAGGCTCCAGATCAAGGAGGAGCAACTTCAGGCTGCTCAAAAGTCAGCCGACATCAGTCGCCAGGAGATTTCGGTCGAATACGAAAAGAAGGCATGCGGGCTTCAGATGGAGATCGAGAGGTCTACGACGTCCCAGTCAGCTCTGAACGAGGAGCTGACCAAAGTGCGCGAGGAATTGTCCTGGGCGAAGACTGTCGAACCCGGCGCTCAGTTAATCAAGCTGAGGAGGGAGCTCAACGAGGCCGAGCAACGAATCGCGAACCTGTCGTGCAAGCTTAAGGGCGTTAATTTGACGACGGAATCAACAGGAGGAGATACCCTCAAGAGGCTTGAATGGGCTTACGGCGACCTACTGGCTGCTCAAGGTAGGCTTGACACGTTAACAAAAAGGGGCCAAGACATCCAGGCAATGCAGTCACAGTTTCAAGCCATGCTGGAAATACAGAGGGTGTTGTATCACACGCACCAGCATTGTTTAGCCGAGACAAAAGCGGCCGAGAGCCGGTTGGTGGGCGACTCGCGACAAGTTAAGGAAGACAATTCCACGGACCCGCCAACCAAGACCCAGCGCCCTGTGGCTCCGACACGGGAACCAGACGACTTGAACCAGCATCCTGAAGTTGGGCAGCATTTTGGGAGCCAGGTGACAACCGCGTCGACGACGAGTAAACGCATAGTGCTGCGAACACCCAGCCAGTACGGAGAAGAAACCGCGGCGGTGGCGGTATCGGCCGAGCTGGAACGAACGAAGAGACGTCTGGTCGAACCAGCAAAGTCTATCCTACGACTTGCTTCCAAGTCGAAGCCACGCCTGCCCAGTGAGCCCTCGAACTCAGGGAGCGCGGTTTTTAGGCCGGTCCGAATGGTAGATAGCCCGAGCAGTCGGTCGGCTGAGGTCCCAGGAACAACACAGGAGCAAAGGGCTCGAGCTCAGAGATCTAAGAACGACGAGATAGTGGAGGCCATAAAGAACCGCCTGGTGGGCCCTTCCAGGGCGAAGCAGGCGGGCCCCTTGCTCAGCCCTGCGGAGTGGCTAGCGGCCGAAAAAGAAGCTGAACGCAAGCGTTCCGGACAATTCGGAGAACTCCAGCAGCTGAAGAAGCAGCGCAACACCTAATTAAGTCCAGGTCTCTTTCACCGAGGGATGGTTCTGGCAGCCTGCCGAGTCCGACGCCTGAACGAAGTCGTGGTCTACTGCTCTGTGAGTATCTGTGGAGGCTGGCAATGTACCACCAACGAAAGAGAACCGTTCATGGTTATGTTCAAGGTCAAAAAAAGAAAGAAAAAAGTCGTTTGCTGTTTCTTGCGGGCACGTATCATTGTCATCAATGTCTGACTGCTTCTCAGTTGCTTTTCAAAATGGTCAGGGGTCGTGGGTTCCGCGCAGGATTGTCGCACATGGAAGATATTAGGGAGACTGATTTTGCTTCTATATGTACCTAGCCTGGCTTCAGGAGGTAACCAATGTCCCGTCGATCCTCGTGTGTTGTAGTCTCCTTGTCCACAGAGGATCGAAGTCGGCGGGAGCGGATGTCTGGTAGTAGATATAGATACATGTTGATTCTTCATTGTTTTAAATCAAAGGTCAAACCAGACCACCGCGAACGCCGCTGGATGTTGATATCATTATTGGTACATTGCGAATTGGTGTGGGACGGAGGATCGATGGATCGCGTCGTGTAGGGGGTTCGAGACGAATTGTAAAGCCGGAACGTCGATCATTTGCCTTTCCGCTTTTGTTCGAGGAAGAGAACTTTTCTCCGCACTGTTATACGCGATCGTCAGAGGTTTTGGTCAAAATGAGAAGGTGCTTTTGTGGCCGCCAGGTCGATTCGTGGTCGGGTTAGTGCACGATATAGGCGGCATGGCGGGGAGCCACGATGTCGACTTGGCGGGAGCCAGAAGGAGGAGGATGGAGCTTAGACGATAAACGCAGACGTACCAATCGGATCGTACTTGAGCATGCTCATCGGGGAAGCTGTACGGACGCGATTGAAGGTGTAGAAGAAGCCCGTCATGGCCATGGAGAGGAGGCGGACGGTGATGATACGAGACTTCGCTGTTCCATTGGGGGTAGTCGAGTGGTTAGCTTCCCACTCGGAAATGTCGGGAACGGAGGCATAGGAAGAGTCAATGAATAGTTACCTTTCTTCGCCATGGTGAAATTGTATGTTGCGACGACGGGCCTTCTGTGTATCTCCGCCAGTCGACTCGGCTTTGAGCTTGGTTCTCGCGTCGGAACGAAGTTTTCGGATGGAGCCGACAGCTACGCCAGAAGGCCGTCGGTGAATTGAAGCGCCGGATGCCGAGGACTTTTGGAAAGGCCCCGCCGATGATTCTTCGTGATGGGGAGACGATCGTTGGGGTACAACGGTACGTACCGCGCTGTACGGTTGTGGCACGTGGTGCAAGCTTTCGGATGAAGCTTGTCTTCTACACTAAATGTATGTCGGAAAACGTAGAGACGACGACACAATTCCCACTTGATCGGATGTAATAATTGATCATATTGGGGAGAGAGAATATTGAGACGCTTTGGTATATACAAACTATTTTGATCCGAAAAGTCGAAAAGAATATATTCTATCTTGTCTTTTCTTGGCCATTTGGTGATTAGTTGCTTTGTGGTGGCGTCGAGGTATAGGTACCTACATACGCCTATCGTGACTTATTCATATCCCTTCAGTTGTTGTTTGGCTTACCTAATATCATTTTCTTCTAGTCTGTACACGTAATAATATTCCAGACAATGTGTCAACAGACCGACTTTTGGTCAAACCACCCCATTCAGTCATTCCCATTACTCACATGTCAGCTATCTTCGCTGCGAACTCGAACTCGTTACTCACAGTTCTTGGGGGCTTCTTCAGCTTTAGGCTTGGGTTAGCTTATTGCTAACGAATAGAGACAGCCAGCTGTAGCTGTTCGAGCTTATCGCTAACCCTCCATCCGCCCATCCGCCCATCTGCCCATCAGCCCATCAGCCCATCAGCCCATCAGTGCCGTCACCCCATCATCACTCCGACCGTTTGGTTCAAGGTGTCCCGAGATTGCAACGTTCCGTCCAACTCCAGATGTCGTCCCTTGCTTCCTCCACGTCAATGGGCCGGACCCTTACATCTGTCGTCCGATCGCAGCACGGGATGGTCAAACCGGGCAGCTCATCGCATCTTCAAGGTGAGCTCGCTACATCTTCTTTCCTCTCCCTGTCACTCATCCTCACCGTCTCCGAATGCACCCTCGTGCCATGGAGTCGCTGTCAAACGAAACGGGCTTCATTACCGCGCAGGGCCCTGCGTCAGCCGCCACTGCCACATTCCTATGCGCGTGGCACCAATCAAGTTGACATGGGCAGATGGCGTGAAGTGAACCTGGCAAACCTGGAACCTGACATGAACATCCCACCGAACGAGGTCCATCCCCCCCTCCCCCACTCTATCTCGCCGGTTTTTCCATTAGCTTTCTGATTTGGGGCGCCTTTACCTTCTTCAACCCCTCTTTTCCCCATGGCTCTATTTGCTATTGCCTTGACACTAGGCAGGATGACTCGAACTCCCGCTTGCTGCAGCCCCATGACCCCTGCCCCTAAAAAGCGCACCGTCGTCGCCGGACCCTGCAGGAAGTCGGAGCCATGCCCCGGTTTCGGACCGCTCATGTTCGTTCACGTTCAAAGAGGGCCACCACCCCCGTTCAGTCCCGATGGTAGCCTCGCGCCCTGGCTTGGACTTCTCGGCGCCTTGGCTTCGGATTTCTCGGGGGCTTGGCTCGGTCTTCTCGCCTGGGACTCCTCTCGGGATAATCGGCTATGCCATGTGTCAATTGATGGGGTCAGACGACTCACTCTCCCTATGATGCACCGATCTCCTGCCTATGGGGCCATGATCCGTTTCTCTGAGCCGTGAACCGGTCGTCTGCGTATGGCGGCGCATTGCATTAGGCCTAGGCAGGGTCTCCTCTTGTTTTGATGTTACCCTCGTCCGAGCATCATGTCTTGCTCTCTTTCTTTCTTTCTTTCTTTTTCTTTCTTTTTTTTTTCTTCCTTCTCTCTTTTCCCCTTCTTTCCTTGCCTTTTGGCTTTTTTGCATCTTCAATCTTCCCCCTTAACTACAGCCTGTCAAAAGTTGTGACTTGCGGCGTTCCGGACTCCACCGTTCTACCTATCCCGAGTCCCGAGACTAAAGTCTGATCACCGGACCACAACCACTTCAAAGCCGCCACTCTACACTATTTCTCCCTGTGGCTTTAGTCCTTTCCTCCTCACAAACTTGTGATTAACCTTCAAACAACCACTATTCAACAGATACCCCGCGGTTCTTGACTGGAGTCGCATTACCACGTCGGTCAACACTGCTCGAACCCCCCACTTCCGTCCCACACTTTCGAGCCATGTCGACCCTGAAGCCTCGCCTGCACATCGATAACATTAGTCCCCATGTTCGGTCTGCCCAATACGCCGTGAGAGGAGAGCTCGCTACCCTCTCCGAGGAGTATCGTGCCAGACTGGCCAAGGGTGACACCGACCTGCCCTTTGACCAGGTCATCTCCGCAAACATCGGCAACCCGCAGCAGCTCGACCAGAAGCCCCTCACCTTCATCCGTCAGGTTCTTAGTCTGGTGGAAAACCCGAAGTTGCTGGATCATGAAGATGTCCTCCTCAACCAGCTCGACTACAAGACCGACGTCATTGAGCGGGCAAAGTGGCTATTGAGCAAGGTGGGGTCAGTGGGTGCCTACAGCGCCAGTGCCGGCGTTCCCGCCATCAAAGAGAGCATCGCGAAGTTCATCGAGAGTGAGTTTCCTTCTTAGTTCCTCTTGTTTCCTTTACCTTTCGAGATGGAGTGGAGAGTAACTAACACATGACACTACCTTCTGTTCTCCAGGGAGAGATGGCTTTCCGGCAGACCCATCCAAGATCTACCTCTCAGGAGGTGCGTCCTCCGGCGTGAACACCCTCCTCCACGTCATCTGCGCCGGCCCGGACACCGGTGTCCTCGTTCCCATCCCCCAGTATCCCCTCTACACCGCTTCCCTCTCTATCCTCAACGCTCGATGCGTGCCCTACAACCTCGACGAAGAATCGGGTTGGAGCACCGACCTCGAGATTATCCGTGCCTCCCACGACAAGGCCGTCGCCGAGGGGACCGACGTTCGTGCCCTTGTCATCATCAACCCGGGCAATCCCACCGGCGCCTCCTTGCCCGAGGACAACATCCGCGCCATCCTCGCGTTTGCCGCAGAAAAGAACCTCGTCGTCCTCGCCGACGAGGTCTATCAGACCAACGTCTTCGAGGGCCGCTTCCACTCGTTCAAGCGCGTCCTCCGCCTGCTGCAGCAGGAGAACCCGAACAAGTACGACCACGTCGAGCTCGCCTCCCTCCACTCCGTGTCCAAGGGCATGATCGGCGAGTGCGGCCACCGCGGCGGCTACTTCGAGCTCGTCGGCTTCCACCCGGAGGTCGAGGCCAACATCTACAAGTTCGTCAGCATCACCCTCTGCGCCCCCGTCGTCGGCCAGTGCGTCGTCGAGCTCATGGTCAACCCCCCGCAACCGGGCGACCCGTCCTACGAGCAGTACAACGCCGAGTATAGCGCCATCTTCCAGGGCCTCAAGGAGCGCGCCGACGCCCTCCACGCCGCCTTCTCCCGCATGGAGGGCGTCGAGTGCGGGCCCCCGCAGGGCAGCATGTACCTGTTTCCCACCATCCGCCTGCCTCCGCGTGCCGCCGAGGCCGCCGCCGCCGAGGGCCGCTCCCCCGACGAGTACTACTGCATACGCCTCCTCAAGGCCACGGGCATTTGCGTCGTCCCGGGAAGCGGGTTCGGGCAGAAAAAGGACACGCTGCACTTCCGAACCACCTTCCTGGCCCCCGGCACCGACTGGGTGGGCCGCATCGTCGATTTCCACAAGAAGTTCATGGACGAGCATCGGTGACGTGACCTCTGACTGGCGGAAGAAGAGTAAAAGGGGATTTTTCTTTTTCTTTTTCTTTTTCTTCTGTTAAGGGGATACCGAGCAAAGGGAAAAGAAGAACAATGGCATATGCAGGGTGAAGAACAAAAGACCGCCAGACCTTTTATTTGTTTAGCGGAGTGGCATACAGCGCGAGCGTTCGCATTAAGCAAAAGGCGCCTATCATAGAGAGAGAGAGACCCCCAAAATAGCGATTAGCTACCTGACTTTCTGAATATTCAGTTTTATTCTAACATCCCAACATGGGTTTAATTCACTTTTCTGGCAAGTCATTACGCTCTTACATTTTGCATACTTCTAGCCTGTAGGCCATCTTAGGTGTAACAGCCGACAATGCTAGGGGCTAGACGTACTCCAAAAAGCATCGTAACATAATCACGAGACGTATTTGCTCTGGGGTTTCTCCCTCTCCTCGGTTCGTCTATTCTTCGCCCCTCAACGAGGTATCAGTATCATACAGGACGGATTGCACAAAACCCGCCAAATGGTTCCCCCGGTTTCCTCTCTTTCTCTCGCCGCCCCATTCCATGCATAACTCGAAACGCAGTTTGTAGTGTGTAGCGACAGATCATGCCCTCTCGCTCCCCCTTAGACGCACGGCCTGGCCGTACTTTTGAAGCTTGGTGATCAACTGGTCACCTTGCCGGACCACATCCTGGTACTGCTTGTTCTTGTCGTCGGGGCGGTTGGTCTCGATGATGCCGTTGCCGGTCACGCGGTCAATGGTGCAGGCAATGCGGCCGCCGGCGACGAAATTGGCGAGATCGCTGGGGAGTGTTGTTCGTCAGTTTTTTTTTGCTTTTTTTCTTTTTCCTCTTCTTCTTCTGCTTGCCGTATGGGAAGAGGAGAAACATACCGGTCCAGAAAGTCAACGGTTACACCAAAGTCGGCAGCCATGGAATCAAGGCCGACAACACGGTAACTCTGCAGAAGCTGCTGATAGGCACGAAGTCGCATCTCCCGGATGAACCAGTGCTTGTGCTCGAGCAGGTAACGGTCTTGGGAGAAGAACGACTCCTCCACGAGGGCGAGGGCCTGGAAGAACTGCTTGTAGTGGCCGTTGTAGAGACTCGAGACGAGCTGGGCGAGAGGAGAAAAATCGATCGCCATCTCGGCCTCGGGCTGCTCGGTGCTGGTACCGAGGGTGGTAAGGTTGACAGCGGCCACCTTGGACGTCGCACCGGCGGCTCCCCCACTCTCAGTGTCCTTGGCCGAGGGCGAGTCGTCGACGCCTAGGCCGGCACTGAGAGCACCCGAGAGGGCCAGCAGCTTGTCTTCGCCGTCGCCCAGGATGGCCTTGATTTCCGGGGCGTCGACGACCTTGGACTTGAAGTCGACGCGCTTGAGGGCGACGGAGCCGGCGAGGACGGAGTAGACAACGAGGGACGAGTACGTGCAGAGCTCGTAGCTGGTGAATGTGGAGAGGGAGTCGAGGAGGAGCGGGCCGGCGGCGGCGTAGGCGCGGACCGTGATGAGGTAGATGCCCTCGTAGGCCTTGAGGCGGTTGCGGCGGTCCCAGTCGCCGCCCGAGTCGACGAGCGACTTGGCCCGCTCGACGTGCTTCTTGACGAGAAGCCTGTCGCCGTAGAAGAGGCCCATACGGATGATGGCTAGGACGAGGTCGATCTTGGTGCCGAGGATGCCGGTTTCTTCGAAAAGTTCTTCATATGCGGCGATGGCTCGGTCCTGTTTTTTTCAGGGTAGGGGGGGTTCACTACGTCAGCCGATATTCTTCCACATCTCTTGCCGGGGGGAGCCAAGCATGGCAAGGATAACAAGAGGACAACAAGCGGCGTAACGTACCTTGTCACCCACCCGAGCCCAAAACTCGGCGCGTTTCCCCTTCGCGGCTAAGACTTCGGTATCACCAGCCTGCTCCACAGCCTCGTCCTCCTCCTTCTGGAAGCCCTCGAGTTCCCGATCGTTGTCGGCCTTGAGTTTCTGATAGAGGTCTTCGTCCCAGGGTAGAGCGACCGACGACTGCGGGCTCTTCGTAGCGACCATGCCGCCGGCGATGCTGGGCTTGCGGCTAGGGGGCTTTCCAGGGACCTGACTACTGGAGCCCTTGCCGACAGGGTTGAGGACTCCCTCGACCGGGTGGGCTAGGTAGCGGTAGAGTGGGGCCATCTTATGCTCGGTGATGGCATCTTGAAGAACCTTAGCGGCGCCCTGCTGTAGGGTATTGGATGCGTGCGGGTTTGTGACGGTGAAGACGTGTTGCGCGAGTGGCAGAAGCGGCCACTTCACGTACTGCGGATCGGAACCCATGATATCGAGTCGTTTTTTTGGTCCGGCGCTCTACTGGGGCTGTCCTCCGGGAAAGGGCGTTTCGGTTTCTCCACGGATACGATAGGGTCTGGAAGTGCAGGCGTGAGAAGGGAAGAGAGGGAGGGCCGATCGTGGTGGTTGGTGGTGGTCGTGGTGGGTGGCCGATGGCGGGAGATGTGAGTGGGAAATGATGGGGAAGGGTGCCAGCCTCGAGCTATGATCGTGCCCTTGATGCTGGTCAAGATACCTACGAAGTACCGTTAGGTCATCCATTCCCCACACTACATCTCTTACTGGACAAGAAGCAAGAAGAGCTCCTTCTGTATCAAAACCTGATTGGTCACAGCCCTTGTTGCCCGCTGCAAGGCCCGCGAGGCTACAGCGCATACGTACCTGAGGTGAGCCTAAATTTTCTTTCGTATGTACATTGTACATACAGGACACCCGCCCTGTTGCAACAACGTGCTTCCCTGTGTCAATTGACTGCCTGCCAGTAATTACATTGAAGTCTGAGGCTCGGCCTTTCAAGATCGCCTGTTTGATCCAAGTCCAAGCAACAAACTTGTAATATCCACCACAACTCAAAAGTTGGGGCCTATGAACTTGAACTCTCTCTATATCCGATTTCTACACCATTCGTATTAACCCATCAGACCAATCCACCTAGCAGAACGCAGAAACTTACCATGGCTGGAGACAACGAGTCTCGCAGCATCCAAGAGCACGAATCCCTCGACGGGAATGCAAACACAGACAGACGAGACTTCCCCAAGAAACGCAAGGCCGGAAATGACTTGGGAAACGATGAGCTACCCCAACCCTACAATGCCAAGGAGCTACAGCCAGCCAAACGGCGTGCAGCTTCGCCTTCGGAACAGCCAGCCCGCAAGTTGAAGAGGCCCGGCGCGCGAGCCCGCATCTCCGAAGCCGAACGCGAGGCCATCCGCCAACGGGCCCTCGAGCGAGAACGCGCCCTCGAAACCACGACCTCCGCGACCGTGGCCGACGGCCGCCAACGGGCCGCCATCAACGACGTCGTCACGCAGCACTACAACAGCGTCCCCGAGCGCGGACGCGACTGGCGACGCACCGACAGCCGCATCAAGGGCCTGCGGGCCTTCAACAACTGGGTCAAGAGCTGCATCATCCAGAAGTTCTCCCCGGACGAGGACTACACGCCGGGGACGCGAGACCACCCCGCCTCGAGCCGCCACGAGCTCCTGGTCCTCGACATCGGCTGCGGAAAGGGCGGTGATCTGGGCAAATGGCAGCAGGCCCCGCAACCCGTGCAGCTTTACGTCGGCCTCGACCCCGCCGATGTCAGCATCGACCAGGCCAAGGAGCGGTACCGTCAGATGGCCAGCCGAGGCGGGCCTGGCGGCGGCGGCGGCGGTCGGGGAGGAGGTAGGGGAGGGTACCACCGCCGGCCCCCTCCGCGCATCTTCGAAGCACAGTTTCACATCAAGGATTGCTACGGACAGACCATCGAAGAAATCGACGTCATCAGGCAGGTCGGCTTCGACCCGGGCCCGCTTAACCGTCGGGGCTTCGACGTCGTCAGCATGATGTTCTGCATGCACTACGCTTTCGAGTCGGAGGAGAAGGCCCGCACCATGCTCCGCAACGTGGCGGGTGCTCTGAAAAAAGGAGGCCGGCTGATTGGCTGCATACCCAATTCCGACGTCCTGAGCGAGAGGGTCGGCCAGTTCAACCAGCGCATGGCGGAGAAGAAGAAGAGGAAGGAAGAAGGCGTCGAACCGCCGTCCGATGCCGAGGAGGGCGAGCTCGAGGAAGGTGAAGAGGAACAGACGGCCGAGTGGGGGAACCAGATATACCGCGTTCGCTTTCCGGGGAAGACGCCCGAGGACGGTATCTTCCGGCCCGCCTTCGGCTGGAAGTATAATTTCTTCCTGCACGAAGCCGTGGAGGAGGTGCCGGAATACGTTGTACCCTGGGAGGCCTTCCGTGCCCTGGCCGAAGATTATAACCTGGAGATGCAGTACCACAAGCCTTTCATGGAGGTGTGGGAGAGCGAGAAAGACGACCCGGTGCTTGGCCCGTTGAGCGAGAGGATGGGCGTCCGGGAGAGGGGCCGTGGGGAGTTCCTGGTTTCTCCGGAGGAGCAAGAGGCCGCCAGCTTTTACACCGCATTTTGCTTCTATAAGGTATAGATTGCTGGGAAGATTCGGCGAGCAGTGACAAATATAATTGCTGGACCGAGTAGGCCGATGAAGAGACATGTCGTTATCCACCCTTCACTCTAGACGAGTCACAAAGAAAACAAAACAAAATTCCAGCCGCTACCCCTTCACTTACTCTGGCAGTACATCTTTGGTCTGGGGAACCACAAGCGGATCATTCAAGAAGGCTGAGTGAGAATGAACCAGCTGGTTTATGTCCGCACCTGTCATAGCAATGAATTGCGAAAAAGCAAACTAATTCTAAATTGCCTTCCAACTCCATCATGCCCATCCGGATTTCGTAAGTAGAGGGGACGAAGAAAGCAACAACAGAAGGAAAAATCCGGGACATATGCGAGAGAAACAAAACGAAACTGCGCATCCTGACGGTTCCCCTTCGCTCAGTCGTCCACCCCCCGCCTGTACTTTGAAGCCGGGAGCTCTGGACTCATGTTATAGAATGCAAAACGCAGATTGCAGCGCCGGGAAGTTTACTACCCGACCCCCTCTAGTAGCCATCTCTGTCGCCGCCTCCTAGTTCACCCTTATTTTTTACTCCTTCATCTTGACATAGTTGCTGGGGAAGATCCCCGTCCTCGACCCGATTTGACCGGTCCTGCACAGTTATGTTAGCACCCGGAATTGCT